ACGATAGGCCATTGTACATATACAAATTATATAATATATATATTGATTTGGAAGGAAATAAAGTTAAAAATTACCGCGAATGAATATAATTATATATATATATATATATATGAATGGCTTTGGACAGTTGGAAGTTTTGGATTTATGTGAATGCATCTAAAACTGAAAAATAGCACGCAAAAGCACGAAGACGAGACCATGTTTACAACCGGGCTGGAATTCTGTCTGAGTGATTACATAAATTTCAAATGTTGCTTCATTGTTGAGCAGTCGTAATTGCCGATTGGTCATTCTCACGGAAACCAGAGTCTCGAGGAAACACTCGTGTTGGCAGGGTCAATGAATGCCAGTGATGCTGTCGCACTTCATGTCAACAAAAATTTGCCACGTGCTCAACCCAGATCTAGGATTAACACGGTCCGCCTAGTAAGGCTATTAACAAATTCGTAGTCAGCCCAAAACTAATTTGGGTTGGGGCCAATTTTTTTTGTATATGACGTAACACGACGCTTACTCGAGCATTTTGCTCCGAACAAGGCTAAATAAAATCGGTCGTGTACAAGCAGAGGATACGAACACTGCAATGACTGCCAGAATTTCCAATCAACATGGAAAGTTTTTATGGAGAGTATGCAGCGAGTAGTCAGTCATTGGACCTCATCGCGGTTTTAACTTAAATCAAATGTAATTATTTACATTGCACACCCATATTATGCTGCAAGGGATTTATCGTTTATAACACGTGTGCAAGGATAACCTACTCCAGTCCTAACTTTTATAACTATGAGCAGGGAGCAAGGGAAAACAACTTGCTAATGATATTGTATTTAAATTAGCAGACCAGAATGTTTCATAAACAAGATTTTAATAAGAATTCCCCGTGTGCGTAAAAAGCTTATTTGTCAGCGTCCCTGTCGTGCGCTGTTTAATTTTAATAACTGCTTGTGATGAACCCCCGCTGTGCAATATAAGCAGAACAACAAATTGTTTATTCGGTTGATTTAGGTCAGTTCGGTTGTGAATCTGACTAGTATATTATGTTCAATTGTTTACGCTTTATTTGGCAACGGACTATCTGTACCAATATCAGTTGCCTTGTCATTCAAGTACAAGATAGATAGACTATATTATATTGAACATGGAATAATTTGGCGCACTTGTAAACCTGTCGTTGTCGCAAATGTGTATTCAGATAGTTGTTAGGTCTGTGCTGTTCGTTTGGTACCGGAATGACAGTAGGCCTATGTTTAAAATTACAGTTATGCATGTATGTACCGTACCTACCGTAGATTCAGAACCGTACCATGGTTACATTCCTTGAGTAAGTTACATTCCTTGTCGTTATTACAAATATAATAGGACATCATAATCTTTTAGTAGCGGTACTAACAGTTAGTTTTAGAATAAGCAGGCATTTTATATGTATGTATGTATGTTTATTTGCTTCAAAAATGTAACAATATCTGCATAATAATTAAACAGTAAAACAGAGACGGGATACATACATTTGTATTGAAACTGATCAGATTAGACCACCATGTAGTTGCGCTGAGATACGGTACCGGTAAGTCATGTAAGTTGTATCATACCGGTACTGATGGCCTTAATAATGGTTTCGTAAAATGTTTTATTATTCAATTTGTGCGCAAAGAGAAACATGGTACCTGTACCGTATCCTGCTGTACTCAGTTTACCATAGCATCATAGATCAGTAGATGCAGATTTGCAGGCGCGAAGCCAGGATTTTTAATGGAGTGGAGAACTGAAAATTGTGTGTCGTTTATAGCGAAACGCCGTTGCGTGCAGCTCGCGTCCCTTTGCAGACGCCGTTCGGGGAATATTATGCATGTTCTATTTCAAACATATATACTCATCGTCGACCATTAATCCGTAGTCGGCAATAACCATGTCGCGTTGTTCGCTCTTCGTTCTTTCATAAATGTGCTAGCTATTTGACGAGAGAAACAAGTGTAACCGTATTTAGAAATAAACGATAACAATCGTGAAAATTAATTTTGAGAGAGGCCTACAACTTGCGGATGTCAGTGGCATCATCGATACCTTTAATTAACAAGTCGATACCTTGGGAATTCATCGATAGTGGCATTATAATCGTTTACATACACAAAAAACAAGCTCACATGTAGCATCGATTAAATGTGAATCAAATGTAAACTATTACTTGTCGTAATTTATTGTTAATCTAGTCAAATTTTTATCGTCATTCAGTAAGATATTCACATGCGCCGTGATAGTGAGCGAAATCGAATATTTTCGGGAATCGGATAATTCGAATATTGTTAACGAATACCGATAACGAGTATTGTTGATACTCCTTTAGAAAATTACTAGAAGACCTAAAACTCTGTGACAACGCGACATAATCGCTGATTCTTTTTTTCGCCGCGATCGTTTCGAAAGTTTCGATGTTGGTAAGCTATTATGAGCGTGTTCGGAAATTTCGCCGTAGGAAATCTCGCCGCGAGAAATTTCGCGCATGGGATTAGGGTTAGGTTATGCTCTTAAATAACAAATGTTTTTTAAATAAAAGGTACTTCAAAAACCTAACTGTTTTTATCACAAATACTGTGAGTTCACATAGGCGACAGGTGTTGAAGACGACTATTAATGGTTGACAAAAAAAAAATAATTTTAAAAATACCCATTCAAAATGGTATGTGCTTTGGGCGCCAAGAAGTGAATTCACAACACAAATTAATTTGAATGTGATTTTTAGCGGATTTGTTCTTCCACATCACAGTTTGTAAATTACGGTCCCAATTTTAAGCGTACAATATTATCATTACTGAACTCGGGATGCGGATATTTATAAAGATGATAGTTGATTTTTCAAGCTTTTACATTTCTATTGTGTCTGTGTTATTTTCGTATAAATAATAATAAATGAAAAATACGCAAATTGTCAATGCGTGAATACTTTGCTTTGCGTTGAAATAAGAAATTTAAATCGACAGCATTTCATCTTGGTGAAAATAATATTTTCCCTTGAAATCTCGGGAAATTTTTATAGAATACATTATTACCTTTATCTAATTTGACGCTTCTGAAGTTACAAAACGGTGTTGATGCGCTTCGTGCAACATTGGGAATTGAAAAGATACGATAGGCACAGAAAGAAAACAAAAAACCCAATAACGCAAAGATTTCTCACATTTATCATTTCTGTCTGTTAGCGATAATCGTAGGTGATTCTCACGGAATTCAAGCTATTGTTTTAGCGACGGCGATGCGTAATGTCATATCTCAATTACTATGAAGATAAGCGTCATTATCAGAGCCAACTAAAAGAAATAACGTATCCTAAGCGCAATTAAAAGTCTCTTGGTGTTGCGTTAAGGTATTTCCGCACAAAATATTGTAATCTTGACAACGAAATGACAATGCGCTTACTCTAAAACGGCAATGTGGTTTGTTTTTCTTCAGGCATAAGGTAGAACACTCCTATAAAGAATATTTTCAGAAGAGCTGGGAGTTGGGACGCCCGATGGCTATGCACTTAGATATGGGCCCAAGTTTAGAAACACGGTTGCCCTCAATGCATTTGTGTGTGGCAGCTGTACCATATTGTAGTTTTTTATTTAAACTAGTTATTCATATTTTCGTAGTTTTTTCCCCATAAATATATCTTGTCCAATGCTGCTTAAATCAATTCATGTGGTACCTTGTATGCTCTTTACTCCCATCTACGGTAGTGAAAGGGTCAAAAGGTCATATTGTGTCAGCTGTGACTGTCTCCTCATTCTTATTTCTTTTACAACAATTGGACAAGATGTTAAACAGATTATTTATGATAATATAGACTATAATGTGTGTAAATATAGGTAATTACAAATTTTAGAACATTGGTGTAGTATGGTTGAAAAATGAAAAGAGGTATGGTGCAGCAGGAAAGTCGCATGAGGAGTTGTACATATTAGCCAATCATGTATAGTTAAAATTACGGATTGGGGATTAATATTTAGTCTCAGAAGTACATTGGGATGACAGAACCATTTTCTAGTAATTCAATTATTCACTTATTGAGGAAATTTATGCAATATGGGCTAATACTTGCTTATCAAATTATTTTTTTTCTGAGAAAAAAGAAAGTCGTAATATAAACTGAGCCACCACAAATGTAAGGTTTGTTGGTCCAGCCAACCTATGACACTGGACACCAATCTTTATCGCTTCTCGGCCTTTTGGCTAAGATCAAGTGTAGTATCTGTTCTTTTCAGATTAATACCTGAAATGTGGGGTACTCCCCCACTCTTGTATTAATTTGATTTTTGTACCTCAGGGTTTGGTTTTGTGGCTTGCCACACCACTCCCACGGGTTGTCCTGGTATTGCAGTACCTCCAGGTTCGGCCCACTCTCCACATCGTGGAGATTCTTTCATACAATAAATAGTTAATTAGAAGTAGAGGGGCTTTGAGGACGGTTGAAGCTACAACCGGACATCGGTTAGCCAGTCCAGCAGTCTTTCCGCACTTGATTATTTATCGCGGAGATCCTTTCATACAATAAATAGGTAATTAGCAATAGAAGGACTTTGAGGACGGTTGAAGCAATAACCGGACATCGGTTAGCCAGTCCAGCAGTCTTTTCGCACTTGATTATCCTTGCATAGGATTCCGACTTGCAAACCTACCGGTACGCAGGGTAATCAGAGGTGTGGTGGCGAGATAATTCCTAACGCTTAGCATTGCTTTCAGAATACATGGATATATTTGGAATAGCAACTTAGTCGTTTTAAATCAGAGAATTGAGGAATAACTGACAGCCAAACAAGATCTGTCATAGATAGATATTACACTTGCAATTACAATAATAACATTGTTTTCAAAGTATAGAATAGAATGTCTCACCGGACAGAAATGCTGTAGTATTTTTACCACAATGAAAAAAGATCAGTTTGGTGGTTTTGTTACAGCCACCATAACTTTAAGATCAGAAGATTAGTTCAGTCAAATAGAGTGAGGGCCTGAGAGCAGATGGTATCGCTTCTCGGCCTTTTGGCCAAGATCAAGTGTAGTATCTGTTCTTTCCAGAATAATACCTGAAATGTTGGGTACGGTACTCCCTCACTCTTGTATTAATTTGAATTTTGTACCTCAGGGTTAGGCGTTGTGGCTTGCCACACCACTCCCCCGGGTTGTCCTGTTATTGCAGTACCTCCAGGTTAGGCCCGCTCTCCACATTGTGGAGATCCTATCTTATGCAATAGTGTTGGTTAAACAGAAGTGTAGATGTAAGAAGGGTGTGTGTAAAATTGCGGGTCCGTGTTTTAGAGATGGCAGCTTATTCTTGTGCATATTTACTTATTTTAAACGCCCTGAACCTCTTCTTTGCAGTTTTTTTTTAAAAATGTATTCAATGAAAACCATTATTGGTATTATGCTGTGTACAAGTTTCACTGACCAATGACTATGAGGCTTGTTTAAAATTATAGTGGCATTGAATTCACAATTTGAAATTCGTATTACAAGACTCATCGCTTTATTTTATAGGCTATATGAATGTTTTGAGTCTTGGAGCTATTTCTGTATTTTGTAGATTTTCTTTTCTAGAGTTAGAATGTTGAATTGAATTGGTTTTAAATTTCAGTATAATCTGAATATACTTTGAAGTTTGCAGTGTGGTTTATAATTGAATATCAAGATGAGCTCATTGCAGCATTGTATGGCAGTATGGTAATGTAATGTCAGAATGTAGGTCCTGATGGTTACTCATTTAAACTAGATACCGTATGTAATGTCCACTTTATTTTAACAGGAATAGGTTATATAACTACCATTTATATCACCATGCATAAGTTGAAGCCATCTCAGAGGGAAAAAGTTCGACATTTTATGACTTTTACCCAGGCCTCAGAAAAAACTGCCATTTATTGTTTGTCACACCACGATTGGAGGTTAGATGTTGCTTCTGACAACTATTTTACTGAACCTGAACTTTACTGGAGAGAGAGTAAACCCACTGTTGACAGGCGAAGGATTGAAGCATTGTATAATAGGCTTCGTGATCCACAAGATCCTGATAAGATAGGTGTGGAAGGAATAACTAAATTTTTAGAAGAACTTCAACTTGATCCTACAAGTCGTTTGGTGCTTATTATTGCATGGAAATTCAAGGCAGCTGTGCAATGTGAATTCACAAGAGCTGAATTTATAAATGGAATGATTGAATTATCAGTCGATGATTTGGAAAAGCTAAGATGGATGTTGCCGAATCTTGAAACAGAAATTGCAGACAAAGCAAAATTTAAAAGTTTATATCAATATACTTTCAATTTTGCAAAAAATCCTGAACAAAAGGGATTGGACCTTGACATGGCTATTGCCTATTGGAATATCCTTCTCGGTGACAGATTCAAGTATCTTGATCTGTGGTGCCAGTATCTAACAGAACATTATAAACGAGCCATACCTAGAGACACCTGGAATCTTCTTTTAGAATTTAGTTTAATGATTTCTGACGATATGTCCAACTATGATGAGGAAGGTGCTTGGCCCGCACTTATCGATGATTTTGTCGAATGGGCGAGGCCGATTGTTAATAATAATGGTCAAAATCAAGAAACTGTCATGCAAACTGATTCGTAATTTTTTTTCTAAATAATGGTGTTGGTTAACTAGATGTAAAAACTTCATAGCCGAATAGTTCAGTATCCTAGATATCAATTTTAAATTTCAATTGAGACTATTGGAAATCTCCAACTTGGCGTATATTTTGAATTTCATATCAAAGTGTGATTGGAAGATTGGATATAAACAGCGGGAAAAATTTTATTTATTAATTTGTTCCATTATTTTATAACTTTAAGTAAAGTGAATAAAAGATTCAAAAATCACACAAATACAGGTTATGTAAAACTGTCCATATTATGGATATCAATTCCTTGCATGATGTATGAGGTCTCACATCTAACTGAACTCATTCAGATAATCAAAAGTTTTGATTGAATGTACAAACATTTACCTTATCAATATCATTTGTTTGCTGCATGTACTAATTTGGCTCGGTTTTCAATATTTTGGGGATAAACGAGAGGTGTATTGATTTATCAATATTATCAATATCAGCCGTTTTGACAATATTGTTATAGGGTCGTAATCGGAATAGAAAATCACATTTACTGCTTCTAATTATGTTTCCATTTCTCTTAAACCATATAATTTGGTGATCTGGAATTGCTGTTGGTCAAAAATATGACATCTTCATTGGAAACAAGAAATTCATTTTCTTTCGACATTTATAGAGACAAAGATGACCATCTTAAAAAGCTTTTAGTTGTTATTGAGCCCAGAGATTTTTCTCAGTGGAAATGATAATTAGTTTATCACTCAACACCTAGAAAATTGTGTCAGTCGTTTTTCACCAACTTAAAATTTTCACAGCTTAATCATTATCAATGGTGCGAACTTACAGTACTTTATTCAACTTGACAAGTTATGCACCTAAAAATATTATCTTACGCGTAGTGTCACGCTGGAATCCAGAGTGTTGTCTGATTAACCTCGATATCGGAGGATGTATTCGATGTATTCACACGATTTTTCAGGAATGTTTTGCATTCAGCCATTTCAATCTTGCTTTGTTCTTTCCAAAGACTGTTGGCCATGAATACAATTTTATTTCATTCATGAATTTTGTTCAGAATACGTTTTCTTCTACTTTCTCACATTTAATATGGTGCAGTCATTTCATGTGCTGTGGAATAATATTGACTACAGTATTGTTTGTCATTTTGGTGTTTTATGTGACTTTGCCATTAGTTCAGTTTTCTTCACTTGTAATTAGCCAAAAATCCATGAGAATTTACCCTTTATTCTGGGAGCCATATATTGTTATAGTATATGTTTATGCACCCAGTTGACCATTGGTAATAACATCTGTTTTTTTTTCAATTGCTAATTAATTTTGCAACATTTCACTAAAACCACAATAAGTTCATTAACCCAAAATCTATATTAATGTTATTACAATTTTCTTGACATTTGTGATTTCCTATCTAAAATAATTTTGCTTCGAGCTGTTGAATGAATCGAATGTGTTTTTTTGATTTGTTTTCTCATTCATTTTTCATATTTTATTGTATATTAATAATATTTGCGAAAATATATATATCCTTTGAAATGGTTCATTTGGATAACCGGTGCCTTGTTATTCAGTCTTCACACTCAATTGTGTTGGATTTATGGTTGAAAAAGTAATAGCGTATAAAATCTCGTATCATACGGTTTTGAACAGTATATCTTTAACATGAGAATTTAAAGGTTTGGCCAGAATTAATGTAGTTTAATATTTTTCTAGAATTTGGTATACCTGAGGTGGGCTTGCGTTTAACTGTTTAGTGTGCAACCAACTGGGGTTGTCAAATTACCAAACTCTAACACACTATTCCATCCAATATTATCAGACCAATGCACCAACTACCAGATTGTTGCATACTCATATCTAGGTATTTTAACACAGTAACATTTTATATTAGGGTTTTTCCCTTCTAGCAATATTTCCTGTTTAAGCCAGCTTTGAATGTCCAACTGTTTGTTTTGGTTTGGGGATGAAATAATAAATAGTTTTGGTTCCCTTAATTGTTTTGTTGCGTATTTTTGAACATCTATCCATTTATGCTATTTAGAAATCAATTAGCTGATTGAATACGTCATTTTATATGGTTATATTGATTATATTACTTAATTCAGTAGTCTATTAATTTTTTTGAACTTTTTTTCTATATTGTGTTTAGAAAATGTAGAAATTAACATCATGAGTTCCAATGCAAATAGTTATCTTGCACTATGCAAAAATTCAGTTCGATTTGATGCAGTTACAGCTGTCAACAATGTTTTCTTTGATGAAGCGAATAAACAGGTATGAATGGGAAAATTTTGCTATTAGCGATAAAACTGTTTTTAACTTATAAAAATATGGTATGTATTTGACTTAACGTCTACACTGATAAATAGGCCTATGGCATATTCTATATATTTAAAATATAATTATACTTAATCGTTAGGAATTACAGTGTGGTATCACACTATGAAATTAGGGGGGGGGAGGTTGAAATTTTACTGGTGACGTTTAATTTTAATTTGGATATTCAACTTTTTAAATTTTGTTCTAGATATTTGCTGTTAGATCTGGAGGTGCAACAGGTGTGATTGTCCGTGGTCCTGATGACAGAACTTCACATAGTTTTAGGTTGAATGATAAAGGATCCCTGATATCAATCAAGTTTTCATATCATCATAAAATACTGGCTTTGCAACGATCGGAGACTAGTATTGTGAGTGCTGCTGGTATTTGTTTGAGAGAAAATACAGGCTATGAGCCCTGTGAATGAAAAGAGAAAAGTAAATAGGTTGTAATATTGAATAGCAGTCTGTACTGTTATATATTTTATAACTATAACATCAAACATCTGTGGTAATGTTAAAAATATTCCATAGAATGGATTCAAGCAAAAAAAGGGAATATTGTACGTATTTGATAAAAAATTTTGCCAACTTTAATTCTGTGATTCCTAGTTATTTTTAGAAGCATGGGCCTTGATAGAATGGACATAATCATGTCTACGGTAATAATCTAGTTACAATATTTATTCAACTTCTGATTGTTGGAATGGTACCAAGCAAGAAAGAAGGCTTTACGATTAATTTGTCCATTGTAAATCTTATTCTAAAAATGAAAATATGTGACTAAATTGAATAGGCGATGGGATTACCATAAATAAACATGAATCATTTTATTTTTCTATCTGACGTAGTTATGGGTCTTTTGCTCTAAACAAGGCTCTGCATAAGCTATCACCACTATATAAGGAGTTAATATGTAATCAGTAATTTATTTCTTCACCTTCTTTGAACCCAGGAATTTGATCAATGGTGCAATCATAGTTAAAGTTAATGCTTCACCATCATATACCATACCGTACTTCAATGTTATTTTAATATTATATGTTTGATGATTTATTCTCAGGAATTCGCAAACATTGAAGATGGGAGCCCAGATCCATCTGAATATTCACAATCAAGCAAGGTAAAATTTTTAAGACATGAAAATTCACTTTCTCTGCTTATACTTTTTCATCATGTGCAAATTCGTTTTCTTTTTTATTCAGGGCAAAAATAACAAGATTTTGACATTCCATTGGATAAGTACACATGAAATAGTGATGGTGACGCAGAGTGGCATTGAGTTTTATCAGGTATTATTTTTATTATTTTGAATGGAACTCAATTGGTGATATTATGTTCAAAATATTGCCTCTATGAAAAATTACACTCCAATATATTTAAGCTAATTTTCAGTGGTTGGGATAAAGCGCACCTTTTTCTAACTTGTTGTTGTTTTTGTTGGGGTTGTTGTTGCGAAACTTTTACCGCAGCTAATGGACTAATTAAATTTAAATATTCATTACTTAGAGATGGTATGTTTTTACTATAGAGATGGCAATTTTTTTAATTTAGCCTGGATATTTTGTCTCAAATCTTGTTATTTTTGCAAACCTATTAGACTGGTTCAGTGGTCTGTCATCTTTTGACAAGCTCACTTAAAGCGTTACTAGTACAGACATGTAATGTGACGTTTAGAACTGCTGTAATGCGATTAGTCATTTGAATAACTTCTCATCCATATATTTCAGCATTACTCACATAATGAATTACATATTATATATATATACGGTATGTCAAATAACTATCTGAGCGAATATTTATACAATATTTTAGAATTTTTCATTTCTCTGTTTAAATTGAATCTTGATTTGTTATTATATAAAGCTTTGGTCTATACTAAGGACGAACAAAATCAATAATCAAAATTTTTGTGCCTGCAACTGCTAGAAATCCTATGTTAAATAAAGGTGCGGCCCGCGATTTCACCCAGCTTTTCGTATCTGGCCCTCCTGTAATAAAGGTTGCACACCCCTGGTCCACACAATGTTGTTTCTTCTGCAAGGGAGATGGTGATGTGAATGATTAGCGTAATCATAATTCAAACTTGTAAAGCAAATATGGATTCCCACTCTTGAATGGAACAAAAAAAAAAACATAAAGAATGGTTGTTACAAAATGGCAGAATCTCTTCTCACATAGCTAGCTAATTAGTGGAAGCTTGTTAATGATGTGGAATGAGATTCCACTCTGGTTACGTACAGGTCCAAAAAATAGAACAAAGAATTGGCAGTATCATTACTGTTTTCGGTAAATCTTAAAAATAAATCTAAAGCATTGTAGATTTTGTTTAACAAAAAAAGACATAATCAGCTAATTCTTGACATTTGTTTTTTAATCGTATCTATTTTCTGATCTTGTTTAGATAAATCAAGATAAACGTCAAGCAAAGCTGCTGAAAAATTATAATTTTCCTGTTAACTGGTCAATATTTTTGGTAACTATATTTTGACAATATTGCAATCCCAGTCTGAAGGTTAATATATATTATTTATGATGTTGTAATGAATATTGTATATTCATGTTTGTTAAGAATATATATTTAGACATTGCTTGTTTGAAAACTTCAAATTATGGAAAAACAGGCAACACAATGTTTCACAAAGATTGGGAAATAGAAATATTTTGAATTAATTCCTTATATGTTAAAATGGTTATATGTCACTGCCACATTTAAAAAAAAAGCTCTACGGTGTAATTATATGTTATAGCCTACTATACATTATAATGAAGTAACTCGTGAAATCGTCATGTTATCATTGTGTTATAAGAATCGTACAATGTTAAAACATGACGATTTCATGAACCCTTGAAAATCTATATACCTGTAGTCCTGTACTTCACTTATCGGAGCCATTTTAAAATGATCAAATTGCATTTTCATTTTGTAGATAGATAACTGTATAATATTTCAGTAGACTTTTCCAATTTTATAAATCTTGCATGTTTTTTTTATATATACATGAACAGCCTGAATCTGCAGTTTTGCTTTGCTCAACTTCACCAAAAGGAACTGTTATTTGTCCATTCTACTTTAAGGTAACTCTGATTACTTTTGATACTGCAAATATATTAAACTCAAACATAATTCCATGTTTTTTAGAATTGGTGTAGATCTTGACATTTTGAATTTAGATTTGACACATTGAAAACTAAATTCATATCTAATTACTACTCTACAAAAAATTAAGAATTATATTTATCTACTTCGTGACATTGTTACGAAAATTTAAATATATGTAAATTTAAAAATGCTATGCTATTTCTGATTAAAGCAACTCCCTTGATGGAATAACGGATCGAATCATGAGATGTTCTCCTTCTCATATGTAATTAACATTGCTGTACTATTGTATTCAATACGATATCGTATGTTAATATATTTTTTCGTATAGAATAGTCAAATATTAAGACTTTCAAAATTTGATGTCGACCGATCAATACCATCATCAAGCGAAGCAAGGATCGAATTATTTGAACGGGATGTCACAATGGTTAATCTGTAAGTTCTTTTCACAATAATATAGACAGATTTACCTATTCAACTTTTTATCATACCAGATCTAAATGCTAGTTCATGTCCCCAGTTGAATGTACTTAACCAAACAAAATGCATAACAAATATATTTGAATAATATGGGTAATCTAATTATCGGCTTTTTGTGGAATTTGCTTTTATTCCATCAAAATATTGATTTATGTAAATTTTACTTCATAATTTAGTGCATTTTGTCATATATTATTCCCGATAATGAAATCAATCGAGGATATTCAAATCTGAAATGAATTACTTAGAACACCTATTGATTCGAATAGAGGTATTTGATCCTTTTAGCAATATTATTTCTAGAGTTTTGTTACAGTAAAACTAAGTTAGCCGTATGTACCGGTATGTATAAATTATCTTCATTGTCAGTTTTTGTGTTTCACATCTGTTATTTTAGTTTTATGATATTGAAAATTGGTGTTATATCACAATTGCATTTTCTTCATCCTCATATGTTGAATATCGAAATATACCTTTTTTGTCAGGTATTCCAGTTTGTACATAGCTGTCTTGAAGCATCCGCCATCACAATCAATTTCAGGAACAGAAGTGAATCTTTTTCTACTCAGCAGGTTTGTCATGAAACTCTTAAATGTGACTTGTGTCAGTCAGATATTTTATATTAAACTGGCTGTGATATTTCAGCCTACTTTTGTGTTTTAATTCTATTCGATGTTTGAATGTTATTTAATTTTAAAATAAATCATATTCATTTTAGTAATGGAGATTCAATCCCATTTTTATAAATTATCCACCGACTAGGAAGACAATTAAATGTTCATCTAGAGCAGGGGTTCTCAACCTGGGGTTTGCGAACCCCCATGGGTTCACGAGAAGATTTCCAGAGGTACTTGAATGACAGTTGAGTTTTCATGTGTTGCCAATTTTTTTATGTCCTTTACTATCAGAGAAAAATGCGTGGAATTTCCCTGATCTTGCGTTGCTGTAACTCAACAATGTGAAATCTACAGCTTTGCAGCCAAACTGGGTAATCTCAAAAGACAATGTGCTGTTTGCTCCTCGAATTGAGGAACTTATTTGCAATAAACAGGAACAGCCTTCGCACTAATGTTCTGTATAAATAAAACAAATACTTTTGTTATATATCAGTTAAGACAGTGGTTCCCAACCTTTCTGTCGGACCGGTAAAATTAAATAAAATGTATTCGCGAATCGGCAAAAAATTGAAAGAAAATAACAACATATATTGGCGAAATGTAATGCAATGTCGGGCACTCACTGTAAAGGTAAAAAATGGCACACTTGAAAACAATTCACATGAATAAAAACAAATTCTGGGTTGAACAAAGAAATATTCATAACCTTTTATTTGGATGTTAATATTGTGCAGAAAAACCATGCAGGACAGAAAAAACATTGCGTCGATCTTTGGGTTTCTGAATATTGCGAGATTTGACGGACGCTTTCGCGATGTATCGGAACCGAAAAAGTCAATAAATTGTGAAAACTCGACGCCAAGACGTCGTAAGGCCATTAAAACCGCAAACAGCAATATGTCGGCCAAAGAGAATTTGCGGAATAAACCAATGCAAAATCGTTATTTCGGGTTCGGTAAAGCGATTGGGAATGCAGAAAAACAAAAAAAATTCTCGCAGACCGACAAAAAAGCTTCTGGTGCCGGTCCGCGGACCAGCGGTTGAGATCCACTGTTTCAAAACACAGTTTAAAAAATGTTAAATTGTTAGTCAATATATCACAACTTTGTTTGATGTCTGATTACTGGGGGTTCGTGTTGAATATTTCATGACTCCGGGGGTACTTAACAGGAAAAAGGTTGAGAACCTCAGATCTAGAGTGTGAGTAAACAAATTTTCCTGTGGTAAGAGCAGTATTTGTAAGACTTACCTGACAAGGCTATACTTTTCAACGACTGAGCAATTGTACCCACTGATTAATTTACAGTTACATCATACATCCTTAATTACATTTTTACAGAGAAGCACCAGCAAAGAAAGTGTATAGCTTGATAACTGGAATGTCTGGTAGATTTGCAATAAGTGTTGTGGATAGTTTAGTTATTGTTCATCACCAAGCTTCTAAGGTTGGTAAATTCCATGTTCTGGTAGTTAGATTAACTTGTGAATGCAAGTTATTATACTTTTATTACCTGAATATAAATTCTTTCCTTTGAATTTGTAAGTGGCTAAAGCAATGATATAAATTGTTTCTACTTTTTGAAATTGCATTTGCATTGATCAGTATTGAGTATATAATATTCCGATTGTATTGTATTCAAATATGAATTGATTTTGAACAGTCTTAATCTAATCCGGGACTGTGGAGATTGAGAAATAATCAAGCTTCAAACTTCTAGAAAACCAAATTCTGACCACAAAAACATTTACATGTGTAAGTGCTGTATAAAATACATGTCACATTAACGTGTTTTGAGATTCTGCTGGTAATAGTGAACTTGACCATTATAAATTGAAATTTCGACGCCATAGTCTTGCTTTGATCTACTGTATTTATTATAACCTGCAAAATTCTGTACTGATTTTCCATAAAAAAGTAATGGTGCATGTTATACACAGGTTTCCATTCTTGGTCTGAACTGAGAAAAGGGGAGAAAATTTTTTGTATCAATTTTCAATCAAAAAGTAATACGGCGTATAGTTTGGATTTCTGCCCATTGACAAATCACCCTTGCCTACTATGTCTCTTTAACTAATATCCCGAAATGAAACGAATAGATTTCTCCCAAAGTGATTTAATCCGGATATTAGTAAGACAAAGTGACCTGACAAACAATAAAGATGAATATTAAAATGAGTACAGGCAACCAGGCACAATACAAAGCAAGAATATACCAATTCACTTACATTTAAATGAGGCTTTGTCAGAACAGATTATCCCAATGTAAGAAACTTAAGAAATAGATTATTCATACCCAATGACTATAGCACCATTAACAAGCTTATGAGAACAGATCTGAAGACAGACTAAAGCTCTAGACAGTTAACCATAACAAGAAGTAATCAAGTAATCAGCCAATAATCGCGATGCAGTGAACCATACGTAAACACACCAAAAAGTAAGTAGTACCAAGATAAATCAGTCAAATGTTCAAACCACTCCCCCCCAGTCTATGAATGCAATGAAAAAGACGATAATATTGAACATTGTTGACTCGGAGTAACTGATATGAGATTAGATGTCTTTCAACCCACACTGTAGCTCTTCTTTGGTCGCAATTAGACAAAGTTTATGTATTGGTCGATTGTATAAATTCCCATCGCTGTCTTGTGATTGTAACACTTCTCACCAAGCCATCTGAACTGGGCATAATGTTGTGAACCAGTGCTTTTTTCCATAAACCTCTGGGTGCACTTCCGCCCTTAAATCCAGGTTGAAGAATTAATACGTAATCTCCAACTTGAAGATTGCGTCTTGTTCGAAACCATTTGTTAGCAAGTAATAGCTGAGGCGGTATGTGTTTCATCCATGTTTTCCAGAACACCTCAACTCTGTTTTTCCGCCACTTTTAGCATGTCTCGTGGATTGAATCTCTCTTCTGGAGTTTTAGGACTACCTGCCTTTGCATATGGATGCTAAAGAGTATTGCCAGTAATACAATTATATTCCAAAGGGTTTCCATCTGGGAAAAGTGCTCGACTATTGATGATATAAGTAATTTCGTGAGAACAGTTGTCCATCTTCGTAGTCATAAGAGCCCTGCTGTAATTCACCACTCGATGCATCGAGTGCTTTGCGAAACCGAGGTTGATAAGCGATTCTACTACTCCATTCATATGTTGACGCGTAAGGCACATTATATTTCCATCAAATTTCGTTTGATTCTCTGCCATCTCATGTTGAATCAACTGAAAAATTCCTTTCTCGATCCATTCCTTGATAGCGCTTGACTAGCTTGAAATTGAGTACCTCCGTCGGAAAATACAAAAGGCCCCCCCCCCCCCCCCTGGATGAATACCCCTTATAGACTACAGATCTTCTCCCATGCCCGAAGGATAGAAGTTAGATATCCAGAGCCAGACACAGTTTCCAGATGAATACAACGAGTGGTTGCACATGTAATAATTAAAACAGACGCGTTGATAACTACATTTCGAGATTGCTTTACTTTCAAGTATCCGAAAAAATCCATTGCACAGAATTGAATGGTGCCATCTGTAGTTGCATTCGAAATGAAGGAAGTTCTCCCATGCGTTGCTGTAGCAACTTTCTACGGACGGAATCCTGCAAAATATACACATTGATGCTATTGATTTTAAGAGTATTCTTCCACCAATAAGAACAATACCGTCATTCTTCATATTTGCCAATATAAACTCGATACCCTTGATGTAAGAACTTTTTATGATAGAACACTCCAAGAAGACGAACGAGGGAATGTTTGCCCGGGAAGCACGACTGGATGCTTCATTTTCCATATATAATCAGTTCTATTCAGTCTTCCACCAATACGAAGAATTCCGTGAGAATCGAATAACAAGTCTAATTTCCATAGAGTTTTGACAGCCTTCCCAAATTCATCAATCATAGATTTTTGACAAATTCTGAATATACACAATTTTTGCTTTCTCTATGTATTGTAACGACATCGGCAGGTTTAAATTCCAAATTGACAAATGATTTTTGCTGAAATGCACCCTTCATCCAAGCTGTCGCTCTTAGCAAGTCTTGCCATGAAGAAAAATTATCCGCTAAATCATTATCATTTTGATAAGGCAAATCTGCTTTAACGACGTTGAATTGTCTTTTTCCGCGATATGCTTTTGACTTAGTTGGTGGTTTTTCTTCCAATATTTCTTGACGTAATTCATCTAATTTTAAGTCATCATCATTCGGCCAATATTCCATTGGTTGCCTTAGAAATTCAGGTCCTTCATGCCAAATTGTAAGCTTCTCGCAGGAAATAGGTTTTGTTAAACAATCTGCAGCATTAAGAAGACTTGGAATGAATTTGACTTCTTTTGTTAGATTCTTATGTGTATCTTGAAATTCTTGTACTCTTGAAGCAACGAATGGTTTGAATTTTCCAGATTGGGAGTTCAACCAATAAATAACAACTTTGCTGTCTATCCAGAAATATTTGAATGCAATATTGTACGGTAGTGCTTACTTATTTCATGCACCAATCTGCTCATGCCTATTGCTCCCATTAGCTCCTTTCTTGGAGTACTTTTGTGTTTGAGTGGCGCCACAAATCCTTTGCTGCAACGAATGTTAGCTTAACTCCACCTGTTGTAGGCCACCGTAAGAACACACAAGTGCCATAGGCTAAATCTCCACCGTCTGAAAATGCGTGCAGTTGAGGAGGTCCAGTTGTGTTTTCAGGTTTCAGACATCTTGGAGTTGAAACTTGAGCTAACTTGGACATTTCTTGAACATTGTTATACCAGCATTTGACCACATCATCTGGCAAAGTTTGGTCCCAGCTAAATCCATCTGCCCAGATCTTTTGAAGATCTATTCTATACTGCATTGTGACTGGAAGTAAATAACCCAGAGGGTCCCACAATTTCATTACACATGCTAATGCTCTTCTTTTAGAAATCCTGTTTCGCATGAAAGAAATGTCTTTGAATTTTGAACTGAAACTGTCATCAGTTTTATTCCAGGAATGACCAAGAACATTCAACAACTTTCACCAGGATTTGATCTATTATCTTCAGGATGGTTTGAGTTCAAATCTTTATAGAGATTTTCCACGAATAAGTATTTGATCAACATCATTGATAACCTTGTTGCAAGAATGTGATTCGAAACAGAATGGCTTGACGTCATCATGTATGTATCTTTGTCCAATACAACAGCTCCAGAGGATGATCTTTCGAAATTATTCGGCTAAAAATTTAATTGTAAAGCATGGCCAAGTCAGGACTAGATTTATCTCCGAACATAACCGAAGCCATTGAAAGATTGTTGGTTGCAACGATGAATCACCAATAGCGCCAAAGGAAACGATGAAATTTCTGATCGACTTCTGCATTTGAATTTGATTAAACATTTTCGATATATCACCAGCATAGCCACACTATCAGCTCGCCATGCCATGAACATCTGAACAAAGAAATTCGCAAAGCTGGGGCCTTTCTCTAAAACCATCATTGAGACATGTGCCCTTAAAAGGACACGCAGAAATCAAATACTATTCTTAATTTTGTTGAGGTTTATCCGGACGCTCTAACGATACGATGATTGAGGTACCATGCATTTTCAACTTTAGCCGTTTTCGTTTCAAACCGGTGTTAGTCGTCGTACCACGCCTCGCTGAAAGCAGATTTTTAATCTCCATATTATACTCTTCCGTTTTTCCTTTCTATACAATTCTTGTTCCCGTTTTTTCATTTGTTCATACGCCTTCTCAAAATTGTTGTGCAATTTTCTGGGAACCAGGTTCCATGGCATTTTGACACAAACTCGGCCATCAGCACTAATATTGGTTGTCGCTTTTACATGTTTGATAAATGCTGATTCTGCAATTTCTGAGTTAGAACAAACACACAAAGTTGTGGGTTGCACTCCAAGAACTTCACCATGGAAAAACTTGCGCAAACTCTTCATTTTCTAATGATGAAAAACTATTAATATTTGCTACATGATGAAAGATCGTTGCGGTGCTTGAATAATGCCTCCATATAGATAGCATCCAAGAGATGTGAAAGCTGCTGAAGGATGATTATCGGGATCAATTGGCGAACGTAATGAATGCATTGTTTGAATTAAAGGTGCATAATCTCTACCAACAAGAACATCGACTGTTTTTGCCCAACTGGTATTTATCCTGAATTCCTCTTAGATAATCAAACTGTTTAAAAATAGATGGCGGAATTGGTGTAACATCGTGACAAGGTTTTCTCACAGCCGTAACTCTGATATCAAATATCTGGTCTCGTGAAAGAGGTTCTAACTTTTAAATTATAATCTTCAGAAGGTTCTTCATGAATGGCTCCTCCTGCGACACCAAACCGAATTGTTCCATGACCTATTGCCTTTTGTTTCAATGATTTTTACAAAATTACGTCTTACCAAAGAATGGTTACTGCCACCATCAAGAAAGAAATTTGCCTTGATCCATGTTTTGTCACTCGCCTGCACTTCTGCAACAAGTAATGGAGAATAATCCAAATTAAAAGCGCTCAATTGTCTTGAATGCATCTGAGATTGGTTGAATACTGCTGCATTAGAGTGAATATGTTGACTTTCCAAATTCGAGTCGTTCATACCAGAATTTCTCATTGTATTGTAATTTCCCTGTACTTTTCCGGGACATAATGACCAATGATGTTGTCTTTGGTTACAATTTACACAGCTATCGGCTATTGTTCTTGCACAATTTCTTGCAAAGTGAGTTCCTAGACATATAAAACTTCTTCGATCATCTGCTATAAAGTTTTTTCTTTCAGGAATTGATAGGTTTTGATATTTGTTGCAGTCTATAAGGCGGTGCTGAATTCCACATCCAAAAATACAAGTGACTGTCCTTCGACGTGGCTGAACTGAACCCATGTTATCATTCTCGTCTGTAGCATGATTAACCGTATTGAAATTAGATCTTGGCGACTGGTTTTGTCTCGGTCGAAACCTCATATTCTCGCTTTGACTGATAAAGTTACCAGATATTTCCAACGCTGTAGCTTCAGATCTCAGAAAATTCGTTATAGATTCCAAGTTATGATTACCTTTGCTGGAACTATTATATCGCAGTGCAGTGTCTGCATCTAGACACTCTAAGGCTCTATTGACAGAAATAACCGAGTTTGCATCCTGTTTTAACCCAAGATCTTCCATACGTCGGCAGAAGAGAGAAATTTCGTGAGCTAGTCGCCTAAGGTTCGCTGGATTACGAGAGGTCTTATATAAAGGTTTTATTTGCTCGTATTGCTTGATTACTTCACGTTGAACTACTGATTTAGGAATACGCTCTTCCAGGCGTTCCCATACACTTGAAATTGATTTACAGTCACATATCATTGTTTGATAATCGTTTGGCATTGCACCATTGCGTAAAAGCCATGAAATTTGCACTAAATCATCCGTAATTCTAGCATGGTGCATTATATGTGTGAAACGTTCTTTCCAGGTATAAAAGTCTACTTTTTGTCCGTTCCAGCATGGCGGATCCATACCACATAACTTAATCATAGGAGGATCATTATTATAATTGTTTTGAGTGGTTACAAGAGATGATATCACCGGCTTTATATCTAGTTTGTCTTCATATTTCTCAAAATCGATTGCAATCTTGTTTTCCAAACGTAAAATTTCTTCACTAAATTTGGATATAACGGGTTTTTCCTCACTTTGTGTAGTACTGTCTTCTTCAATTAGAGCCAATTCCATAGTATCAATTAGACAGACCAAAAATGCTATTTTATCATTAGCATCATGAAACAGTATTTTGACCTTTTCAAAATCTCTTCTTTCCAGAGAGTGCTCAAATCGTGTTAAAATTCTTTCCAAATTTACTTTGAGTACCGGAAACTTACTCTTGAGTTGTTTGAAATTCTGACCTTGAAAATATTCTGCCATTGTTAGTTGGCATTCTTGCTTTGATGTATTGCTGAATCCTCGAAAGGTTGAAGAAGAACTGCTTGATTCAGACTCCAGTTTGTAGGTGTAGGTGCAGTATCATTAAATGTCACTAGTTTGGATTTCTGCCCATTGACAAATCACCCTTGCCTACTATGTCTCTTTAACTAATATCCCGAAATGAAACGAATAGATTTCTCCCAAAGTGATTTAATCCGGATATTAGTAAGACAAAGTGACCTGACAAACAATAAAGATGAATATTAAAATGAGTACAGGCAACCAGGCACAATACAAAGCAAGAATATACCAATTCACTTACATTTAAATGAGGCTTTGTCAGAACAGATTATCCCAATGTAAGAAACTTAAGAAATAGATTATTCATACCCAATGACTATAGCACCATTAACAAGCTTATGAGAACAGATCTGAAGACAGACTAAAGCTCTAGACAGTTAACCATAACAAGAAGTAATCAAGTAATCAGCCAATAATCGCGATGCAGTGAACCATACGTAAACACACCAAAAGTAAGTAGTACCAAGATAAATCAGTCAAATGTTCAAACCAGCGTATAATAGGCGAGTGCGTGTTATGTTATAAATAGTAAATACGCCCATTTTACTAACTCTAATCAATACCTGCTCACACAATGAAATAATATCTGATTTGCTTCCATTTTTAGACTTCAATGATATTCGACATCAAACTTCCAGGAAACACATCAAATTCAGTAACTTACCTCAAGCCTGTGATAGCTCCATTGCCAATTGCTTCACATAAACTTTCTGTTGCTGGTAAGCTTTTCATTGCATCTTTGTAGAAAATTAGACCTTGGTAAACATCTGGACATCTAGAGAGCAAATATGGATTTTTGTGTCTAGATGCAGCTTTGGACATCGTAATATTTTATAATTTAAACAGAATAATAAGATTATTTCAAATCACAAGTAGATGTTGTTAGATGCCGTGCGGGGACCAAGTTCAATACAGTTTTAATGGGAATTTGTATAAAATAACTAAAGATGATGATAAAATAGGAGAGTAATAAATGTAACTTGTTATACTAGTATCAAGCATTTAAATTTTTAATGATGATACTCTGGGAAACAACACTAAAAAGTTGCCAAGTGTACTTAGAAAAGTTAGTTTTTGATGGAATATATCGTAATTCTTTTGCTTCGTTTTTCAGGATTTGGTTTGAATGCCCCGACTTCAGAAGTTGAATGCCAGCTCTGTATCCTTTATTTGCGAAGCAGTGCTATTCAAACCATTACTTTTTTCACAAATAATTCACAGAAAAGATTTGCAGTTTTGTTTTGCATTTTGAACTATATTCTGAAAAATGGTTTCAAATATTGAAAATTGGATATATTGTGAATTGAGCATTTCAGCATGAGGATTGGTACAAATCATAGTGAATTCATGGATTGAATGTGATATTAACAAAAGTTGGGAATGTAAACTTGAATAATTGCCAAATATTTAGTTCAAAAACCTTAACTTTCATCTGTAACCTAGATGCCCCAACTTGGATTGTTTTTCAGCCGAATATTATAATTGATGCTGCTTTAGGTTGTATGTGGTTTCTACAAATTAAACTCGATGCAATTTCTACTCTTTTTCAAAACGTGGTGAGCTTCATTTTATAAACTTAGTTTGTGTATTCTTTCAGCTTGAAGAAAACTTGAAATTGTTGTTGATGGCTTGAATATAATGAACCATAATTTAAGCCGATTTTCTACCATAATCGCCATTCATGGTTAAGGGTGTCTCTAAATTCTGAACAAAGTTTCACCTACCATGTATTTAAAAATCAAACCCTTATATGTTTTTATTAGAGATATTGGATTTGAATCCACTACCTCATCTTAAGTATAATAAAGTAAGCGACCCATGGCAAACTACAGAAGATCTTTTTATTACCAAGTAACTCATTGTTCTTAAGCGTCTGCATGCCTAAAAATTCATATGAAAATATTTTAAAGTAAAACATTTCAAGCTAAAGGGTGAGTAACCAGAACCCAACTGAAAGTTGAATAGTGGGACTATACCATGAATGAAATCTTGAGTATGATTGAGTACAATATTGATATTCATATATGGCTATTCCTTCCCACTTTATCGATAACTGTATGGTTTTTGCTTCTATAATGATCCCTATGCTGATCACAGCAACGAATCTTGTTGATAAAATATGACATATTTTGTGAGGTTGTTTCACTTCACTAAAGTACTTTCTCTTTAATACATGAAGGTTATTAAATGCAATATCAAATTTCTGAACAGAATTTTTTTCTTTATATTCACAGGTTCAACTATTTGATTTTTTGCTGCTAAGGCGAGGAAGTAAAGCTGTTATGTTGAAAGTATTGAAGAAAAGTTGGTGAAGATTTTTTCCTGCATAATTTCCTTCCACTAATTGGGCTTGTTTTTATATTATTGTTTTATTATCACACAGTGCTGCTCTCTGATAATGAAGGATCATCATACAAAAATATTGCAGCAGTATTTGATAAATTAAATACAGTTTACAAGACTTATACTGAAGCAGAACAAGCTTACCTACAAATGAGGGTAAGATTTACCTTTTAATAAAAAATGGGTACCACTACATACATACATGAAATATTTGAATGATCTGTAATGTTTTTGGTGCTTACAACTGTCTTAATAAAAATGATTTACAATTTTTTAGTTTGCTATTGTCTTTTTTATATGACGCATATTCATGCATTTTTCTGAACAAGGCCGAGACGAGCAGCCATTGATATTTAATGATATGTAACAGGCCCATATTATTTGGGACTGGGATCTTTCTAATTGAGCATTGCCTACTCAATTTTTTACACTCTAAGTGAGTTAGGGGCATGGAATTTGAACCTGTGATATGTAATTTGCAAAAGCACACAAAGGTAACACTGTAACCGCCGCTTCTGTGCGAAGCGATGTCAATAATTATTTCAAGTGTGACCTGGCTTTAAAGTATATAAAACACCTATACAAATAAAGATTTCTCTTAGATAGGGCTAAGGTACATGTTTATTTGTTGAAGAAATCGGTTGGTTGAAACGGATAGACGGATATTCTCATTTCAGAGACAAGAGGCAGCTTCGGGTTCAGCAAGTTCGAGTACTATTAACAATGTTCCACCTCATCGTATGCAAGTTGTTGTTGATCAGAGTGATATGTACACTCATGTATTATCAGTTCTTGCAAGACAGAATGGGATTGATCAAATTTATGTTTGTCAAGTAGTCGTTGAATACATCAGATCGTTGGATCAAAATAAGTTGACGATTCAGGTAAATTAGTAAACCTGTTTGATAATACTGGTACTATAAGATTGCTTTCAACAACATTACTTTCCCTCAATCTAGGCTTTATTTGTTCATTGGCAGCCTTTTATTGCACACGAAGTGGACCTATGGATTGTTTTGCTGTGGCTGAGAAGAAAAAGAAGTTGCTGGGCTATGATAGATTGCCTGATATTTTAACCCAAATTTAAATGTATTTTATAATGCCATGGCCATTTGTGACCATTGCTCGTTTGTCATTAAATGAGGTAGTACATAGATCAGGGGTCTCTAAAATTATATAACACACGGTTGGCCCACTATTCCATCCATACCAACATCAATTCATATGTTTGATTGCTTTCCTCATCTCCTTTATTAAACCCTAATGACTATGTGCTATTAATAATATGAAAGCATGGTATGGCTTTGAAAACGTTTTCCCACTCAGAGCACTACTAACAAGAGCTAAAGATTTTTTCTATTGAGCATAATTAATATATGGCTATTATACACTGGCACGGAATTTCTCGGTCCGACCAATTTACTTATTCTTTCACTTCAGCATTGTTTATATGTCACTTCTTTCATTCCAGCATTATTTATATGAACTGATTATACACGCACTCATAACAAGTAAAAATTATCATCAACTTCAACAATATATTCATTATAATTTGATTGCCGATTCAAGAATGATAGCCGGTTATTTATTGTCATTGGAATCGTCTTATCCTCCTGTTTATCAAATAGCTTTGGATATGTACAAGGTAATTGCTTTCTTACTGCAAACCACGCTCTGTTCAGGACACTTTTAATCAATAATAGAGTCCTTCATCATAGTTTAGTTTCATACATATATGATGGTCTTTTGTTTAACCTTTCATCCAGAAATTTTCTAAGTTATAATGCTAGCAAATGCCGTCGTGATAAAATTTATTCCCACTAAGTGTGATCAATATTACTTTTGCTTCATGGGTTCGACATCACCATTAACATTTTTATTTAGAGAATTTCAACAACAAATGATGAGATTGTTGACATACTTCTTGCGAAACATAAGGTATAAATTTTTTGGTTACAAATGGGATATATGTATATCATTTATAAGATTACTACTAATAATTCATGTAAAATTTATGTACACGGTATGTGGATCTTCGCTCGCTTCTCATTCAAATTCTGACTGTAGATTAATAATATACAAACATCCAGTTTCTATACAGCGAGACTGTTCACATCACACATTTTTTATAGATACTTGAAGCTATTAGGTTTGTTAAATCTGTATCAATGCATGATTCTGTTTCTGCGAGAAAATTTCTGGAAGCAGCTTTAGAAGCTGATGATGATCTGCTGTTTTATGAAACATTCAAATTTTTTGAACAAAGAAATCATCGATTGAGAGGCAAGAAAGATTTTTCCCCAGGTGTGATTTTCACAGCTATGGTATTTGCTTATGTTAGTTTTTCTAGTGTTGTGCTACCACAACACTAAAGTAATGATATCTGGAAAACCCAATTTTGATCAGAAAAACTTATAAATAACTATGATAATTGCAACTATGACAGTCTACTCATTGCGTTTCTGAACTCAAAGACAATCTACAGACAATCTAGTTATTTCACCCATACAAAGGCGAATAAGTAGTGTGTGGCAATAAAAACTAAAGATTAGAGGTCCACCTCAGGGGTCCGTTTTGGTTCCCTAGTTTTTATTTTAACGTTCATGCAAAAATTTTCTCGGTCCTTGTATTCTAATTAAGCTTCCTTAATTTTATTGCAGGTGAGCAGTGCGAGAAGTTTATTACACACTACGAGGAATTATTTGAGGATTTTGAGATTATCGCTAAATGAAGTTCCAATTTTATTCGTTCATGATTGTTTGTTACAGTGCAATAATAGCAATATAAACTTTATAATGGAACATAGTGTGTGGTTGATCATTTGTCTGTTCTGAGTCTCTTCGCTTGTCGGTCTTCAGCAGCATTGTGATCTAAAACAATAAATAACATTTATAGGCAGGGGGTTGGTTAAAAGTAATTTATATGACAGCCTGTTGCACTACCTATTGTACTCATTTTCCCTCGGTTGCGTACATATGTAATATCTTTGACATGTTTCAGTATACAATCCGGAAGGGTATAATATAATTACTTTTACTCATGATGTACATACGAATGTAGCAACATCCGATATAAAAAATAACAACTCCGAATCATAAAAACCGATAGGAAGGCACCTTATTGTCCCCCTTTCCCGGTCCAATGCTAATATTGAGCAGATTCAAGGAAACTAGCTGGAAATATGGTATATTATTCTGTACATAATATACAGAAACACACAGTTGATGACAATTACCTGAAGAATGCTTTCTCCTTTGATCGAATGGTTTCAAATTTTTCCTGGGTTTGTATGGGACATTGTGTTTCTTAGCTACATATCTTCTCTGCCATTCAAGTTGAGGAAAATTGTATTCTTCTAATGCTTTTCTTGCTGCATTCCTTTCTGCTTCCTGAATACTTTCTCCTTGTCCATTACCGATAGGTGATCCTATTATGCGATGATATGAATTTTTATGGATATGATTAATCTATTCCAGGGGTGGCCAACCTGCTTTCCGAGATCGACCAAAATCTTCAAAATAGCTCGCGATTGACTAATCGGTAATAACGTCCTACACAAAAACAAACGAGTACTGAATATGCAGATAACTGCACACACGCATACAAAAAATTTCACTGCTGCCAATAAGATCGTCTCTGTGGACGCATTTTTAATAAAATCACCGCAAAATTTTCATTTCACATTCAATATTTATTCAAATCATACAACTCAAGATTTAATTAAGGATGACTAATTTTTGGTCATAAGTGTTGAAAATTCATCATTTCTAATCTAAACCTTGGCAGCGGCGCAACTTTCATTTGTTACGTAATAATAGGCTCTATCGGGTTTGCCCAGACTCAAATTCTGTATGTGTATATCGTATTTGGTGCTTGTACAGTACTGTATTCTTCTGTTTTAAAACACACAACAGGCGCTGCATGAAACTGGCTCAGGGAAATTTTTGAGGTATTTCGTTGAATTCACTCAAAATCAGACGGGTCGATTGGCGTGTTGGCCACCCCTGGTCTATTCTAATTACATCAACAGTAATGGGAGACCAAATTATGTTCAAGATTGTCAAATGGTCAGCTGTGAGTTTATATAAACTAAAATGCAGATGTATGGGTATCTATTTTAGAGAGAATTACACAATTTTTGAAGCACAGAATGTCATGACTGTATTAGACTATGTGCATTAATGTGATTGCTTTGAACTTTGAACAGGTAGCCTAAAAAAAGTATGTGACACCAGGTTTTTTCATATAGGCTACTTTATAAAAATATAGCTAGGCAAAACTGGCGAGTGAAATGCATGTTCATTTAGTCCATGTCCTGGATGCTTATTCGGACAAACTTCTTCAGTGTTATGGCAAACCAATTAAAAAGTTACAATTATTCTACCAACGCCACCATGATTTGAATCAATACTGGAGGACTTGATGACAATGGAAAATAAAAAACATGGCATGTCTGTCAAGAACGCTACAGTAATTAACTTGTTTGTTGCCTTGTTAGTTTTCATGGAATATTTTAACTTTGATTGCCAAGATTAGTTGGAGATACTTTTGGCTCCAATACCATATAAACAAGACAAACTCACGACTCCTCATACAGATAATGAGTTACAATAGTAGTGATATGAAACCTTTGAAATACACTGCCACTTTATATTTTCTTGCATGTGAAGGTCCTGCTTTGTTTTCAATTTTATAAGTTGGTAGTTGAGGTTCCTTTCCTTCTTGTCTAAGTGTAAGACAGCATTGTTGCAAGCATGACTTTGGATCATTCCACTCTTGTGTGATGATGAATTCCTTCAGTCGTGGGAAAAAACAGACCTGAGACAATAAAAAACAATTTATACATATGATGAAAGTTTTTCCAGGGTTCTGGGTTCGACTTTTATCAATAACTCTGTTATAAATTATTTTTGGTCAATATCTGAATATTTAGGTAGAATTTTATTCTGTAAATATATTTGTCATTTTAAATTGTTACGAAAGCAATCAAATCATGGCATGTAAATCTAGATTCCACTGCAGCAAATGGTAAATTTACTAGAAAACAAACAGTTATTTTCAAATTTCTGTGAAACTAAACTCTATATAGACATCCTTTTGTCTATGCAAACCAACACGACAGCCTATCAGTTAGAGCGTTAAACCTTAAAACTATCCACCATCTCACTCCTGGTGCAATAAATTGGATAGGCGGTGCTGAAATGGAAAATATTTAATTTGTTTGAAAATAGTTGCTCCTTGCGTATCAATGGCTGCTTGTACGTGGAGTAACGTGATTAATGGCTAAAGCACTTCACAATAGAAATCAATATTCTCTTTACCTGCATAAAACCTTTAACATATTCCAGTCCTTTATCAATGTACAATGCAGCAACAAACGCTTCAAGAAGATCAGCCAAATTCTTTTCTCTCCAATCTGGAGCTCTTGGTTTTCCCACTGTATTTGAAGGATCACTGCTCATGTTGGTAATAACATACCTTGGCATGCCAAGCTCAGTAGCAACCATGGACTGTGTCCTTCCATTCACCATAGTTGCACGAAGTAGAGTTAAATGTCCTTCATGATGGGTTGGATACAGCTCAAATAGATATGTAGATGTGACAAGATTGCAAATTGAATCACCGAGGAATTCTAATCTTTGATTGTGACCATGCGTAAGAACGTTCTCGTGCACATTACGCCATGTAAATGCTTTTGCTAGAATTCTGATGTGTGTGAATTTTAATCCTAAATCATCTTCTAGTTTGGTCAGTTTTTGCAAGATCGGCACGCTTTCAATATACTGTCTATCTGTTTCTGGTTCCTCTTCTTGAAGAGGGTGTAATGGGATATCCAACCAAATTTTTTGCAGTTGATCAGTATCCCATAAAAACTTTGCAAATAGCTCTTGTGCCTTTTCCAAACCCGCTTCCATATATATTGCACCCATGAGAGCTTCAAAACAATTCGCCATGGCATGACGTAAATCTGCATTTCGGCATAAGTCTGGTCCATGTGCGTACAGCATAAATTCATCCAAATGCATTCTTTCTGCAAGTTGGGCCAGGTGCTGGTTGTTGACAATCACAGTTCTAAAAGTCGTAAGTGCACCTTCAGAAAGCTCCGGAAACATAAAAAACAAATGTATGCTTGTTAGATAACCCACGACTGCATCACCAAGAAACTCCAATCTTTCGTTATGCTCAATAGGTGAAAGTACGGGTCGTTTTTGTCCAAGCCTTGCCATAATTCTAATGAGAGTTGTGATACCCCGCTTCCGTGTGTATTTATAATGAATAGAGCTATCTCCATATTTGGGTTGCCGTAAGCCACAATTTGAAAGAGCATTCCTAACATGATCAGGATTAGAGCCAAAATTCATCTGACAACTGGGATGATTCATAGAATGACTAAGCCATTTTCTATCTTTGAATTCATATCCAATCTGTTTCTCCAAGGTTGCCAAGCACAGTTGATATCGGACATGATGTGTCAATACAGGCAATAGCAGAGCATGTTGACAAATATCAGAAAATATTCCAGTTTTCATGAAACCCCGACTGCTTACCTCAACTGTAACTTCTCTTTGCATTACCTTTGCACGTCGCATTTCTTGTAGCGCTTCTTCCCTTCGTTTTAGTTTAACTTTGTCAGACTGTTTTACTTTCGGAGAATTTGCCATTAAATGACGAAGTTTCAAATATGATCTCCACACTCTTTGATATTGTGGATCTCCTGCATAACTTAAATTTGCAGGTCGAATTCCGAAATGGATGATCAATGGATATTCATCATCTTGATCTTCGTTTTTTACATCCGGATTCTCTACGGATTTTCTGTCATAACGATCCACTTGATCTACTCTTAGTGAGCTTGGCTTTGAACCAGGGAATGTAACGATCATGCCTCTGATTTTATCTGTGTAGTTCAACCATTCCCTGTGGTCACAATTCATAAGATGTGTCAAATCATTCGCACTTATCAAAGGTTTATTATGGGAGAGTAAATATTTAAGAACTTCACATAATGATAAAATTTCTTTACCATTATCTGGAAGAGGTCTCACAAAGCGAGGGAAGAAATGGAACTTTCTATGAACCTCTGTGTTCGTCTCTTCAGGGCATGACTTTGGGATTTCAACCCAATCATATAATTCCAAAATATCTCTGAAGAAGTAATCTGAAAAAAGTTGAAGACCTCTTATACAGAAGTTTTCAGGAACTGGCTCTTCTATCAAGTATATTGTATACCGAATGTGAAATCGAATCAGATCACAATATGGTAATTTGCTCAGTGGTTCATCAGATAGAATGGAAAAACCTTCGAAAACATAATCTCTGCCATCATATTGAATAGTCGTAGGATCAGATGACTCATAATTTACAGGAGGACTGATTGTAACAAGATAGTTGTACATTTTACCAATGTTATTAAAATTTTTTTTCCAGCCGGTAGGTGGTTTTTCGCCAGGATAGATTTTATGTCTGATACCTTTCTTGCGGGCAGTTTCTCCGCATCGACAGAGTGGGCCATCATTAGCTTGACCAGGGTCATTATACCATAATTCGTTATGAAGACGCTTCTCATGATGCTTGAGTTTACGAATAGAACTGATCAGTTCCCCAGCCCGTTGCAAGTAATCTTCGTTGTCAAATTCTCCCTCTGGATCGCTTCCGTCGCTATCATATGTAGTATCAGACTCTTTCATATTATCAGTTAATCTTTCAAGCCTTCTTTTGAGTTTCGCTAAAGCAAAAGTTGGAACTTTAGGGTTGTCCTCTTCGATGTATTTTAAAAGAGGTTTTTCTTGATTTCTTGCTGAATCTTCCAACCTCCTAACAATAGCAGCTGCTCGAACTCTTTTCTGTCTTGGTAAAGATTCCTGACTAAAGTCACAGTTTTCGAGTCTTTGAGACAAAGTAAGACTTTTATCTTTTTCATCTTGTTCTTCTTCTAATGTTTTGCCTATTTCTTCGGGATCCTCCATTATCTCGTTTGGCTTCCATAGTTTTGCATGTCTAGTAGAAAGCTCAGACTCAAATTTATCATAAAGCTCTGTTAACAATGGTAGTGCTTTCACAGTTGAATCGTTTTCTGTTGTTCTACCATAATAGCGGGCATGCTGGGTGCACTGGACATAACTCGGTTGCAGTGATTTCAACTTTTCTTCTATCTTTTCTGCACTGTATTCTGATTCATTGTATTCCTGATCTTCTTTTTCATTCTTAGAATGTCGCCAAATGAAACCAGGTTTCAATGTTTTATTTTCTTGCCCTGGTTTTTCATCTCTGTCGCCACGCCTTGGATTTGGGGAATCTCGCCCAGAATCACTTCTTGAAGAATAACCCCTGTGATGGGGTGATCCCCTGACTTCTCTTTCATGGTAGCGATCTCCATGAGAACCATCTCTATGTCTTCGTTCTCTCCTCTCATTTGTATGTCTCATATCATGATGACGATGAAGCAAATCTCCATGCATATTGTCTCTAGAATGGCCAGGAGGCCTTATCTGTGGCTCATAGAAGGGTGGTCTTCCAAAATTCGCATGAGGATCTTGTGGTCTGGGGTAAGTCATTCTTGGATGGCCGGCACGGGGACCATGTGGTGGGTAAGGGTAGCGATGTTCGACATGTGGAGGTGCATTTTGCTGGAATTGTGGCATGTACTCCGGGGGTGGAGGAGCATATGGGTGCTGAGAGGGATATCCTGGTCCTATATTGTGTGGGTAATTCGAATGCATAGGTCTTGAATCCCAATGTGAGGGAGGTGGCCTTGGAGGGCCATCATGTGGGAATGAATGCCTCGGATACATCTTGAAGTTAACAGTTTTATAAAGAAGAACCTGTAGTAACATAAATAAGAAGTATGCACAAGGTCTCTATGTGTACTAATTGCTACGATTGTTGAAACTATGACCTCGTATTTCAGCAGTTTATCTCGCTATATTCAAGTAATAGACATGAGGAGTCTCGCAAAGTAATCGCCCTGCCGCACCTGCTTAATACCGCCAAACAAAATGTGATGTAAAAATACCACCCATGTTTTCATTATTTAAAAAAAAGTCTGTTTCGTGCAGAATGCTATAATATGTATTTTAGTATGGGACATAGACCTACCTGCTTTGTTGAAGATTGAGTAGAAATGATTTTAACTACAGAACTAAGCGCGTCTGTCAAGAATTTCATTATGCACCTATTTTCTCGAAGAATATAGAAATTTCATATCACATTTTTGTTTGGTGTTATTCAAGCGGTTTGTGGCGTTTACTTTCAGACTTTGTCAGACCGACATGAGCCCAAATTGACACATTTATATATTTTTTTAAAAAGTATCAGGCTATCACTCACAGGTAAAAATATCGATTCTGCTTTTAAGCCACATCAGCACATGCAAACGACAACAAAATACCATTCTCAGATTTTTTAGGTATCAAACTGCTTTCCCAGAGATTTATTAAGACTAAGGGCATGGGTATATAACTGTATAACGACTAGACAAATACTGAGTTACATACCTTTTGTGTTATGAATCTTCGTCCTAACTACTGAACTATGCCGCCCAGTCTTCTTTTCACGACATTGCAACAACAAATTGGAATCTAAAACCCGACGTTCAGACGTCGCCGCTGACCGCATGTAACTGCGACCAATTATGAGTTAACTTAAGCCCTGTAATACTGCTTACGCCGCCTGAGGAAAGAAAGCAAAAAAGATCTTAGTTTTATTTTTTTTCTTAGTCCTTGAATAAATACCGGGTTAAAGTTGAACATCCTATTTCTTCCTATTGTCTTATTGCATCGTCTTGTACTCGCGCCAGGTTTCTTTCAATACTCTGTGCTTGCTGACTGGGTTTGTTTCTGTTTTCTGGTCTCGAAGATGATTGTTTCAAGTTCATTTTTGCGTATGGCGGGAAAGAAAAGTTTAAACAAGGTATGTCAAATAAATTGTAGTATCTAATGCATTAACTCATCCTCTGTACTGTTGTAGCCTAATAACTCTTAGCACGTTAGATTTTATTTTTGCAAAAAACAATAGTTTGGCGCGGCGATGTGGCTCAATGGGCTAAGCGTTAGGAATACGCTCGCCACCGCACCTCTAATTACTCTGCGTGGGTTCGCAGGTTCGAATCCCATGCAGGGATGGGTATGTGCGAGAGGATTGCTGGACTTCTCGCCGTCGTTGGGTGGTTCACGTAACCGCTGGTCGGTTACGGCTTCCTCCACCACCAAGTCCATGCTTCCGAAAACAAACAATATAACTAATCCCATACCCGACTTGGAATGGTAACCGGACGAGAGGCCGTGGTTCGCCATATGGATAAGCCGTCTTATCGGCTTTCCTCTCCCCCGGGATAAATATGTAAATCCTATCCTATCCTAGTTCTTCCTACCACATGTGCAGTTTCACATGAAGGAATGGCAGATTTTATGCAAAAATGTATTACTGAATAGTTAGAATCGTAAAAGGGATAGATTCTATCATAAAGATGATAGATTATAAATATACAGTTGGTCTTAATAACTGTCAGCTTTGCTGACCTAATATGTATAAAAGATTCATTTCTGTTTCAGGCACTTCAATGTTGCAGACCATCATGTTCTTTGTTAAGAAACTTTTCACAATATGGTGGGCGCCATACCATAACAATGATTCCTGGTGATGGAATTGGCCCTGAAATCATGAAGTCTGTTGAAAGAGTATTTACAACTGCTGGTAAGGGTTGGTGGTTGTTTTAGTGTGTCTTACCACCAAAAACTTTGCAAAAACGTGCAAAAAGAGTGATAAACCAAGTCTGCATTTTTTAATTCAACAAAACAAACACAAAAGTTAAAGTCTATTGAATGAGATTAAATTTTAAATACAGAAAAACTTAGATAAATAATGATTGATTGGTTCTCAATTTATTATAGTTTTCAGAATTGAATGAAGATTTTTTTGCTACTATGTCATAATGTGATACTTCAATTGCTCAATATGATAATTTTTCCATTCCAATATAAATACCGGTACCTAAATTATTCCTACACCAAATTTAAAAAATTCAATATAACTATTCTCGAATCAAATGTCTCATTTTGGATATTGTTTCTATAATTTAAGATTGTTCAATGATATTCAAGAATGATAGAAATGTATGCTTGTATATAATATTAATCTATTTGTACTGTTATTGTTTCAATCCAGGTGTTCCAGTGGATTTCGAGAAAGTTGACATCTCGTCAGAAGGTTTGGAAAGAAATACTGAGGAAGCAATTATTGCGATTAAGCGCAATGAAGTTGCCATCAAAGGCATGCTTTACAAAATTTATGTCAGCACTATCACTAATTTACTTGTGAATCATTGTTACGAATATGGTGGAAATGTTTACAGAATAAATAAAATCTATGATCTCTCATCGATCACATTAACATTTGGAGAAATCTTTTTCAGCCAAGCTTGCTTTCAGCAACGTATCGAACCGTCAACTGAAACAAGAGATTTTACTAGATTTTACTCGGCTGTCACATAGACTCGAGAGCCACATATATATATATATATATATATATACTTTAGGGACAAACATATCAATATAAATCAGTTGACACAAGACTTGAAAAAATTGAAACTTCACTGTCTGGGAAATATTTGGGTGATTTCACAAAGTGGAGGTATTAAAAAAACTTTTATCAAAAAGGCTAGGCTATATACTGTTGTAGTTTCATATTCCACTGGCTGACAGCTTCCCTTATTAAACCAACAATAATCATATCTTTATGCTAAATTTTGAATAAATGTCTTATACTTACAGGAAACATTGATACCAAGTTTGACAAAATGGATATTGATGAGAAATCAGCAAACATGGTCATAAGGTTGTTCACTTTGATTTGTTTAATGGTTATAGCTGCAAATTTTAAACTCAGTTTCTTTAAACAATTTCCCGAGCAAGACATGAATTGGGTCAAATCATTAGGGGAGCACCTTGGTTTTAAATCTAAAATGCAGAAGGGAAAATTTCTTTAAGGTAACTTAATTGTCATTGGTCTTGCCCCATCTGCACTCTACTGAAGATATAAATAATTTGAGGCAATCTTTCGTAAAATAAATCGAAACGTAATGTTACATCGAGAGTGAATTCTTTATATCACCCGATCTGTGTTACCTGTTTTGTTGCACTAAATATAAAAGTTGACACTATGTATTAAATCAAGTCTGCCAGTACCTACCGGTAAATCAAATTACTACATTATAATAGAAATATATCCTGATTGAATATAGAAACCCAATATGGTATGTTTGTTCTGGGTCAAACACTTACTGCTGGTAATTCTTTTATAGGACAAAACTGGACTTGTTTGCTAATGTGCTGAAGGTGAAATCTGTTCCTGACGTTTGTCGAAGAAATCACAACGTTGATATTCGAATTATTCGAGAAAACACAGAGGGAGAATATTCAAGTTTAGAGCATGAGGTAGGGACATTGAGTTATTAAAAGGAAACTATAATTTCATTTAGAGTCCGATACATGGTTGAGTTTGATTTAGGTTTATAAAAACTCTCTTTTTTATCTAAAATATGGTCGTGAGCCATTGCCAGTAGTGTTTTGTATTTAATATATCATTACAATGAATGTAGCCTACTTGTTAAGACTTTTCTCCCTTCAAAATTGAATTATTCTCAAATTTAATAAGATCTCATAATGGGGCATATTGTACCCATCAGTTGATTGCAAATGGTATCTTTGACTAAAACAATGTTTTATTCTCTAATTTTGTCTTATCAAATACATCTTGGTATTGTTACGAACAGTCTTACTAGGTTTGTATGGTAATATCTGTTTTGGAAGGACTTATATGGTATTCTGTTTTCATTACATTATATTTAGCGTTGACTTTGATCTTTCATTGCTGTCCTGAATCATCCTGTATAAATTTCAAACATGCTTTATATTGTATTTCAGAGTATGCCAGGTGTTGTAGAAAGCTTGAAAATCATCACAGCAGAAAAATCATATCGAATTGCTAAATTTGCATTTGAATATGCGAGGAGAAATAAAAGAAAGAAGATTACTGCTGTTCATAAAGCTAACATAATGTAAGCATTTCATTATCTTCTGCCTAAAGAACCACTGGATTCATGTTATAGGCATGCTGGCACAACATCTCAGATATTATGAAATAGTTTTATGGGCATCATTGGGATTGACATCTATTGTGCTTACCAACCCCAGTTGATGCATATGCATGTAGGATGCCAGATCACATCTTGTTCTAGCTGTATTCGCAACAAATTTTTGATTCCACCAATGTTGCTAGGTTAGTTCTTGAACTTTTAGAACGCTTATCACATGTACACTTGTTATACAATTTACAATATACAACACTTCGGAAAGTATATTTCATTTTATTAGCATTAATAAAATGTGAACCATTAAGGCTGCTACATATGCAGATCTATGAAGTTCACATTACGTTGCACTTATCTTGAGATATTTATAAATGGCTGGTCAATGATAAAAAACTCATTTATGACCAATATTCATACCAATATTTACGTAAGTAATAATCATTGAGTGTGTTCTTATCTTCCTTTTTCTTTAGGAAATTAGCAGATGGACTATTTCTACAATGTTGTCGAGAGACTGCCAGAGATTTTCCTGACATTGAATTCAATGATATGATCGTTGACAACACGACAATGCAGCTCGTGTCAAAACCTGAGCAATTCGATGTTATGGTCATGCCTAATTTGTATGGGAATATAGTTGGTGAGACTATTTTCCCATTCGTTACTTACAGAAATTACAGTATTCTTAGATATCTGAGTGATCATCCAAGTCAGTACTTCTAACCCTATTCTTTCACTCCTTGGTTAATTTTAAAACATCTGGAGTATGATATTTCAGTTTGCTGTATGTAAAATATCCAAAAGTGGTACCGGATTGGACAGTCTTCCTATAGTTAGTTTGAAAACGTATATTAGAATAGAAGACATTGCAATCTCAACTCATTGCAATTTGCTATTTGGTCAACTGCACATCTGGTGATGCGCTAAAATGAAACCGGTAGCCTATTCATGCGGTAGGGAATTGTGTAAATTTTTTGCTTGCAAAATTTGCTCACAGTTTAGAACTCTTGATCGAAGCAGATATATGGCATTATCCACTGCATAGTATTCAGGAACTACCGGTATTTGAAAACTGTTGTATATATGTGATAAATTTTGTGATGATTTATTTCTTTATTTATTCAACCATTCTCATTTGGCAAAAGAAATTCGTTAATTTGACTAATTAAAGAACCTATTCAAGAGAATAAATTTTTCAGTCTCTTTTTATCGCCATGATACAGTTTATATAATTGAATTTATCATATTTTTTATCAGGTAACATTTGTTGTGGTTTGGTTGGAGGTCCAGGAATGGTGGCTGGTTCTAATATTGGTGATGAATATCGCGTCTTTGAGCCTGTAAGTAGCTGAGGAGTTGATTTAATATTTTTGTTCTGTCAATGTCACAAAGAAATAATATCATTTTGCAGATGGCTCAGATGGCTTTTGCAAACTATCAGTACATTCTTACTTTCAACAACTAGTACATTTTTCACTGATTTTTACACACAAATTATCATTCTCCGAATCATGAGAATATTTTGAATCGGTATGTTGACATTCACTGGTTAGTTGTATTCCCAAGAGTTAGGCAAGTGGGTGGGTCATTATTGGGTTCAGAAATTTAAATATGGAAAAATAATACAATTGTAAATGTGACTTCTTCCAACAAAAGGATTATAGCAAAAAATTAACTCTAAAAATAATAGAAAATCTTTATTTTAGGCAACAAGAAACACTGGAAGCAGAATTGCGGGGCTTGGCATAGCCAATCCAAATGCAATGCTTTTTGCCAGCACCTTGATGCTGAAGTATATTGGGTAAGCAGCTATAAATATATTATTTAATTAACATGAAATGTATGACGTATCAAGTTTATACATTACTTTATGTGGGTTCTATTTGTTACATCTATGAATTTTGTATATTTGCTAAAGCAAGAGCTCATGAGAGCTTCAATAAAAAAATGACAACCATTTAATTCCCAAGTATTTATCTTGGGAGCTATTGTGAATTATTTGTTCATTTTTGGAAGACGAGCGATTACATCAGATAGACACCAAATCCCACAAACCTATGAAAATCTGTGTTACCTCTTATTGGACATAGTTTTTTTTAACTATCATAGGCTCCAAGACTTTAAAACCCACTTGAATATGCATATTTTTGACATGATCGTTCAAAATGAAATATCTCCCCTTTTTTATTGTGTTCTCTCAACAAAAATTTTCGGAAACATTTGATCTTCCCTTTTAAGCTTGATGAACAGCAGCAATGACACTTTGGGTAACCATAGAAATGGGGAATTACAATTTAAACTTTTATTCTAATCTTCGATTCAACCATATCTAAGTTATTGTGTTTACAAACCCACTGTTTATATATCATTTTTCAGACTTCAGAAATATGCGAGCCTTGTTAATCATGCAATCATCGACACAATTTTAATAGATAAGGTAAGTCAAACTGATATCATTGATATAACCCTGACTGTCTGCTGCCACAACCAAACTAAAACCAAATTTTGATGTTTTAGCTAAAAATACCTCAAGGAATTTGTTGAGATTGTGATTAAATTTAGTTTTGGCGTGAGGTACATTGTTTTCCACTTTTGCTTTTGTAACACAGTAAATATTGTCCATAAAATGTAACTTTTATGTTACACTTTCATGGCCCGCCAGTCTAGATGTGCCTGGCCCCTGCTCCAAAAACCTTGCTCACCCCTGATATAACATGTGAGTTGTGACTTAGCTGGAGAACATAGTTTCCACATGAATACCATAAAGGATGTCTGCACTGCACAGCTGAAGATGCCATCTGACCAGAATGACAGTTGAACCAAAAGAATCATTACCATATATGAAATGATTTGTTTCATTTTTGGTTTCTCAGATTCGTACACCAGATATTGGTGGAACAAACTCAACAGAAGATGTCACCAATTCCATCTGTATGAAATTGGAAGAAAGAGCACATGAAGTTCGACATAGTTCCGCCTGAGTCAATGTGCTGCTTTGTGAACAAAATCATGCTTTTCTCAGTTATATCTGCAGTTATATTATTTTCACTGAATCAAGATGCAACATATGCTAGTTCAATATCACTCTTATATCTTTTCACTGTGTTAACTATCTCTGGTGGTTATTACTTTTTTTCTGAATACACTCAAATAAAATATTAACTCCAGTCAAGTTTTATTCATTTTGCCTACGCTTTTTATGCAAGTTTTGACGAAGGCCATCAACAATGTGGAAAGAGCATTATTAGGTTGGTATTAGGTATTATTATCCTTGCAACAGGGATTTCAGTTATGTATAACGAGGGGTGATTGACGAATTTCAAGAGGCAAAGGAAGGAAGGTATAGAACGGTTGGGGTCAATTCTACATTTACAAAGCGGGTATTTTACATGTCCGTGTGTTGTCTTCCAGGAACGGGAACCGATACCGCTCTTATTGGTTTTATGTTGTAATATTTAATTATTAGACACCGATTATAAACATCGCATTATGTATTCTGCACGTGCCCCGTTACGTAATGCAGTCTGTCTTAAACGTTTCTCGTGATTTTATTTCACCTGATGTCAGGCTGCAGTAGCTTTGCAGTGCAAGCGATTTTAGTCTGCAATCGCGTGTCGACTGTCGAGTAGTTTTATTGGATTTGGTTTGTTCGTCCGTGGCTCACTCTGGTGTGCCGAGTTGCCGACAATCAAATTGGGGGAGGTGTTCTGTTAATTTTCGATTCTGTTCTTTCCTGGGTGTAGGTAGATATACATTCTCACCTTGACGATGGGAAAAACTGGAACCGAAAAGGAGCATCTTGTAGATGTTGAAACGAAAAACTACGACAGTGGATCGGTTGTTGGTATCAAACAAGATGCTACATTGACGGTATGCTTAAAATTTATATTACTGTATTAAAATTTAATTCATATTGTAAGAAAGGGATAGTTCAGTGATTTATTATTTAGAAGATTGTGAATTTCTGTACTTAAGAATGAGTATTTGGTGCTACTTTGGTATGCGATCTCAGCGGTTGTGTGATCGCAATAACAGAATGATTTTGGTTAGGGTTAAAAACTAAATACTACAGTGCTATGAGAATGTCATGTCTTTCACTTATATAGTAATCCTCGTTGGTCAGCTCATAAAGCTCATAAAGTAATTAAAAGCAGAGGAAATGCTGAAATGAATGTTTGGGCAAAATATTACTGGTTTATGTATTTTTCTTATTAGGTGCTTGCTTTGAACAATGCTCTAGTTATGATATATTTTCAGAGTTAATTTAAATCAATTCAAAATTAATAGAATACATACAGAATACTGAAAATATCTCGATTACTATACTCCAGTTCTGAGCATTTGGAATCGAAAAGTAAATTATTCGAACCGTTTCAGCCAAAAATTTCATATCGCTTCCTTTTTTAGTTTTGTTATTGACCGCCGAAGGTCGAGATTGATTTCTCAATTTTTTTTAAGCCATATTTTTGCAATGCGATTCTGACATATGACTCTTTTCTTCATAGAGAGTTATTGATGAAACATGTTTCTTATTAAATCGGAGTAGGATGGAGTTATGCCAGTAGTTACGTTTTTTATGCCCACCTAACTCCTATATAACCGACAAATAAGCAGACTTTCAAGCCATATTTATCATGCATTTATCTGTATTAAAATGATGTTCTAGTGACATAGAGCAGTAGAGTCAATATAAGCTGGAAATAAATTACACATTTGCATTTTTTTTTGTGATGTTTGTATTTTTTGTAATGAAAGTCATGATTTCACTCAAATTCTAATAAAAAAAAATCGTTTGGAATTAATGAATTTAAATTTAGTTTCATCCAAATAATTTAGACATTGGTAGCCAGGTCATACAATGTTAATGAAGAAATCGTATGCCAATAAGCAAACATACATTCTCCCGTTCATGGTGCATGATGTAATATTTTATGACAATGTAGTGACCAACACAACCAACACAAAACCATATAAGAAGGATAAGGAATTGGTCCTGCATAACCACAATTGATAGCATAACATAACAAGAATTGTTTTTTTGCAATTAAAGTTTCTCAGTTTTTGTGCTTTTTCACAATATGAATGAAGATGTCCTGATTTACAAGATTATGCATGTTTTTTCAGCATGTGTAAGTTTCCTAGTCGCACTTTCAATTTGTTGGCGTTTATCTCCGTCACTGTCAAAATCTTCTGCTTCTTCCAGAAAAATTACGCTTTCCTTATATTTCTCAGCAGCCTTTTTCCAATCTGATTTTTCAAGTATCAGGCCCATATCCAAATAACACTGACCAAGCACTTGGTATTTTCCAGCATTATCTTTAAATTCTGATTTCAGCAGAGTAATGGATTTGTTGATAAAGATCTTTGCAGATATGAAATCGGAGGCAAAATAAAAGCATTTTGCTATATGCAACAGACACCAAGCATTTTCTTCTATTAGCATTTTTTTAGTAGAATCCTCAATCTTATTCATGTCATCCAGGATTTCTTTGAGAGCGGGAATGATATGGCCAGTCAAAATCTTGATGTATCGGCTATTTGGTTCCCGATTTGAGTCGAGGCCAGTCAAAATCTTGATGTATCGGCTATTTGGTTCCCGATTTGAGTCGATTGTGAATGCTACAGACTTTCTAATTTTTTTCACGCAGTTGCCTATTCCACGTACCGCATCATCCCCAGTAGTGGTAGCCCTGCACAATTTGCTCGCCAAGTAACACATACCGAATCCTTGGATGTTAGAATTCTTTGTCTCAAATAAGTTGTCTACTGCAGAAATCACATCATTGAAGTTGATGTTTGCCTGTACTGCCATGTGCACTATTTCATCCAATGATCTCACTGCAGGACGATGGAGTTCCAGCGCCACCTGGCATTCAATTATTTTGAGCTTTGTTGAAATTTTGCTCCAAGTGTTGGACTGCAAAGGCAGAAGCTTTTCCAAAGTCGAAAGAGATTTGTGATGCTCGTCGTTTTCCATGTACTTTGTTACGTTCGCTATAAAGGAAAAGATTGTTGAATCCTCTTACTAGGAGTTTTATTAGATGATAGTTTTTGTTGTCTCATAAACATAACCTGCTCTATTTTATTCCACCAGTCAGATCTGATTGACCAGATGACTAATTTTGACTGCATGTAGCACTTTAAAATTGTTTGAAGTCTGTGATTCTTTTGAAACCCCCTGGTCAAGATGACATTGTTGTATCACACTTGACTCAACTATGTTTTCATTGTCTGTTAAAGATCCTGGGGTGTAAAATTTTGGTATTCTTGTCCTGTAGTATGTGTACCAGGTTAGGGTTAGTTAGGTCCTAATTTTATTCAGATTTTCCCTATTCCAGTTCTATTCCGAGTTCGGGGACTGCCTGTGTTAGCCAATGGAATATACCCCCTGCCCATAGGATTCAGTCGCTTTACACAACTTGGTGTAAAGTAGGCAAACAAAATTAGTTACCTCCATATTGGTACACATACTTCTGGAGCGCCAAAATTTCAGTTGCTCTCTAAACATAGGACTGTTGCTACCACTTGCTATAAGGCACATTCATTTTAAATTCCTTATGTTTGCTCTAGTTTGTCATGTTTTCATGTAAATAATATTAGCATATCATACCTTCTAATTCTTCTCTTGCAAATACATTTTTCATGTCCTGTGCAGCCATTATCTTCAGAATTTCTGAAAAGTTTTGTTGCAGGTGGATTTTTGTTCAAAAAACACTTCTGGGTTGATAGTTTTTTCAGATTCTTGAAAAATGTCTGGGATATCACGTGATTTATTTTATCAATATCTGATTGGTCAATGTTGAAAAATAACATCAAAATTCCCCAGGTTTTCGATTTTCAAAATAAATCGTAGGTGACGTGGATTTCAGTGAGGTGTGAAAATATTTCGTCTTATGGCGTTGCTTGCATCCCTAAATTCTTAATTTTTTTGTTCATCGCGGGTCACTTATTTAGTGACACAAAATATTTATACCGTACACGGCTTCTGTTGACAAGTCAACTAAAAAATAAAAATGATGGCAGCGTATCAGGCAAGTTGAGAAAATTGTATTGTACAATGAAGGTGCCAGGGACTATCATTTTAGACCAATGCTTGTCAAACTTTTTTGAAATAGTACACTCCTTTTGCCTTGACACAAAATATGGAAAAACCCACACATTAAAATGGTATTGATAAAAACAATGATTATATGGGAAAGGCTTGCAGGACTCCTTGATGTCATAGAATGGTTCATGTAACTGCTGGTCAAAGCGGATAATTCTCTTACTGGAAATGGCCTGGTAAAAAAGTGAGAGGCTGTGGTCTGCCATATGATTTAGGTGTTGTATAAGCTTACTTCTCCCCTGGATAAATATGAGAACTCTAACCCAAAAAAGTCCATTATTTAGTAGAATGTGAACTTGTTTAATTCTTTATACAGACATAATAGTTTGGATTCAGACAGTTGTGCCAACATCTATGCTGTGGAATAAGCAACAAAATTCAATACCGGCTTCCCATCTTGTGTGACCACATTACCCTTAAGCATCCTATCTTCCGTGCCCACATTCTCAGTAAGGCCAAACCGTAAAAATGTTTGTTTATGCAACCTTTTATTTTTCCGAGTGGAGTGGGTTTAAAAATGAATAGGGTCTGTTATGACATAAGGTACATACAATACACATCATTGGAAATGCTATAATGATGCAATTGAGAGTTAGCAAGACATTTATTTATTTACTTATATTTGTTATGCTCTATTTGTGACAAATTGCAAATTTTCCTTTTAATTTTCTTCTCATTTTTGCAGAATGACTGGCACACAAATTCGAGTAATGGTTCCGGAAATGAAGAGACTCGTCATTTGTCAACTTTTTTCGGTGTTGTTGTACCATGTATTCTGTCCATGTTCAGTGTCATTCTCTTTCTTCGTATGGGCTTCATTGTTGGACAGGCTGGACTGACACAATCGCTCATCATTTTATTTATGGCCTATGTCATCATCGGACTTACTGTATTATCAGTTTGTGCAATTGCAACTAATGGGGCAATAGAAGGAGGTGGTGCCTATTGTATCCTTTTGATTAAAGTTTTTCATATTATGCACATTTTATTGCACTTTCAAAGTATTCTAATTAATAAGAAAGTATTTTATCATATTGTCTAATACTTTTTATGTCGTTTGGTATGATTTCTGTATTTACCTTAATATGTGATCTTCAGTTATGATAAGTCGTGCTTTGGGACCAGAGTTTGGCGGGGCAATTGGTCTTATGTTCTTTTTGGCGAATGTTGCTTCAGCTGCCCTTTATGTTTTTGGTATAGTTGAAGCAATGGGTGCGTATTTTGGACCTAATGGAGAGCTCGCCAAGTAAGTTTTTATGGTTTTGTTCTTGCCTTGCTTATGATTAGAATTATCAGTTATTTGATTTAATCTGCTGAATCAATATGGGACGACAAATACAATTTATTTTATTTTATGTGGAACTGGTAATGCCCACAGCTATTTGAGAAATTTTCAACGATTTATTTACGGTGGGAATCTTCATGATTAGCAGCTCGGCTATGTTAAGATAGTAGAACGTCATAATCTGCTTGTGTAATTAATATACATATATATTTTCATTGAAGATTTTTTATCGGAAGTATTCATCCTCATTATTATTTTCTATTTAGAAAGCCTTTCATATTTTTGCCAACTTATTTAGTCGTAATGGCCTATTTCATCATCGTCGAATTGACAGATTTTCTCATTTGGGTCTCAACCTATTACAAGTTAAATTTGGGTTATATTTTAGGCCTTTAGAAATATATGAACCCATATACCCACCCCATCCCTTCCCGGATATATTTCAACCAATCAGATGTTACGTTTGCCACATCTTTATTTGAGATTTTATATTATATTTTAGGGATGTAGTAAAAACCGGGACATGGTATGATTTTGGTTATGGATCAGCAATTTTATTCATATGCTTCGTTGTCTGTCTCGTTGGAGCGAATATTTATGCCAAAACAACCTTCATCATATTTTTGGTTGTTATGATTTCAATCATATCTGTTATAATAAGGTATGGTAGATAAATATATTACTATATTGATTATTTTCATGACAGTTTTGATGTAAAATGAGTGTTATTTTACTTCTATCTCAAACTTACTTTCATACAGCTAGAATGATGCAAAGGTCAGTTTTTGGTATTATACAAAAGGTTGTGTCTCACGGTATGATCAATACCGATATCAAGAAAATAATGCGGCACCAAAAATTTATATACCTACGTTCTGTGACTCTCGGCATTTCAGTCATAGTCTGTAACTTTACTCAGAGATAAGTGTCATTCACTTCTGAGTAAGTGAGTTTAGCCTTGAGGATATCTCTCAATAAAATTAGTTTAATTTAGTAGTTATTGGCATCCCTATCTTTACTTTTTCGTATTCAACATATTTTTATTATTTCATTTCTTCAGTTTCTTTGCCAAATCTGCTTACACCATTCATTTCAATCACACGTCAGAATTGGCTCGGTGTAACTACACATCTGTATATTATACTGGGTTTAATAAGACAACATTGGATGACAATATGGCAGGTATGGGAGTTTTAATCTTACAATTTTTATGTTGGATATAATTTTTTGATTTTTGGTTCAGTTGTAGAATACGCTTACCGGTAATATGTTATGGATGGAGGAGGCAATTCGAATGCTGATTGAGAGCATATATCCATTCCTACACCTACCAATAGAAGATATATCACTCTTTCTTTGTACACTCTAATTGTGGTTATTTATTGAAACCAAATAACTGTTATTTGCTACCAAATACTATGTATTGTAACTTGCCAAACTCTAAATCAGTATTTAAAAACTGCTTGGATTTAGTTTTTACATTCACCCAATATAAATGGACATAATAGACTAAATATAACATAACTAGAGGTATATAGAATATTTCATTTGAAATTTAATTATTGAGTCTGTTCTTTTCTTGCATGTTCAGTGCGCGATTGGTTTTGATACTGTTTTGTCCTGGCAAACAATAACAACAATTTTGACTGTTAATTTACTTTTTGTCTGACAACAACAAATTTGCAACAGATTGACTTTGGAAACCTTCCTATTGGATTTGAATGATATTGGTTAATTCTTTCCTGGAAATAATTTTTGTACCAAATTGCCCTATTTTCGTAAATTATTACAATAAGAAAGAAAATGATATATACTGGATGGCGCTGTTTTTCATGCTAAATATTAATATTGAGTAAATTGCATTGCAAATTGCAAAAATTTACATTCTTATACACAGTCATTGGAGACAATTTGATAAATGTAGTGGAATTTTATCAAAGATTTATTGATAACTAATTGTACTCCGTTTATTCTTTCTTTTTATGTCACTTTTCTGATAGGATTTTTCAGTTTTTTTTTACAGGAATGCAATTTGCTGTGTGTTGGTGTTTTGTTGTTTTCATATCTTTCTAATAAATATTATTAACCGCAATGAAATTCAATTCTGTCATCGTCATGCATGTGATTTTCTTTTCACTATCCAGCGGAGTATTCGTATGACTATAATAGGCATCGGGAGTCGAGCTTCAGTCACAGTTTTTCTGTATTTTTCACTTCGAAGCATGCTTTACTTACTGTTTGCACTGTTGTTATGGAGAAAGTGGTTGTCGGTGAGAAAATGAAATAATACAGGGGACATTTGTTCTGCAAACTCACAGTCCTATCCATCACCACCAAATTCTTAGCTTCATATTCTGCATTGATTGATTATGCATTTTGTCGTAATTTACTTGATTCTATAATTTTATGCTGTAGATAATTACTCTTGCTCAAATTTGTCCATTGTTGCTTTCATGTAATTTAATGAAAAGGTGGTGAAAAACGTATTGGTGAACTGTAATAATCAAGAATCAAATTATGACACCAGAAATATTGAGGTGATAATATGAAGAATTATTGATTCAATCAATAAATATGAAGTGTTTGAGGCTCTTGCGTCACATTGCAATAAATTTTATTCTGTAAGATTTTGCCTGACCTCAGATAAGCAGTTAACAGCAATAACAAATATACAACTTGAAAATTTTGTATGTTCTGAATGAGATCTTGCAACAAGAGACCTTTTTTACGAAGACTATTAACTGCGACTTCATTATGGTTTTCTAAATTTTGCATAATTATAGCTTGATTGCTCAAATTGCTGGTTGCAAAATATGGCAATTTCAGCTACCATATTTTCAATTTAATTTGTACTTGATTTGCTTGGGCTTCATTTTTCTTTGGTTTGTTGATATTGGTGGATTTGTTGGCTGTCGATTCTGTCAATTCCTCTTGCACTCTTACCCAATATAATTTCAAATGTATTTTATTCAGTTATGCTAATTTCTTTCGTTTGACAGAATTAGTGATTGTAAAATTGTTTTGTAATAAATTAAAAAAAAACTATTTTCTCACAGCAAATTACACCACTGATTATACGACCGGGAAAGCCCAGCATTTCATATCGGTATTTGCAGTATTTTTTAATGGCTGCATCGGAATCAACGCTGGGGCCAACATGTCAGGTGTGGAATATTGATGTTTAGTTGTCCAAATGTTTGGCTATCATAACTAGGTTTAAAATTAAAGTATTAAAATCATTGTTTATGAATTTGGAAGATTCCAATTCTTTTTCTTACTAATTATAGTTCACTTAGATATGTACTTGCAATGTGATTTTCACCACATAGCAAAATTAGATGGGATAGAGAAGGTCCATGATTTTCTTAGCTCTGTAGCTATCCGTGCATGAGCATTTTTTACTTCGTTCACATTGCCAACTGCCCATGAATTTTCGGGTAACGTATAGTACCGTAACTTAGTACTGGAATACGGTAGTACCACGAGTGGGTATGGCATTTTCATAGATACTCTTGCAAAGCTTTTGATCAGTGATTCTCTTAACTATGTGCCGCAGCATACTATGTGTCATCAGAGATTCTCGGGTGTGACGATGAGCTTTTTGAATTAACACAAAATGGCATTCAAGTTCACAGTTTGGGTTTCCGAATATAGAAATGTGTTTGTGCAACATTGCGATGTAAAGTTCCCTTTGCCTGTTAACTGATTTAATGAACTTTGTTTTGTATTGAGTGTTATGTAATATTTTTAAAAGAATTTTCAAAAGATTTGAAAGCCACTGCTTTAGATAAATGTGGTTTGCAGTGGTTTTCTATGCTTTTTAATGTCTCATAAAAGCTTATAACATATTGTGAATGCCAATATGGACTGCATATATAGATGTATTGCAAAATGAAATGCCTCGGATGACAATTGAATTCATTGTTTTCACTTTTTTATGAAGCATTGCTCGATATATGACACTATTTCCTGTTTGGGCGTCTATGTAACAGTTAGGTCAATAGTTTTGAAGCGAACAGTTGAATGTTATAATTTAATGAAACCGTGGGAGTAATACTTATTATCGCTTTCTAATATCTTAATGCCAGGGATGACCATAGCTTTCTAGTTCTGAAAAAATTGTTGAATTATATTTTTGAATATTTAACATCGAATATATTCTAAACCGGGTCACATTCAACTGAAAATTGTCATGAAATTGAATTTAGAAATACCAAATACTCCAGAAACTTTATTTCGATTGGTTTTCTGTTTTTTAATAATAATGATATGTAAAATGAATACTTTGTGAATTATTCTTAAAATCAAGTTATAAATTTTTTATTCATTTGGACATCCCTTTTTATTGTTTTATGGGAAATACGTTGTGATAGAAATATACGATTATATATGTATGATAATGTATAAATTGAATTGGTTATTAATAAAATTCAGAATGTAAACGTAAATAACCTGCAACTCTGAAATAATGAGCTCTGCTTTTCGCCAATGGAGATTTTACAGTTCACTCAGTATCATATTATTTACGGGCAATGTACATTCCTAATATCATAAATTTGCTGTTAAATTCCTTCGAGAAAGATTTCTTTGAGTGAGACCCATTGATAGAGAAATGCTGTAATCACAATTTTGCTCTTGACAAGGCATTAGAATATCTCTTATATGGCTAGTGAATCGTTAATAATGTCCATATTCCAAAAAAGTTGTAATAACATCACTGCCCTGAAGTGAGGCAGGCTCTCCCTCTGCTATAGGAATAAATTGAAATGAAAATAAAATTTTGAAAGAACTATTAAATATTAAACTTGGAAATTGATATCATATTAAGCAGAAATGTTTGATTTTCTGGTTGCAATTACCATTTAAATTTTTGTAGTTACATCCAAATGGAATCCAAATTGTCTAAAGTTATGTATATAAAATTGGCTTGTAATGAATTTTCGTTTTAAAATGAATAAAAAATGAGTATAATGAATCTATCTAAGGTCCTGCAATGGATGCAAAAATTGGTTGGCTAATATTTTAGTCTTCAAGAAAAAATTAGGATATTTGCATTTACCTACGTCAGGGGTCGGCAACCTACGGCCCGCATGCCGCATCTGGCCTGCGGGATAATATAATCAGGCCTGCGATGCTTTACTGAATTATAGTAACAAAACAGCTGTTTTGACGATTATATTCTTTATGTAAGAGAATTTATTGTACACCGAATTTTATTATAACCTAACAAGTATTTAATTCACAATTATTTGTTTAATGAGCCTATAATTTAATCATGATTAGACAAATGGTAACAAGACAAAGAAAAGTTCAATGGCGCCGAAAATATTCAAATGTTATTTTTTGAGATGCAATGAAATGAGGAAATAAATCTATATTCTATTTGAAAGATGTATCACTGCTTAATTTTTATTATAAAAAGTATCATCCGTTCGGTTTTCAACTTCTGAAAATATGTGCGGCCCCAGCAATGACTTGCAGCCCCTAATTTTGACCCGCGAGCGACAAAAGGTTGCTGACCCCTGACCCAGGGCATTATGGGGACTGTGGTTTTGCAGGCAATGTTCTTTTTTATTTTTTTTAGATTTCTCATCTTTTGCATTTGCTTAAACATTCCTCTTTATCTTAGGGGAGTTGAAAAACCCAAGTAAAGCTATCCCAGTTGGGACGATTCTAGCGTGTCTGATAACCTGGTTTATTTATCTTTTATTGATGGTGTTTATTGCCGCTACAACTCCAAGGTATGATATCCTACTTTTGCTTCGAATATAGAATTTGGCAGAATTTTAAATTTATTTTAGCATATATATTCATTTTTACGTCCTCAGATTCGTCATTTAGAATAATTGAGAAAACTTTTCTCAAATTTTTTTCATCTGTCATTGTATTACAGGATATGAATATTAGTTCAAAGCAGAGTCTTCTAATTTTCACATTTGTCTCGCAAATTCTAAAAACATGGCTTATCGGCAAATTGTCATGTTTAAAATACTTCGGGACAATCTAATCTAAACCTTAAAATTATTGTCAAATAGTTATCTAAAACTGATCTTATTTATGTCACCATTGTGCATTGGGATCTACTGTTTTCAAAAAAAATATAACGTTATCAAATTTTGCACATATCAAAATTTTCAATCAATGAAAGCATGGATTTTTTAATGCTTTTATGCTTTGTATATATATGTATATATTTTAAAACACATTTGCAATAAATTTCGTCAGTACATTCACCATTCAGTAAGTATGCCTTGTATCTGTGTTATCGCCAATAATATGTGCTTAATATTTCCTGTGTTGATTTTATTAACATAGCGAAACCAGATTTGGGTGACTCATTTTGAACTGTATTATATTATTTTCACACGCACAGAGATATCCTGCAATGCAGTTACACATTTCTTGTCAGTATCAATGTTTGGCCTCCATTTGTTGTGATTGGAATATTTGCTTCATCAGCCTCTGCTGTATTAAGCCAACTTATTGGAGCTTCCAGAATATTGTTAGCCCTTGCTAAAGATGAATTATTTGGTAATCATTTACTTTGATTTAATACAGTACTTCTCAAATACCTGTTACAAGTTTATTCATTCTGATCTGAATCACTCAAATGCCCTGAAGTCTGCTTTTATATCTAGAATCAGATACTTCACCCAACTCAGACATTACCAAGACTGTTTTACCTATATATAATCTCCACCCATGGTACCTGCTGTATATTTCTGTACAAACAAGACAGGCACAGACTAGAACAAAAATTCACAAAACAGGGAATACAGCTGGTTTGCCTGATAACAAATAAAAAAATTGAGAAACACTGTCTAGAAAACAAGAAAGTTAATCAACTTACTAATATATATTTTTTCAGGTATAATACTGAGACCAGTTACCAAAACAACAAAAGGAGGAAATCCATATGTTGCAGTGCTTGTCACTTGGTTATTGGTGCAAGTAGTTTTGTTTGCAAGAAACGTGAACACAATTGCTCCTGTTGTCACTATATTTTTCCTATTTGCATACGCAGCAGTGGATATGTCATGCCTTGCATTGGAATGGGCTTCAGCACCTAATTTCAGGTGAATTGTATAAATTATCAGTGTAGGTATCTGTTTTCTAATGCTCATCAGAGGATTTCATATTTATAGTAATATGGCTTCAATCCGGACTTGTTGTAAATGTTATAGTTGGATATGGTTCTATCTTTCACACATCGTTGTTGTGAATTTTTCCTCAGATTAACAATGAAGCAGGTTTATCATTTGGCAATAAAGAAGAGTGAGTTACTCTGAAACAAAAATTACTATCGAACTTGCTCAATTTATTAATCGATGGTACTTGTTCAATCTTAATTTTGCAATCATTTGCAGTTCTTACACAACTTGAGTTTGTCACATGAGTTTGAAGTAATTTTTGAATTGGAGAATATACCATCATGTGATTAGATTACATAATAATGCTACATAATCTATGAACCAGTGAATTATTGCATATTGTCGTATCATTGTATATTCGATTATATTCAAATAAGATATTACCTGGAATACTTTTGGATTACTGGTAGTTTGATTTTTGTACACCATATGCCATTAAGTGTGTCAGCAACATATTCGTTATCCTGCTGCACAATATTCTATATTGTTGGCTAATGATGAGTAGCCAATATAAAGCATATGATCTGTTATTATAATACTATATTATCTGAGAATTAATATGACGAGCATTCAAGTAATAGTCATTAAATAATATTAATGCTATCCGGAATCACCAGTTTCCTGCATTTCCTACCGTAGAGATACAGTTATCCAAAATCCGTACAGATTGTTCGTTATTATAATACACTCATTTCCTTTTGATTATTCAGAATATGAACACCACACGGACAATCCTCTTGTTTTCACTATTAGAATCGATCATGCTTGATCATATAATATAACTTATATTATATCATTACTTTTTATATTATAGTTTATCTCACTCTGCCTGTCTGAATTAAGGCAAACTTCTATATAAGTTAGACAGAGTAGGATCAAATTACCAAATACAGACATGCTTGATCCAACATAAATCATATATAATATGATTGCAATACATATTGTATTTATTATTTGGCCAATACCTATAGTTTATGTACAAAGTAAGATGATCACATGATTTTAGAATGGACCTGAAAGGATATTGCCCTCATACCCATGTGATTACTTAAACCTAATGTAATTCCTGTTTAAAAATTATACCCTGTTCGGTACTGAGCTTATGTATACGTGTACGATTAAATGGATGAAAAGATTTTTGTAATACAATATTTGATATTCATTACCTTGTATTATTGTAAAGTTAAAGTTGCCTAATGGATTCCTCTTACATAATTTGCCACCACTGGCTATATTGACCGTCTGGTGCTATATTTACACAGCAAGTCAATTTTGTTTCTGCTTTATTGGAAGTTAAACTAAGTATTGTGAAATATTTTCTCACTCATTAATTTTCTTAGCACTGGCTATGTATGACCCATCACTGTGTTGTTCCATGAACATTATTGAAATTTGTTTCGTAAATCACGAAGATATAATAAAGAAGTGTTTCAGTGCTCGAGCATTTTACCAAAGACCTGATGTACTTACATATATATTATCATCAAGATATTTTAAAAGTGGGTACTCCCATAGTATGTGTACCAGATTAGGGTTCACTTGTATTTAGCCAAGTGAATATACCCCCTGTCCATAGGCTTCCGTCCCCTTATACAACTTGACAAAATTAGTTACCTCTATATTGGTACACATACTTCTGGAGCTCCGAAAAGTGTGTTTTTTATGCACACTTAATGATGAACTTAATTGATGCTTCTTAAAAAGTTTGTATTTTGGGAATTTAAGAAAAAATGTCACTATATTACGGTATTACCATTTCACGTGGTAATATTTTTATACTCAATTCCAAACAGAAAACAGTTACTTGGATGAAATATTGAACCATGGTATAATATGTTTATATCACATGTACAATGCTATGGTATGATCACTACTCTTTGAGTTCATCTGATTTCAACAAAACTTTTTTCTCTCTCAAGGCCTACCTTCAAATATTTCTCATGGCATACTTGTCTTCTTGGTATCATAAGTTGTGTTGTCATGATGTTCCTTATTCAAGCCATTTACACATCAATCAGTATAGTTGTACTTGTGGTACTAGTTGTTGTCATACACTACAGAGTACCGACATCTTCATGGGGATATATAAGTCAAGCATTGATATTTCATCAGGTTCGTAGGTTGTTTCTATTCATCAGTCTGAATAACTTTAAAGAAATTATATAGATATTTTTCTTGGTTTGATGAAGTAGGCTAATGTAATAATCGGTGAGATATTTTGATCAGGCAAGATATTTGTCGTTAAAAACTGATCAATTTGGTGGTTGATGGCAAGCATGTTTTAAGGTAATTATTCTTAAGGCAGTATTCTTAAGGTTCGCCATCACACCTCTGATTACCCTGCGTGTGTTCTCAGATTTGGATCCTGTTGGTGATAATTATGTGCGAGAGGATTGCTGGACTGGATCTATTCTAGGGTGATTCACCATTGTTTTCGGCTTCCTTCACCACAAAGTCCATGCAACTAAGTCCTTGTATCTAATTGGTTAACTATTCTTATACCCGGCATATGACTAAGCTTTTTTTATTCTTCTTTCCTGTTCCTAGGGGCAAATGTAAACAATCCCATCTCATATTAGTTACTAGGCTACTAGTGTGTATTTTTGATGCAATGCAAAGGATCTTTGGTATAACATAAAGAGGCATTTTTTTTTAATATGCTAGATGCTAAATAACATTGTAATGACAATGCAATATTTATGATATTGTGTATTGTTTGTTTGTTCTCTCTGTTGAATCTAACAAAAAATATTTTTATGACCATTCTAGGTTCGAAAATATTTGCTTATGTTGGATGTACGAAAAGAACATGTAAAATTCTGGCGACCCCAAATTCTTCTGATGGTCAAAAATCCAAGAACTTGTTGCCAGATGATTGATTTTATCAATTCTATCAAGAAATCAGGTCTGGTTTAATCTCAATGCAATGATATATAAAAAATTTTACTTTATTGTAACCATATTGAATATAGCTACATGTTCTATCAACTACATATTATGGCATCAAAACATTTGTTTCTGCCAAAACATGAAATGGTTGCATCTGCAGGAGTGGAGCACTAGTTTGAAATTATATGCGATTCAGCTGGAGCCACAGTATATTCAAATCATGGCTTTGGCTCCCAAGCCCTGTCTGCCGGTTTACTATTTCTAGAATGAATTCGGTTATTGAGTCGGTGCATTTTAATTTTATTGTTTTTTATGTCTTTGGTGATTTGTTCATATTATAATCTATTCTACTCCAGGCCTTTATGTACTCGGCCATGTTAGTCCGGGTCGACTTGCAGATATGCCGAGAGATATTTTACAAGCTCAATATCATCATTGGACAAATTTAGTTGAAGAACTTGGTGTGAAAGCATTCATTGAATTAACATTATCAACATCAGTCAGAGAAGGAACAGAACATTTACTTAGATTATCAGGTTGATGTTTGTATTATCGGTGGATATAAATTATAAAGCTACATTTAGAAGGAATTTTCCATGTTATTCAGAGTAATTCAAGATTGCTGCTGGCCTGCTGCATACAAACGCAAATATATTCTTGCAACATTCCATGTGGCTAATGCCGGACTTTGCCGATAAATATTTGTGTTGATATGCAGCAATAGTATTGAATTTTTACAATGGTTGTCCTCAGTCTTGCTACAGCATCCTAGCATTATTCACATACAGTAGAACCTCCACCAGCGAAAGACCCTGAATACAAAATTTCTAAGTTACAAAACATCTTTTCGTAGAAACATTATTCGGAATAATGAAAGATGCTTATAAATAAGAAATGCAGAAAACTGAAAATATGAAAACTCGCTCAGTAATTATATAATGCGTTACTGCTTACAAAATTGTCTGCTTACGAAACGGTATCATTTAGAAAGTAGATTTTCTACTGTATAATATAGATCCATTAGTGTAAAAACATAGAAGGACCTAACCCAATTGATTTCATTTTATTGATTTTTTTTCAAAACCTGATATGAAATTTATTGTCATGCACTGTATGAAACGCAGAATCTAAGATAATTTAAGTCTTGAGAATTATAATACCGTACTATGAGCTATTTAATGATAATTTTTGTTCTTGAACTTTTCAAAATATTTATACTGGAAAAGCTTGTCATGGCCATAGCATTATATGTTCCCAGCTCGAACTGATGATTTTACCATAATAGTGACTCATCTTGAATGGTGACTTCCTTCAGGAAACATATGTTTTACCCTTAAATTATGACAAAGATGCCCTTTGAACATTATGATGGCAAATTTGCAAAAATTATATTTGATTGTTTATGCTGGTTTCCAATTTTTACTGTATCTTGTAAACTTTTTGTGATAGCGACGCATACATATTTCTTATACCGGTAATTGTTTTGCTTTATCAGGTCTTGGTGGAATGAAGCCCAATACATTAGTGCTTGGTTTTTATGATGACTCAACTCCAAAAAATAGCTTCGACCAAATGAAGATTTTCAAACCAGTAGAAGAGTAAGTTTTAATCAAAAGTAGTTTGAATTGATATATTTGCATTTGTGTAGTTTTATCTGCTTACAATACAAACCTAAAAGAAGCATTCTGATATAGACACCCTGAAATTTTTTTGCCTCGTACTTTTGATTCAAGCACAATTATATGTTTGAATATTTGGATTAACAGTTAATTCGTTAGGGTTTCATATTAGTCCCGGGTTGGGGTTAAAAAAAAAATGATCGTCGGTTAAGCTTTATCCGACCAGTGGACATGTGAACAATGCTAGATGAGTCCGGTAATCATGTATGATTATTACCAAAGAAATTTAAAAAGAGCAGCATTTAATTACTGCATATTTTGACAGCAAGTTTATTTTCCTAATGCACCAACAATCGCATACCAATATAAATCTCGTTCTTATTGATTAAGATGCTTGAGGTATAGCTTGTTGGACTTGTTTGGGGTTGAGAAGTGTCTCATACTTTATCAGAGCCATCTAAGAAATTGAATGGGTTTCTGGTGCAAGGAAGTACTCAGAAACTAATAATCATGCAAATGTCCAAGTAGCTTCCTCCAATTCATGCTAGTTGAGTAGTTGTTTCTCATTTCGGGTTGTCGAAAATTTATTAATTTTCAATACTGAATCCATTTTGAAAATATATTTTTAAACATGGAATATATAAAATAAAGTAATCTTGAATGAATTAGTTTCATCTATTGAATCCTATCCCAAGTAAAATTTGGTCTTTATTGTCTCACAGGTTCTTAGAAATGGTCTGAGTTTTCAGTGAGCCTTCATAGTAATATTCAGCATAACTCCTGATTTTGTATATGCGAGAACTCAAAGATTCATGAATGACATGTTGATATCACAGTATTGATCTAGTCTAGTGCAAGGCTGCTCATTACTCATTTACATTTACCGTACTTGGCATATTTCAAAAGTATTTTTTCAATTTTATTATGTTTTCAGGCGGGTTATTAATACAGAGACTGCATCAGATACAAACGATTCTTTTCCACCTGTACCTCGTTCTACATCTGCAAATTATTTCCCATTGATTGATGAGTCCACGTCATCATCAACATGGATGGATAATAAAAATCTTCAGGCTCAAGAATATGTTGAAATTATCGCTGATGCTATTAAATTAAGAAAGAATGTGTGTTTGGGAAGATATTTTTATGAGGTGAATGACAGACAATGATTTAACGCAAATTGCTGTAGTCACATTTTAGTTTAATATTCAACTAATGTTGCAATTTCCACCTAATGTAAATAAATGTTTTCATACTAATGAAGTGCTATTCACAATTGAAAGAGCTCAACAGATGTTTCGCTAATTGCCAGCTTAATTTAATTAATTTTTATTGTTATTTATTCGGAAATATGGTATAATTAGCTTCTGATAATATCTCATTCGTTGTAGCTGGATAAATCATTGATAACAGAAAGACGACAAAAAGGTGAAATATTATACATCGACGTATGGCCTGTTAATTTCCTACATCCTGTATTATCGAAGTATAACACAAAAACAGGCAGTTCAACATTTCCTGAACCTAAATCACCAAGTCCTTTCGATATTGGTACAATGGTAAGAATTAATTTTACTGTTCATTTGGTTATTCATGAATATTGACATTATGCTTATAGGAGTTATTTTCTTTAATTTAGTTACCGTTTTTTCTTCTAAGATTTACCATTTTCTTATTAATATTAGAATTCAAGCTCAAATTTGTTATTTTGCTAAATTTTTGGAGTTATGAAAATTCGCTTATTTTCACAATAAATGAACCATGCTTTCTAATTTTCTGTACCTAAAGATGGTACTTGTATTGATTTTTTTCGAATTGTGTCTGATTTCTGTTTCACTCAAAACTAGGCTGGCAGTTATCCAGAGTGGCCCAAAAAAGCGGAAACTATACAATATGTTTCAAATGGCCTTGGTTATGTTTTGTGGGTCACCCTATACTTTACGGCCACATCTTCATATGACATTTAACATTGACAATATTCATTGAATAATAATTGAGTTTTGCTGCAGTTGCGTCAAACGTATTAATCATTTGACATTTGTATTCATACATCTGATGATTGCTCCTGTGTTAAACTATTTATTACTCAAATTACAGTCAGGAATATCAGTGTCTCCTACTTCACATTTTGATGTAACGAGTGTATTTCTGATGCAAATGGCTTGTATTCTCAACATGACACCATTTTGGAAGAAAAATGTAAAACTTCGAATCAATCTTTGCACTGAAATAGATTCTGATAATCAAGAAACATCGATTGATCGTCAGCTATCGGTAAGAATAAATTTATAGACAGAATAGAATAATGGAATTGCAGAACAAGATTGACAAAATAATATCTATTTATTGAGGCTGAAAAAATGAAAAATTTTATATATTGAGTGTAAGCTTAGTTTCTGTTGGTCCCTTACAGTTCTCGGACTGCAGTTATTGGACAAAAATTGTACTTATTTATTGCTTCGAAATATCATTGTCATTACTAGGACTAAAAATTTAATTTTTCTCTGAATCACTATACAAGTCACTTAACAAAATTCCATTAGTTAAAGGTACCTTCGGGTTAGCTGGGATTTATTGTTTTGCCCTAAAGTTTGCAAAATTGTGCTTCATGGATTCTTCGAAGCACCTTTCTCAATAAGCAGTATATGGCACTACCACCCCCATGCTCATATATCTCAGCAATTATTCTCTTATACAAATTTACATGTAGTGACTAGGAACAGACAGTTATTACTGTCTTAGTGTCTGGAGCAAATATCTTGTGATTGAATACATGTTTCTCAGTAGCACAGGTTCAGTAATTGATATATTTCTTGACAGGAATTTTAATAGTATTGCGGTGTTTAAGGCAGTTACCTAGGCAGTCCAGTTACAAAAAATTTAGGTTACTTACGAAGTTACATAGAATAGGATTTACATATTTATCCCTGGAGAGAGAAAAGTTGATAAGACGGCTCAATCACATGACGAACCACAGCCTATCATCCCTTTACCAATCCATGTTGAGTATCGGATTGGTTAGCCAGTCATTTGTTTACGGAAGCATGGACTACATGGACATACTAACATACAAAAGTGACAACCACTTATTAAGTGAATGCGATGTAAAACGTGCGTCCAATTCAACAACCCTTGTTACGGCATGATGATGTATGCATATTTCATCATAGTCAACGCTTAGGTAATCCAATGCCTGTTTGACTAAGCCTATTTATAGCTTGGACTATGTTGTACGAATTTATTATCATTATTTATACAGGATTTGAAGTAGGCGAGGGGTGATGTGAGTTTTATTTAAAGATTGTTCGAAATACAAACAGACTAATTTATATATGCTTACATTTGATTCAATTTGAAAAAGTCTGAACAAGCTGATCTATTTTTATGACATGCATGGAATGAGAGCACAATATTAGCAATTTACAAAAAAAATCAAATGTTTGGAATTGGATACACTCCTAAATATGTTCAGAAATGTATATTTTTCCTTTTGAACGTATACATATATTCTCAGTTCAGCCACATGAGGTAATGAAAGCACATGAAATAACTAAACTGTTACAAAAAATGAATTCGCAGAAGAGCATTGTATAGTATTAATTTATTATTGAAACTGAGGCCATTTGTTTGTTTCCTGAATTTATTCGTTTACCGTAATTCGGATATTCCCAGTACTTTTATTTATGCGATGGCTTGATAACATCCCCAGTGTTACCTCAATTAGATATATTGTTCTATGTCATCATTCCATATAAGATTGCAGCATCAACATGGTACACCGCAGTACTATAACAAGCTCATTTCAAGTACTTAAACCAGGTTTTGTATTCTTATGGCTTACTTACTCTGTATTCCATGAAAACATATTTTCATGCTAAACTTATAATTACCGACCTCCAACTAATATTTTTTTAGGAATTTCTGAAAACTGTACGAATCAAAGCAGAAGTACGTACGATACCATGGCATAATACTCCGTTACTTTATTCGCAGAAAGGAAGCTCTGGAGGTGAGATACTATATCGAATATTTTATGCATCTCTGTGTTTGAAAGTTTCAGTCCCAATTTCCAAAATGATGTCCAAAAACGAATTGAATATTTGAATTGAATCGAAATGGATTTTGCTCGATATTTTGATTTAAGTGTAAATTTAGGATAGTGTTTGTTCGATAATTTTCATTTCATATAATTGAAGTCTCACAGTTAACCTTTTATTCAATTTCTGAAAACTAAAAAATAGTGAACTGATCAAATCATTGCTTGTCTCAACTTTTTATATATTTCCAAATGCAAACTTTTTGAATATGCATTAACCCATAACAATGTGCTCTGTTTTCAAATTAAATTATTTGGAATATCTATGATATTATTCTAAAATGTATTTCAAACAGCAGAGTATTTAGTTGTGACCATCCCCGAAATTTGCATTTTATATCTCTGCGGTTGTATCTATGATGAACTAGAATATTAAATTCTATTACGTAGTTCTAAGCACTATGCATATCTTGATTGTGATTTTACAAGATATGACATTCATGTATATCAATGATATGTCCTGGGTTAGGATAAGTAAAATTTCTGAGATTGCACACCAAAACAGCGCTAAAATTTACCTAGCAAAATCGGCTTTCAATTCATCTCTTTGATAAAATAATTGTGATAATCGAAATCGTAATTACCTATGTTTACTCTTTTTTTCTACCCCCAAGAATTGACGAAATAATTCAATTCGGTTTGATTATATTTTTGATTGCATTTGTGTTAATTTTAGTGACATCAAATTATTTTGTTAAAACGAAATTTGACACATCATGGGTTACAAGACAATGTAGAAGTTCAAGTATTTTTTTCAAATATTTCGAAAAAATAGGTGCTATACAATCTGGTTCTGATCATAAAGTTACAGGAGTTTGAAAATCAAAGATGAATTTTTGAGTTTATCTCTTTTGGGGTTAAAGCCCTCAATATGATAATTTTTTTGTTATTCAATCAAAGCTTATTTTGAATGCATGTAGATGAGTTTTGAAAATTAAATTTGGTTAAATCATATTTTCGGATTTGAGAGTACGTTGTGTCTCGCCAGTACTAATTTCATTTAATTCCCATATCACAACAGACTCACCAAGACAACTATTGGGTGGAATTGTTACAGATGTTTCACCAGATATTCAGAATGAAGGGGCGAGTGGAAGTGGCGTCACTGATACCATGTCTGGATTCTATCCAAAAACATTTTTCAGTGGACCGCAAGATCTTCATGCTAGCCATCATATTCCTACAATCGGAGATGATGAAGAGAGTATATCAAATTATTTGGAGGTGAGTAGCTTGGTGAATATCTGGTCTTTCATTAGCCCAAAAAAACCGACTCAACTCAATAACTTGTACAACAATATACATATCAACATCAGAGCGATGCTCAAATGTATGGACATAAATGTCAAGCGACTATATCGCCACTGGAATGTCAAATGAAGTTGTGCTGATGAATTTTTATAACCAGCAAAATTCTGTACAAAATATTTTGGCCCGACAGAGCACCGTGAAAATTGAAAAAAAATAACAGTAATAGCCTTAGCCTATCAGAATTTTTTCCACCTTAGAGCACTGTAAATTTAAAATGATAAGTTGCATTAGAAAATGAGTAGTAATCTAGATATTCATGTGAGATAGGATTACTGGACTCCGCTGCCATCCCAGGGTGGTTTGTCAGTGCTGGCCAGTTATGTTTTTCTTCAAGATCAACTCTGTACATTTGAAACTTGTGGCCGGGTATAGGTTCTCATACCCAGTTTGGACCAGAGACCCGTTGTTCGCCATGTGATTGAACCTATTTAACGACTTCCTCATCCCTGGCGGAAATAAAAAAAATTCTATCTTTTTTGAGCAGTTGTCTGTATTACAAAACCATCTTTTCATTTCAGAGCGTTAATGGATTGATCAAATCAAATATGTCCGATTCTGTTGTAACATTTTTATACCTGCCATCACCACCTACGATGAAACAGCTTATCAAGAGTATTTAAGAATGTTGACTTCAACTTCTAATGGACTTGGACCTACACTATTTGTACATGGCCTCTCACATGTAGTCTCAACAACATTGTGAAGATATAGTCGAACTCTGATACACATGTTATCGATGGATCAAATTTTGTGTGGTTGAATTCTTATTTTGGATGATTTGTATCTTTTGCTAATCGCATTCTTTTGGAAACGCCCAAACCCATCTTAAACTCAGTATGACATATAAAACATTTTACTGTGAAATGAAATAATAGAGGATTTTATACCATTTTTTCACTCATTGATATTCCATCCTAAAACTTTTGATTGCATTCCAAGTAATCAAGTGTTTTCTTTTACAACTTTACTTTAATATTTTCCTAATCTTGGTTTCTAATTTTTTGAAGCAATATTGGTCATCACAATGTCACAGATTTCTTTTGCTTTAATCTCAAGTGAATCCTTAACTGTGATCATCATTTGCTATTATAATAATGCTACAATTGTGCTTCTTCTATTATCCTGTTGGTTGAGCTTTTAGAGAATTTTGAATATTTATGCTCACATACGTCATATACAAAAAGAAGTGAAATTTATATTCATCGTTTTGATCAAAAATGTATAGATGAAGCTATTGTGTGATGTCACAATGAATTGCTAACTTTGTTTCTTTTTTTATCTGTGTGTTATATGATTAAGTAAAACACAACTAAATGTAAAATTTCAATACACTATGTATGTACTTCTGATCCCATAAAATCACCACATGGTTGAATACTGTATATTTTATTATAATTCATAACAATCTGTTAAATAACTAAGGCTTTCTGTCATTTTTTGCTCAAGTTCACATATAACTAAGGCTTTCTGTCATTTTTTTCTTAAGTTCACATATGAAATTTTTCTATTATTTGTTAAGTTACTTCCAATATTATTACTGTACCTTAGTCAATAGTGAGAAGTGACTTATTTTCTTCCGAATTTATCTTAAAGAGTCAGTCTGTAGACTGCTACGATCTTCTCGTGCAATATAGTTCTATATGCTTTATATAGCTATTCGGTGTAGTTTAGGCTATAATTCTGTGCTATATATTTTGTTGGTATATAGAATATTGCTTCTTTGTTGCTTTTCTTTATGCATTTATTCCATTTGAATAAACCTATCTAATGCTATTTTTATTCTGTATTTTGTGAAGAAGATTGTTGGGCTTAGATCTTCGCGATTGGGAATAGCTATTCAAGCCTCTACAAATTTTGGCGAGATAGGATAAGGTAATATGGTTCGGTCACCCCTACTAAAACCTATGCTGCGCCGTGAAGTTTATCAACACCTTAACGCACTGTTATCCCTCAGATATGTGGATGCGAATTTAGTGATGTAATTTCAAGCGCATTCGTAACTGTCAGTACGATGCTTGAGCGATTAGCCTTGAGCATGAATTCATTTAATATTGAATCTCCAATCTGGTAATTTTTTGTATGAAGTGTCTTTTACACACGTTTGAATAGAATCAACCGCCGTCGAGATTGTTTCGCTAATATGCGCAGCGTAGCAGACTATTAGCAAACCTTCCACTGCCTTTTGGGTTTTAGAACAGAACTCTTTTGCATCAAACCTACCGGTACTAACAACAGGTTCCCTCGTTTCAGAAACTGGTTTAATCTATATCAAGAGTCATCTTAAAAACAGCCCAATACTCACGCATAAACCCGAATGGGAGAATGCAGATTTTTAACAGTATATTATCAATGTATTTCAATGAGAATGAATATGATAGTGAATAATAAAACACTTTTAAAAATAGAAAGAAAAGAAGGTAATAAAAAACGCTTTACTTTTTTTGAATTCTGTATTTGCGTGACTTATTTTGTTCTGCGAGGATTTGTAGCTGGTATGGAACTTATCTTCTATAGCAGCGGTTCCCAAACTTTTTGTTCATGCGGCGCCAAATTACCAGGGAAAAAACTAACTACGCACTTGCACGAAAAAACAGTTGCTGCCTTTAAATGAAACTCAATTTTGTGATCGTTAATGTGTACTTTATGCCTTTTAAAGTTTGTAAACGTGTAGGCCTAAGAAATAAAGGCGAAAGGTCATCTCTGCCCGATTTCCTTCAAAATGTTTAAAAAAAGCACTCATGTTCTCTGAATCGGTTCAGCAGATAAACAAACTGCAGCTCGCAAAATTGAAGCAAGTAGTCTATGTTATATCTTTATAACAAGTAATGAATACAGACTCATTACAAAACTGCACGCGATTTATTTGGACATCCGTCCGTCAACTTAGTTCAGAACAAAAGACCTCTAAACAGAGGAAAAACAACTTACGGCACTAGACAGCATTGTGACGTAACAATATAGCACACAAACAGATAGAGTAGTAAACAAGCTATGATAGTAAGCTTAACATAATATATAACACTCCTTCCCCCCTTTTTGGAAATATTGTACAAATACAAGAACCAAATATTAAAAATAAATGTACAACACAATTACCCGAATTCCAACATTCCCAATCAAATGGTATAAAATATTGCAAAAACAAATATACAAGCAACGTACAGAATTTCACAAAGAAACTAAGAAATTCAAAGAAACTTTTACAACTATAATTCTGTCCAGTACAAAATTATAAAACTTCTTTATAGAGATAGTTTTTCTGGCGGTTTTGATATTCTGCCAGATCTTGTTTTATAAGGTATGTTTGAATTACTGGACGATTCTGGAAAATTAGGAACTGGGTCTACATTGTCTCTGTCATTTTGAGATTCATCAGTCTCTTCAGTAGCAGTAGAGGTAGGAGTTGAATTTCTATCTCCCACATCAACATCAGGTATTCCTGTTGGAATTGCAGCTGGTATTCTCTCACTCATTCTAAAATCTTGATTCCCTTCACGTACCATTACATCATCAGCAGAAAATCGATGTCGAATATGATCAAGATGACGTCTAAAAATTCTTCCATCGTTCAAACGAACACGACACATTTGACCCATAACTTCAGTTACTGTGGCAGGTAACCATTTGAAACGAGATCCAACGACTTCTGTAATAAAAACTGGGTCATCAATGTGAAAAGTTCTTATTATTCCACTTGGAACATTCTCTGCTGACTTCTTCAAACGTGATGAAGGTGCGATTAGATCAAGATGCGTTCTAATCTTACGACGAAAAAGTAATTCCGACGGAGTCTGACCAGTCGTTGTATGTGGTGTAGTTCGGTATTTAAATAACCACCGAACAAGTCTGACTGACAAAGATGCTGGTGCTTGTTTCTTCAATCCAAGTTTAACTTGTTTTACCATTGATTCAGCTTGGCCATTAGAAGCCGGATGTCTCGGTGGTGAAAACAAGTGCTTCACTCCATTTGCCTTTAGAAATGTTGCAAATTCGTCTCCTGCAAAACAACCAGCGTTGTCAGTGACTACAACTAGTGGTAATCCATGTGTAGCAAATGAAAGTCTGACTTTTTCAATAGTTTCATGAGCAGAAACTGACGATGTAATCCACACATCTGGCCATTTGCTAAACGCATCAACAATAACAAGAAGCATTTTCCCATCAACTGGACCGGCATAGTCCATATGTATTCTTTGCCATGGACCATTAGGATAAGACCATGGGCTAGCAGGAACTTGAGGTGCACTGGGACGTAACTGTTGACACAAACTGCAAGATTTCACCAACTCTTCAATATCAGCATCAACCCCAGGCCACCATACATGATTACGAGCAATTCTTTTCATAGAACAAATACCAGGATGACCATCGTGAAGTAATTGCAACACTTTCTGTCTTCCTTGTGGCGGAATAATTACTCGACAACCCCAAAATAAACAATTTTCATGGACACTTAGTTCCGTCTCTTTGCTTCTATAAATTTGTAATTCTGGGTCTATGTCAGAAGATTTTGGCCAGCCCATTTGAGTATGATGCATAACTGCGGACAGTACAGGATCTCTTCTCGTCCAAGACTGAATTGCATCAACTTTAACAAGGGTAGAATCGACTGCTTCAAGAAGATTCACTACATCACCACAAGGCGGTATATAATCCGGTTTAACAGGCAAAGGCAAACGACTTAGTGCATCGCTATTGGCTTGGTTTTTACCTGGAACATACACTAATTCGTATTGATATCCATCAAGTAATACTTTCCAACGGATCATTCTCGGTGGAGCTGCATCAGGAAGTGGCTTATTCTTCCCAAGTAAACCGAGAAGTGGCTTGTGATCAGTTTCCAAAACAAACGGTCTTCCATATAAAAATGAATGGAACTTTGTAACAGCGAATACTAGAGCTAATCCCTCTCTATCCAATTGGCTATAATTACGCTCTGGTTTTGACAAAGATCTGGATGCAAAAGCCACAGGACGTTCTCCTTCCTGCGTTATTACAGATAAAACTGCTCCGATTCCATAAGGACTGGCATCTGCAGAAACAATGACGGCGGCATTTCCGTCAAAATGAGCAAGGCATGGAGCATTACACAATAGCGATTTCGTTTTCTTAAAAGCTTCCACTTGCCTTTTATTCCAGTGCCATCGAACATTCGAACGAAGAAGTTCATACAAAGGAGCAGCAACAGTTGATAAATTTTTAATGAATTTACCATAATAATTAAGCATCCCCAGATATGAGCGCAACTGATGTATATTTTGTGGTTCTGGGGCATCCAGAACAGCTCTCAGATTATCTTCAGTTGGTTGAACTCCAAGTTTATTTATACGATATCCAAGATAAGTAATTTCTGAAACCATCCATTTACATTTGTTTGGATTAATTTTTAGACCTTCATTTGTAAGACGCTTGAAAACTTCTTCCAATCTGGCTATGTGTTCTTTATCAGAAGAACCGGTTACTCCAATATCGTCTTGGAAAACACCTACACCTGCTATGTCACCCAGCAGTGTTTCAAGATATCTCTGGAATATAGCTGGGGCACTTGATATTCCATAAACAAGACGATTTGTCGTGAATAATCCCTTATGTGTATTAACTACTGTGTACTTTTGACTCTCTTCTGCCAATGGTATCTGCAGATATGCCTCTTTCAGATCAATAACAGAGAATTTTTCCCCACCAGCAAATTTAGTCAATAATTCATCCACCTTTGGCAATGGATACTGCTCAAGACGACTTGCTTTATTTACAGTCAAGTCATAACTTCCACAGAGCCGAACTGACTTCTGATCAGCTTTTAATACGGTAACCATAGGTGCAGCCCAATCGGATGTTTTACATGGCTTCAAAACACCGATTTCAACTTGTCTATCAAGTTCAGCTTCGACCAATTCTTTGAGTGCAAGAGGTACAGGTCGTGGTTTATAAAATTTAGGCTTAACGCTGTCATCAATCTCCAATTTAGCTTCAGTTTTTGCACAACCTAATCCAGGTGAAGACAATTCAGGATACTTATCAAGCAGTGTACTGATTTTAACATCAGAATAGTTAATTTTGAAAATTGAATTCCAATCAAGTTTGATATGTTTCAACCAATTTCTCCCCAGCAATGGTTTACAGCGGTTACTATTTCTTACCACAGTGATTGGCAATACCATTGGGTTACCATTTTGATACGTTACAGTAACATCCCTTTCTCCCTCTACTGGAATAGACTCCCCCGTGTATGTAGACAGTTTAACATCGGTGTGGTTCAATTCTGCTTTTGGCCACAACTTTTTATATTGCACTAAAGACATGACAGATAGTGTAGCCCCTGTATCTACTTCCCAAGAAATGTTTTTGCCATCGATGTCAAGATCAAGATAGATTGGATTGCATTTCACACCCACATTGTTATTTTGCACGGACGACACTGTATGATGTAATTCGTATGATGAACCAGAGTTTTCATTCGTTTCACTTTCGCCCGGCGTATTCTTATCACCAGCGATACAACATTGAGAATTACATTGCTTACTTCTCTGGCCGTGTCTATACTGACTTGATTTCTTGAATCGACACACACTCTTGGTATGGCCCTTTTTACCACAACAAAAACACTTGGCATCTTTAAATGGACATTCACGGGCGAAGTGCTTAGAACTATCGCAGCGATATAGATTATATACAGCTATTTTTTTGAATTCTGTATTTGCGTGACTTATTTTGTTCTGCGAGGATTTGTAGCTGGTATGGAACTTATCTTCTATAGCAGCGGTTCCCAAACTTTTTGTTCATGCGGCGCCAAATTACCAGGGAAAAAACTAACTACGCACTTGCACGAAAAAACAGTTGCTGCCTTTAAATGAAACTCAATTTTGTGATCGTTAATGTGTACTTTATGCCTTTTAAAGTTTGTAAACGTGTAGGCCTAAGAAATAAAGGCGAAAGGTCATCTCTGCCCGATTTCCTTCAAAATGTTTAAAAAAAGCACTCATGTTCTCTGAATCGGTTCAGCAGATAAACAAACTGCAGCTCGCAAAATTATGAAGCTAGTCTATGTTATATCTTTATAACAAGTAATGAATACAGACTCATTACAAAACTGCACGCGATTTATTTGGACATCCGTCCGTCAACTTAGTTCAGAACAAAAGACCTCTAAACAGAGGAAAAACAACTTACGGCACTAGACAGCATTGTGACGTAACAATATAGCACACAAACAGATAGAGTAGTAAACAAGCTATGATAGTAAGCTTAACATAATATATAACACTCCTTCCCCCCTTTTTGGAAATATTGTACAAATACAAGAACCAAATATTAAAAATAAATGTACAACACAATTACCCGAATTCCAACATTCCCAATCAAATGGTATAAAATATTGCAAAAACAAATATACAAGCAACGTACAGAATTTCACAAAGAAACTAAGAAATTCAAAGAAACTTTTATAACTATAATTCTGTCCAGTACAAAATTATAAAACTTCTTATAGAGATAGTTTTTCTGGCGGTTTTGATATTCTGCCAGATCTTGTTTTATAAGGTATGTTTGAATTACTGGACGATTCTGGAAAATTAGGAACTGGGTCTACATTGTCTCTGTCATTTTGAGATTCATCAGTCTCTTCAGTAGCAGTAGAGGTAGGAGTTGAATTTCTATCTCCCACATCAACATCAGGTATTCCTGTTGGAATTGCAGCTGGTATTCTCTCACTCATTCTAAAATCTTGATTCCCTTCACGTACCATTACATCATCAGCAGAAAATCGATGTCGAATATGATCAAGATGACGTCTAAAAATTCTTCCATCGTTCAAACGAACACGACACATTTGACCCATAACTTCAGTTACTGTGGCAGGTAACCATTTGAAACGAGATCCAACGACTTCTGTAATAAAAACTGGGTCATCAATGTGAAAAGTTCTTATTATTCCACTTGGAACATTCTCTGCTGACTTCTTCAAACGTGATGAAGGTGCGATTAGATCAAGATGCGTTCTAATCTTACGACGAAAAAGTAATTCCGACGGAGTCTGACCAGTCGTTGTATGTGGTGTAGTTCGGTATTTAAATAACCACCGAACAAGTCTGACTGACAAAGATGCTGGTGCTTGTTTCTTCAATCCAAGTTTAACTTGTTTTACCATTGATTCAGCTTGGCCATTAGAAGCCGGATGTCTCGGTGGTGAAAACAAGTGCTTCACTCCATTTGCCTTTAGAAATGTTGCAAATTCGTCTCCTGCAAAACAACCAGCGTTGTCAGTGACTACAACTAGTGGTAATCCATGTGTAGCAAATGAAAGTCTGACTTTTTCAATAGTTTCATGAGCAGAAACTGACGATGTAATCCACACATCTGGCCATTTGCTAAACGCATCAACAATAACAAGAAGCATTTTCCCATCAACTGGACCGGCATAGTCCATATGTATTCTTTGCCATGGACCATTAGGATAAGACCATGGGCTAGCAGGAACTTGAGGTGCACTGGGACGTAACTGTTGACACAAACTGCAAGATTTCACCAACTCTTCAATATCAGCATCAACCCCAGGCCACCATACATGATTACGAGCAATTCTTTTCATAGAACAAATACCAGGATGACCATCGTGAAGTAATTGCAACACTTTCTGTCTTCCTTGTGGCGGAATAATTACTCGACAACCCCAAAATAAACAATTTTCATGGACACTTAGTTCCGTCTCTTTGCTTCTATAAATTTGTAATTCTGGGTCTATGTCAGAAGATTTTGGCCAGCCCATTTGAGTATGATGCATAACTGCGGACAGTACAGGATCTCTTCTCGTCCAAGACTGAATTGCATCAACTTTAACAAGGGTAGAATCGACTGCTTCAAGAAGATTCACTACATCACCACAAGGCGGTATATAATCCGGTTTAACAGGCAAAGGCAAACGACTTAGTGCATCGCTATTGGCTTGGTTTTTACCTGGAACATACACTAATTCGTATTGATATCCATCAAGTAATACTTTCCAACGGATCATTCTCGGTGGAGCTGCATCAGGAAGTGGCTTATTCTTCCCAAGTAAACCGAGAAGTGGCTTGTGATCAGTTTCCAAAACAAACGGTCTTCCATATAAAATGAATGGAACTTTGTAACAGCGAATACTAGAGCTAATCCCTCTCTATCCAATTGGCTATAATTACGCTCTGGTTTTGACAAAGATCTGGATGCAAAAGCCACAGGACGTTCTCCTTCCTGCGTTATTACAGATAAAACTGCTCCGATTCCATAAGGACTGGCATCTGCAGAAACAATGACGGCGGCATTTCCGTCAAAATGAGCAAGGCATGGAGCATTACACAATAGCGATTTCGTTTTCTTAAAAGCTTCCACTTGCCTTTTATTCCAGTGCCATCGAACATTCGAACGAAGAAGTTCATACAAAGGAGCAGCAACAGTTGATAAATTTTTAATGAATTTACCATAATAATTAAGCATCCCCAGATATGAGCGCAACTGATGTATATTTTGTGGTTCTGGGGCATCCAGAACAGCTCTCAGATTATCTTCAGTTGGTTGAACTCCAAGTTTATTTATACGATATCCAAGATAAGTAATTTCTGAAACCATCCATTTACATTTGTTTGGATTAATTTTTAGACCTTCATTTGTAAGACGCTTGAAAACTTCTTCCAATCTGGCTATGTGTTCTTTATCAGAAGAACCGGTTACTCCAATATCGTCTTGGAAAACACCTACACCTGCTATGTCACCCAGCAGTGTTTCAAGATATCTCTGGAATATAGCTGGGGCACTTGATATTCCATAAACAAGACGATTTGTCGTGAATAATCCCTTATGTGTATTAACTACTGTGTACTTTTGACTCTCTTCTGCCAATGGTATCTGCAGATATGCCTCTTTCAGATCAATAACAGAGAATTTTTCCCCACCAGCAAATTTAGTCAATAATTCATCCACCTTTGGCAATGGATACTGCTCAAGACGACTTGCTTTATTTACAGTCAAGTCATAACTTCCACAGAGCCGAACTGACTTCTGATCAGCTTTTAATACGGTAACCATAGGTGCAGCCCAATCGGATGTTTTACATGGCTTCAAAACACCGATTTCAACTTGTCTATCAAGTTCAGCTTCGACCAATTCTTTGAGTGCAAGAGGTACAGGTCGTGGTTTATAAAATTTAGGCTTAACGCTGTCATCAATCTCCAATTTAGCTTCAGTTTTTGCACAACCTAATCCAGGTGAAGACAATTCAGGATACTTATCAAGCAGTGTACTGATTTTAACATCAGAATAGTTAATTTTGAAAATTGAATTCCAATCAAGTTTGATATGTTTCAACCAATTTCTCCCCAGCAATGGTTTACAGCGGTTACTATTTCTTACCACAGTGATTGGCAATACCATTGGGTTACCATTTTGATACGTTACAGTAACATCCCTTTCTCCCTCTACTGGAATAGACTCCCCCGTGTATGTAGACAGTTTAACATCGGTGTGGTTCAATTCTGCTTTTGGCCACAACTTTTTATATTGCACTAAAGACATGACAGATAGTGTAGCCCCTGTATCTACTTCCCAAGAAATGTTTTTGCCATCGATGTCAAGATCAAGATAGATTGGATTGCATTTCACACCCACATTGTTATTTTGCACGGACGACACTGTATGATGTAATTCGTATGATGAACCAGAGTTTTCATTCGTTTCACTTTCGCCCGGCGTATTCTTATCACCAGCGATACAACATTGAGAATTACATTGCTTACTTCTCTGGCCGTGTCTATACTGACTTGATTTCTTGAATCGACACACACTCTTGGTATGGCCCTTTTTACCACAACAAAAACACTTGGCATCTTTAAATGGACATTCACGGGCAAAGTGCTTAGAACTATCGCAGCGAAAACATCTAAGAGACTTACCCCCTCTAGCCGAAGAAAGCTGTGGTGCTCTAGGCTTGGATTTGCTATCGGAATTCTTTTCACGCTGCACATCAATTTCATATAATTTCTCTGGTCTCGTGTGACGTTGTTCAATTTGTTTTGTTTGTTGCTTTGCTTGTTCTAGACTTTTTGCATAATCCAGAAGTTCTCGAAGAGACATACGCTGCTGTAGAGCTTTTTCCCTAACTCTAGAATCACATCCACCAGAAATAACTTGCTGTTTTATTTCACGATCAGCATCCGTAAAATCACAGGTAACAGCTAATTTACGCAAACGTGCCACATAAGTATCAATATTTTCGCCAAATTTCTGTTTTGCATTCCTGAAAACATCACATTCAAAATCAATGTTTATCTTTGGCACGAAATAATTATCCAATTTCTTAACGGTGTTGGCATAAACATTATCATTTTCATCTGCATTCGGCGGTGCGGGCAAATTCTCATACAGGTCAAAAACTTCAGGTCCCGCAAAATGTAATAATAACGCTTTCTTTCTCTCTGCGTTGTCAACCGACATGGCGAGGCACATGTTTTCAAATCGTCGCAGCCATTGTTGCCATTCGTCTGGGCGATTAATGTTGAATTGCGCAACTTCCAATGATGCTGACGTCATTATTCTGTTAACAGTTGCAATCGTGCTTCAACGATGCTCAAATAATTTACTGCCGTTTAATTCAATATAATAACAGGCCTTGGGTTCCCAGTCCAGTGAATGCTGTTCACTATGAATATCCAAAGTCACTGATTATGCTGCAATAATCAGTTCTAACTCCGTCGCAGTCCAGCGACTGTTCTCTTATCTATCCTCGAAATTAAGCTGTAACTTCGATATATTTTCCTTCCTTCCCCAAGAAATGGCTACAAAACGGCACAAAAAGGCTTTTTAATCCTCGTCGCCAATTTGTTATATCTTTATAACAAGTAATGAATACAGACTCATTACAAAACTGCACGCGATTTATTTGGACATCCGTCCGTCAACTTAGTTCAGAACAAAAGACCTCTAAACAGAGGAAAAACAACTTACGGCACTAGACAGCATTGTGACGTAACAATATAGCACACAAACAGATAGAGTAGTAAACAAGCTATGATAGTAAGCTTAACATAATATATAACAGTCTACTTCTATTGTTACGTAGTACACTACATAACAGATAGTGTCGGTATTTCCCTAATAAAGATTTTTGAAAAATCGAAGAAAATAATGAAGCGGATGAAAAGATACATATTGTCATAAATCTGCTTATTTTAAAGAATGAAGTTATTTGACACCAAATGGCCCTATGGATCGTTTTATATTTGCCATTTTATATTAGCATTGGCATTCAGTGTACTCTCGTGATTTGCGTATACATTGTGCCAGTAAATAAAATGTTGTCCAAAATTGTTGATAGCGCTATATGCATTTTACAAATATATGGAATATATATTATGATGGTTTTGTAAACTTCGCGGAGAGGGGTTTTACAAATAGGATAGCTATGGAGCACTTCCGGGAAGATAGAAGCATTTTGCTTTAATGAATTTATGGGTTTTTAAATAGGCATAAGCCAACCTGCTATCTCTACAAGCTACACTTTTGTACCGGTACTGTAAGTGACCAAGTCGACTATTGATTGTTTTATTTAATGCTGGTGTTTTAATTCGATTCTGTTAGGTTTCTTGTAGCCTACCTGGTTTTGAATTCTTCATCGATACATATCGCCCAACACGTCTCCACTGTAACCATATCGATGTCTAGGTCAACTTAAGATACCCCAAACTATCTTCACAGCAGGAGCACTTTAGCTTCGATAATGCAGTTGAAAGGAGGGATGTTTGTCCATCTGACAGTCTGATGACTAATAATATTTTCCTCGAAAAGCGCTGTTGAATGATCAAATTGTGCCAAAGCCATACTCATCAGCAATGAAAGTTATACAAAATCCCCGGTCTATTTTAACTTTCAGTTAGATGTTTAAATCTCGGGTGGAGCTGTGATTGGAAATAATATATTGTTCACTAAAATAATGCCACAACCGTTGTGAAATGAATGTGTAACTTGGAAAGGACATGGAAACAATTAAGAAGATCTTTGAACTGCATCAATCTAGACCTAGAGAAAAAATCGTTAACAGCGATTTTGTAGATTTGGTTGGTAACTTTTTCATTTCCAGTACTATTTTTACTCTATCTTCACGTAATATCATAAAATTTTGTTTCTTTGTTATTCGCAAAGCATTGAGTAAACTCGATGCTGAAGATGCATTTAGGTTTTATAAAAGTTGAAAAAGGACGATATGTTGGCTTGATTGATCTTGTTTTCTTACAATTGAAACTACTGAACCGCCTCTTTGTAGCTCTTTGATAAATCTACTTCAATTTATGTACTGCAGTACTGATAATTGGGAATTTCCCGTTCAATAAAATACAAATTTTACTAGAAGTAAGATTTTGGAGAGAAATTGAAAGAATTTTTAGGAAATTATAAATAAAATTATGAACTTACCTTGGGAATTTTAACTTATATTTTACAAATGTAAATACAGATATTTATGCAGCACTATGTGTCATATAACACAGCTTATAGCAAATTTTCTGATAAACTTTTTTAGTCTTCCAGCCACAATAAATCGTGGTACGAAGTAGACCTTTTCGGCAGATGTTCATGCTTCCAGTGTGACCGCTTTCGAACAGGGTGATGTAAATTCAGTATCTCTTGACAGCAGAGTTGGATCAATTGTAATTTGTAATTGATGTAATTAATTACAGTTTTTCATGTAATTGTAATGTAGTGGAGGCATTTTCATTCTGTGTAATTGTAACTGTATTTGTAATTTGCTAAAATTTTGGCTCAATTACACTTTCAATTAGACTAAATCTTAGTATTTTAAAAATGGATGAACATCAAACAAACTCTTTCGAAAACTGTTTCGAAACACTTCCTGCACCATTGTCAGAGTTTTTTTTAAATCTCCGAGCAGCACCGAGGCATGCTGTAACAACTGCAAAAAGAAACTTTCCTCAGTCAAGGCTTTGCCAAACTTGATCACGCACTTGAAGAGATGTTCTCGCCATCTTTATAGGGGTCAGAAACAGCCTAATCTTGATCAAGTGCAATCCAACAATTTTTGAGCAAGTGAAAATGTGAACACGAACCAAAATGGTATAATTGTGAATGTAATTGTAATTTAATATTTTTTGCATGGAGTAATTGTAATGGTAATTGTAATTGAACTGAATTGATGTAATTGATCCAACTCTGCTTGACAGAACACTTTATTGACCGCTTTTTATTTCGCTTTGGTATCATTCGCCGCTATTTCTGAAAAAAAAAAAAAATCAACCCTCCGGATCGGTACATATATATATATATATATGCCTATTATGCTATGTAGATCCGGTATTTCGCTTATTTTGGTAATTACCAAACCATCAATTTATAGCTTGCGACTTCAAAGTCAATAGAGTTTATGAATGAGTGATGAACTACAGATTGATATCGGCGCTGTAAATGGAGCACATTTGACGCTATGGTATCAATTATACATTAGTGCCTCTTATATTATTTCAGCATTACTAACTGGTACTTCTAAAAATGTAATTCAATTGAAACCCCGATATCACGTTCAATATTATCTGGATTATATACATTACAACTACCAGTTGATAATCTAATATTTTTATTGTATTTCAATGAGTGACACATCCTGAAAAAGTTTTAGATACTAAAATGAGAAACTCGGGGTAGATAATTGTTTGCTCTTTCACGAACTATGCTTTGGACAAAGAATATAATACATCTTGTTGTTTGCCGTCGCCATTGTATGCATAATTTATGAATAGTAAAAAATTAGAACCTATATATTAGCTGAAGGTGTAACATAGTCGCCACTAATCCAAAATGAAGAGACGTGACGTCAGTTATTCTCATCATTGATACTTACCGAAAAGTAAGTACGACGGAGCATGGTAATAGAATATGAGTGTTATTAGACAGCGTGCTGCAGAGCTTATAATTTTAGGTAGTTATTACTGAAAGATACTACGAAACCAACTTGAAGTTGGTATATTGGAGCAAATTCAGATCTCTAGTAAATCATTTGCTATGCGAAATGGTATGAAATATACTTTCACACATCGAAACAGTGTAAAATAGAATCCACTACTCTTTGAGTCTTGAAAACATTACCCATGTATTTGACATATTTCTAATGTCGCTTCTTGTACAGACCGTGTTTGAATGAACTTCTGAATCACCAATTCACCACTTCGCATTCTTTGTTCGTCGCTCTTTTATTTGAGGACGATAATCTCTGACCAACAGAAATGGTTGGAATTTCTAGTGAAAAGAAATTTTAGTCCTAACGGTTTTTGCTTCATGATGAGATTTTATTGAGAGTGGAAGTGGAAGATTTTACATTAGCTAATTTCTAACAAAATGGCAAAGTTTAACTAAAAGTAAATTAATTTTGAGTTTGAGATCGCGGGATAAAATATTGCGGGTATTTATGTATATTACAGTCTATGTAGAATATTTTTAAGGGACAAATACTAGTTCAATTCAAGTAAATCTCAGGCTCAGTAACTCTAAACTCACGGTGCAAATCGTGATGGTTGCATTTACGATAATACTATGTTTTGGCAAGAGTTATATATCTCATATTTCCAGAGTAATAAAACGAATGAACTGGTAAACATGTTTGAGTAAACTTATCATTTGCTAACTCGTCTATTCACAGACCACTATAATCGTCTGAGACGTGACATTTTTATGCTGCTGTCGCGTGTTCAGTATTAGAATACCTTACCTCAACAGTGAATTTCAAGTGATAGCGAGAAACCAAAAAAGCAGTGTATTGAAAATAAATTTCAACTGTAATTTTATATCAAAGTGTGGCAATGGAACACATGAAACTGACTTGAATCTTTCATATTTTCATGCATATAAAGATTTTTGGGATATAATAAAGTCCATGTAGCGTGTTACTGCGTAATAGGAGAGTTGACGCCCTGGATGGTAATACTTTGCAAACATTTGGGGACGTCTCGCTTCCTGGTGAATTATTAATATATTGCCTCTTGTATTCTGTAAACAGCAGGCTATGACGTTACACCAATGCTAATATGACCCGATCATACATGAATTGCAAACAAATCGAGCCTTTCATGCACATAGCTCCAACATGATGCTGTAAAGTAAATCGTTGATAATTTACGAAATAACGACAGCTTAAATGTAATATAATTTTATGGTTTGAGTGAATAGCGTCGTCATTACATAGCTTCGCATTGCGATGAAGAGGTTTCGCAACCCTCGGAATAGCAAACTTGAGATCGGGTTTGAAGCTAGGATGAGACTCAACTAGTCTGATGTGATAAGCAAACAATAATGTTTTATTTTATATTGAATATTTCTTTTCGTTATTTTCGTGCGGAAAGCTAATATTTACCTGGATGAGGGTAGCGCCTGTTAAGATAAGAAATTGACAATTTACGAAAAAAACATACCTGGGTTTTGACAGTACTAGATTTTTATTGAGGGACGTTGGCTTTATATGGTTTTTACAGTGTTCAATTTTGCGCGACATCACTTTACATTCGCATTACGATCCATTTCGCATGGTAATTGTATTGATTGTGAACATTTGATCCCGAAGTAAAGCTATACTTATTTATTGAATGATTTTAAACGTATACAGTCTGGATGAACCGAGCATCCCCGAAAATACTTATGGGAAATGAGGTGATCTTGGCAAATGTAAAATTTTGGTTTATAAATTCTTATATCAGGTATATATATATATATATTGTATTGAAACGAATGTAGTATTTGTTAGCATATGAACATTCTAACAGATTGAAAACATGTAACTAGTAATTCACATAATGAAAAATATCTAGTAAAGGATAAATCAGATAGAAAAAGGTTTTGAATTTTGTTAGCGATGGCAAAAGAAGCGCGGGTTGAAAATCTAAATGCTCAATATATTTTATTATGTAATATAAGTCCTGAAGTAGAACTTCCTGTCGCTTCAGGTAAAAAGCGAAAGTAGTTTAACAAAATATTGTTTGGTAAATTGGAACTCCACCCTGTTGAGATATGACAAACAAATTCACTTTACCATGTACAAGTGACACCTAAAGCGTTTACGTAAAGAGTATTTCAACTATGGCCAAGGCATAAAACAAACGAAACAGACTTCAAATACCTTTTGATAATAATTAACAGAAAGCCACAAAATTGTCAGTTCTTCTTATATATTCTTATCACCCATGACGTGTAATCATTACCCTATAAATGTCAACGCAGGATGAAATTATAATTTCGTTTATCCGTAGTTTATTCAAGTGCTATGACAATATACATTCAGAATAGCCATTGACAAAGCGACCTCCTGCAGAATGGTGCATTATATTACACTAAGTGACGTATGCGTAGTTTGATGAAGTACTCAGTGTAATACAATAGCAGAAATACAAATATAAAATGAGACAGGACAAAAAAGAGGATAACATATAGAGGATGAGAAAATACCTTAAAGGAGAAAATTTGACACAAAGGATAAATAAGAAGAAAGAATGTGGAGTGAAAAAATAATAAGTTTGTTTTGTTATTATGGTTATTCATTTTAAGTTTCGAGGGTATAAACCAATATATTTTAGGAATGAAAGATAACCATAAATATGCACTTTTATAGAAGAATTATGATGAAACCAAACTAATTCATCGTTTATAAATGTGACGCGATTGACGTTGTTGAGAAGCTCACTTCAGATAGGCTAGAAAATAGTTAGCAACTGTTGAATCATGTTACCTACATGATGTAGTCTTTGTACAGTTTATAGCAATACCTATCTTGGCACTAATAAAATTATGATTCAGAATGAATTCTAGTTTAAAACGTCGGAAAATAGCAAATTTTGAGCTCAAACAATAAAGGAGTTGTTTGAAGATGGGGTTTTGAACATTGACAATAAAATAATACATTGGACAGAATTGTGACACACATCGAGTGCCACTTGTGAAGTTGTGTAGTACTATTCTACAGCCGTTGAATGTTCTGCGTAGATATTTCAAGTAGAATGAAAATTGTAATATAGCTTGAGTTTCGAATGTAGTGGAATAAGAAATATTATACAAGATACAAAATAGTGAAACAAAAATAAGAGAAAAGAGATTTTATGTATAGGGTTGGTAATCAAAAACTGAACAAAATAGGTAACTGGGCATAATTAAGATTAGAATTATGTTAAGACATATATGTAATGTTGAGTAATGTGGATTCACGGCTATTATGCGCGATGCTGATTTTTACATATTCTCTCACTTATAGAGGTTAGAGTTAGAGGTTAGAATGGCAAATAATAAAAAAGGGTAAACAAATGTTAATTCCCAAGTGAAGTTTATTGTTTTCAACCAGTAAAAAGAAAAAATCATGCTAAAAATTAGGAAAAAAATGATATTTACATTACTGAAGAAGGGAAGCCGCGGGGAACCAAAGCAGGCACAATAAAATGTTTAATACACAATTGCAGTTTTTATCGTTTTTTCATTTAATTGTTAAACGCCTCGAACTTTCGCTCAGGATAGAATATACACAAGCAATCACTTGTGTGTTTGGTTTTTTGTGAGACTTCCTACTTCGCTTGCTCCCCCTAGAGGTTCAACATGCGCGGGACAATCGACTGATTGACCTGAGATCAAACGCAATTTTCGCATATTTAGTCATGCCAAGGCTTCATGCTTTCTACCAGGCTACGTTTTTCAGCAACAGAGGCAATAATGACAAGATAAGTGAAGTTAAGCAATATTAATACTATTAAACTACCGGGCCAACGTTCGCAAACCCGTGGGTTTTTGGAGAAAGAATAAAATTATAAATATATATATAATCTAATTATACCTTTTATTGAACTATTAAATGAGGAAAATTACAGCAGACCACTCATGCTAGTATATGAAGTTACGAGCAGTTCAAAGCTTAAGGTCAATATCACTTTTCAAAAAGCAGAAACTTAATAGCGCACTTTTATGGAATTCTTATGATTTTCAAGTTATTTCCACGGCCAAATAATATACTAACGTAAAAATTCGAATACCTTTTTGCGATTCAAAAGTGATGCCATTGTGTCTCTCATTATAACTTCTTTTCTTATTATATTTGACAAATATATATATATATTCGAAATTAAATTACGATAGCAACGCAAAGTTATATTCCAGTGTAAGTGACAATTACTTCGCTTCACATTGTGTGATATATCAAAAAGCGCTCAAATTATTTCAAATGTATTATGATCAGACTGTGTTATAATGTCATGTATGCTGGCTATGTACGGCGAAAATAATTACCCTCCAGACAAAAGCCGCTCCGTGAGGTTGGAGAGCCCTTGTGGGTATTAAACTCGTCACGTGGTACAAAGAGACCTCAGGAATAATTTGTTTGTTATTGAAAGATAGCCTATGTTTTGCCATATATTTGCCACTGATGATTTGTCCTTGAAACACCGAGGATCTATGTACCATATTTGACAACAAGTACAGAACGGTATTTTTAAATTGATAACGGAATATTATTGTCTAGCTTTCTTGTAGTCCGTGGATACCAGTACTAAGAATGGGAAGATTTCGCGTTTTACAATGTACAAGTCAGTATACCTTATAACGCAACTATAAATAACCTCGAAATTTCACGTTTTCCGAATCTCTGTGCATTAGTGAAATCGCGCCAGAGTACCAGAGGACGCTGAAGTGTATTTTGACAAATCTTTTGTGAAAGAGGAGTAGAATTCCATAAGATGAATTCATAGAGAAAACTTTATAAAATTGGAGAGAATACCTGTGAATAAAATCGCTGACTCTACTTAATTTTGCTTTTCTGATAGGTAGCTTATGTGACTTGTAGAATCAAGCTACCTTTTCTTGACTTGTTTTATGAAACCCTTTTTCCTTTTACAGATTTAAATATGTACAAATCTATCTATCAATGATTCTTCTATGATAACTCGATACTTGATTACAGCGGAATAAGATTTTTCAATGCAAAATGTACTCTACACTCTGGTTATGGCTTCCAATTTGTTTATGCATACACGTGCAGCGTGTAAACGGAGGTGAGACATATTTTTTGAATAGACATAAAATCTTCTATGACCAATTCGAGGTTTAGTATATGAGAGGATTTATTAATGTCAAAAGAGAAGAAAGCTTTTAAAATGGCCAATTAATATAGCAAATCACGACCTCTCGCCCGGTCATTAATCCAGATTGGAAATGGTTAAATAGATATGGAAAACCCCCCGAATAAATAGTGATTGCGTAAACCACCTGTGATAGTGATGAGTCTAGCCACCTTTTCGCCCATATTAATCCCCAAAAAGATTCGAATCTGCGTATACACGTAAGGCCATCAGGGTTCTCCTACTATAAAGTTCAGCACAGATCGACAAGGTCTCCGTCTGCCAATTGTACGCAATGCCATACCGCAGTGGTTTCAACCTATTTGGTGCAGCGGAGCCTCGATAAAACATTCCAGAGGTTTTGCAATTGATTATATATATATATTCGATTATATTTGTCATCATAAAATATGCCGATCGAAAAACAACAATAACTGGAAGTATTCCACTTTCTTGCATATTCAAGAAATTGATAATAATATTTTACAGCCCTATGTGACCCAACACCAGGCGATACTTCACTAGTATCTGGGGAGGTGTTTGAAAACGCACAAACGGGACTTGTTGCAACGACAGTAGGTCTTGAAGGATCCGTTGGTGCCATCACACTAAGTTTACTTGGCGATTTGAGTACATATTTCGAAGTAGATGGAAAAGAAATAAAAGTTAAAGACGGGAAGGCGCTGGACAGAACGAATTTGGCGAACCCAAGCCGTGCGGAAGAAATAACTATTACTGGATTTGTGGAATGTCGGATCACAGGGGCAACATCTGGGGCAAGTATAGGAGAATTAAAAAAAGATTCCCATTCAAATGTTTTATTGAACAGCATAATAAAGAAAGATATAAGTTAAAAGAAATCAGAAAATAAATGATAGACACATACATATGTATATGAGCATAAATGAAATTATATTTTTATTATGGTACTTCGTTTAGACGAATTACGCTGCCTCCATTGACATGAAATACATCAACAAATACAATCCCATAATCATCTCAGCCAATTCGACAGATCAGAGTGAGGTGAGGCGATGTTCTTCTACGTTTGTCTAACTAGTTCTTAGTCAGTTTATAAATAGAATAATGAATTATATTTCAAAGTAACGCATTAAAAGTATGTACAAAAGTAGCCGGGCAGTTACGTTTTTAGATCATAAATAACTTTCTATAGAGGCAAAACTGTAATACATCCAGTATAGAAGAAAGCCATTGCAGAAAATTGTAATACCGTTACTATGAGCCACTATGCACATTGTGTATATCTGATATAGCGTCCATCTCTTTGACTTGTATATTATTCAATACCCATAGAGTACACTAACATGACAGTTTTTAGTTTTATATGGTATTCGAGCATATACTCGAAAATTTTACAATCGTGAAATGCGCGATCAACGCCCGGCCCCATGTATACCTATATTCTTACAAATGTGTTGGACAAATCAAATAACATAACAACGGGATTTGTTCTTCTAACCTCATCACACCAAGAAAGTTTTCAATCGAGATATTCTGTTAACTGCAAGGTATCTCATCCCTTTACCGTCGGTGTGGCTTCTAAATTGAGGAATTTTTGCTGGAAGTTAACCTCTCAAATATTGCTAGTAATATATATGAATGTCCTCACCTTCTAAATGGTGGCCATCGTGCCTCTTGGCATTTCAGTGGGCGCTCATGACTACCCATCAATCTCAGTGAGATTGCGATTGGGTTAGTTGGAGCCAATTATTAAAAATGCCTATTTTCCAAAATTAGTTTTGTCAATGTAACACCTTTGTACAATTTTGAGAAAATAAGAATCAAATATGGGCATTGAGGCTGAGCATATTTGTTTTAGTATGTAGCTGTTGGAGCAGATATCCCTTTCTCTATAGCCGCTGGAACTGAAGGTTCTGGTGACCCATTGACAGAAATCAATGTTTTTGAGATTTTAAGTCAAGTTCCCGCAAATGTTTTCACCATATCTGCTGATGGACAACTGAAGCTTGCAAAGGATCTGGATTATGCTAAATACAAAACACATACCATTGATCTGTAAGTATGTAGCGCGTCGTGGGATTTTATTGTTTTTCCTTTCAGTTGCATTTTTCTGTTTCTAGATAATTTTCATTTGTTGCGCGTCTTTTTGTGATTGTGTTTAGGTAACTTTTGAACTTATTGATAAACTCTAATATTATGAAAATGAAATAAATATAAATCGAATTAAAATTGATCAAGAAAAGAGGTGTACCTAAATTGCAAAATCTGAGTTTTATCATTCCATTTTAAATTCATTACTTGATATAATTGAGATAGGGTGGGATTTATTTCGTTCGAAACTGCAAATGGCAACCCATTCTATACAATTATACCACCCCATTCTTTTTAAAAATACTATCATGCAGATTAGTAAAGAACACTGGTCCAGACAGTATGGGAAATGATACAACTTTAACAGCTACCAAGACAATAACTATTAATATACAAGATTATGATGACCTACCTCCAGTATTTCAACCATGTGTTAAAGAAGTTTGTCAACCTCTATATTCCTTGAACATAAATGTTGGTCAGGTGAGCAACCCAGACCTTATAAATGGGGTATATTAAAGCAATACACCAATTTAGATGATAAAGCTTCCAAAAAGAAGTTGATGTGCAGATTGTTTTGTTAAATTTTCGTTCTTGTTAGATTAAAAATCGTTACTTTGTTTCAAGCACCACGACAGTCGGTAGTCGAAGATGTGAGTGTATTTTTGAATGCTATTGTTTTATTTTCAATTCTACTAATATGAAATTGTGACATTAGTGTCTTCCCGATGCTTACTTTTCGCATTTCTGTTTCATAGTTACAAAACGGCTGAAGTATGCATAATTGCATGACGTCAGCGGTAAGCTGGTCTCTTGTAAACACAAGCAAGTTAGGAGTATTTTTAATACCTATAAATGACCAATTGTGTCACTAGTCAAAAAGTAACGTTTCTTTTTAGTCGACGGGGTCGTTGAATGTTGAACCGGGCCCAATTGAAGCAAAAGACGGTGACATTGGAATAAATCAGACTATAGAATACAGCTTTATCAGTGGTAAAAAAAACATTATTTTTCAGTAGAAGTGAAATACTATTTTGAAAACAGTTGAAATTCAGGTTTCTCAGATTGTTTAAACTTTAAAATACATCACATCAACACTTTTAAATATTTTTTTAAAATTATTATTTCAGAAGTGATTTTATGCCAAAAATAAAACCGTATTCATTGTATACACAGGAACTCCAGCGGATTACGTGACTTATCTTGATATTAATAGCGGAACAGGAGAAGTAACGCTCATAGCACCCATCACCAGTCCTACTACATATACAATTGCAGTTAAAGCTCAACAAACAGACAGGGGAGATCGCTTTGCTGTTACTTATTTGCAGGTTTGTAGCGTTCCTCTTCAATTATATATCAAAGTCATTCAAAACCCTATGCAGGAATGGGTAAATTGTTTTAGTATAAGAGCCGCACGCAGAAAGACAGAAATATGTGAGAGCCGCATAATTTTAGAATACCGTTAATTAACAGAAAATAAATTTCACACAGTCGACGCAGTGCGAACCAATTCTGTCACATGTTCATTTGTAAAAATTGCACGGAATTTTGATTTTTCAGTCCATTGCTGAGATTAAATCATCGCAACTGTTACATTGGCAGTTGGTAATATTTTAGGAGATGTGCCTTTGTGTGCGAAACCAGCATTTTGAGTGTTGGTCGCTGGAGCTGTGTAGATCCAAGACTACAACAACATCAGCAATATTTTATTTCACAAAATCACAATCTGAGTATGGGTGTTTAGCACGAGCAATATTTCATGATATAACAAGAATAGCTTAGGTTGTTGCATCGTATTTATTGCTAAATTATATCATCAATTTCTGCTGTCGTTTTAGTCATAATAGAAACTCATTTAATCTGTGTTTCCTTAAAACTGATTTAAGAGGGTAGCCGTAAGAAGTTTTGCTGATTCGTTTCATTATGCGTTTAACAGTGTTGACTTTATTCTGACGTAGAACCTTATGTCGGATTAATCCCAAAGGTTCATTTTCTTGACTAGTATTTTCCTTTCCATTTTGACTTGACAACTCTATTCTTATCCCCGAATTTTCGCTTTTTTCTTGAGGGTATATCGCACTGAGACTAACCGCAGTCAAGGTGGAAAACCGCCAACGCAGCAACAAACATTTGACCATTGTGATGTAAGATTTGTCGACTGTCTTATTAAAAAAAATCGAAAATTCCACGCTACAATGATTTTAAACATAATTTGTTTTATTCACTGATGAAAACTTGTTTTACCGCTCAATAATTTAGAAACAGCTTACAGTTTCTCTTAGTTAGATTTGGAAAATAAGTAATGTTAGCGAGAATAGCCGCATAAAAACACTTGCGAGCGCATGTGGCTCGCGAGCCGCGGTTTGCCTACCATTGCTAATAGTCAAATAAATAAATCTATGCATTTTTGTGAAAGAATATTAAATGACATTGGATATTGTCATTTGTCCCACTTACAATCATATTTTTGAAGCATAAATTTTACAAACATACTATTTCGGGCTATAATTGCAGTAACTCTTTCACCATTTAATATAAAAGTTTACCGACGATTTGAATTAGAATATTAACTATAAATTTTGAAGTGGTAATTCAAAATACTTTTCACGTTTGATTAACAGACAGAAAATCATTAGCGTGCTGAACAATTTAAATTTTTGGGGAACATTTGGCACATCCGAACGATATTTTGTGCTCTAGTTCTTTACATTCATTCAAGCCTTCGGTATGTGTTAGCATTCTACAGAAAAGCCAAGGAGAATCCAATTTCAGTTGACATTTTTTTTCAGGCGATAGCGACTGCGAAAGATGTACATCCACCTACATTCAGCGAAACATCTTACAGCGGCGGAGTTGTGAACGATGGAAGTGATATTTTGTTCGTGTACAAAACTGGGTCCACGGATTTACTGCAACTTGTAGCAACGGACGGCGACGATGCAAATGTAAGTAAATCAACTGCTTGGGTGTAGCAACTTTTGTATAATTGGAGTTGCAAATTTGTTCAAGTAAAAATACTTTTTACATTGAAATGAGTAATGAATATTTATATTGTCTTTAGCAAAAATTGAGCCTTTTGATTTTTTATGCTGTTGCTGGAAATTTTTTTGTTTTATTTTCAAATTTACATTTTTTACGACCCACTGCGACGACGCCAAGGTTGTGCAGTTTCACAAATCTCGATGTATGTTGAGAAAGTTTCTTTCCTCTTCGGTTAAAGGGGAACTTGTTACATACCATATTATATAATATGTACATAATATATACCTTTTTTCAGGCAACCATTATCTTCACAACAAAAGATCCGACTCCTTACCAAATATCGAGTGAAGGATATATATTCGTACGAAGTTCACAGCTAAGTACAACTAGAAGTACTTCGGTGAATATTTTTATTTGGAAACCCCTTTGTAAATATACAAATATCAGTTAGAAATTATTGTCGAATTATTTATATTCAGAGCGATTTGGAAATTGTCGCAGTGAACGTATATGCTGATACCACTTCATCTAACCGAGAAAGTGCTCCTATCACAGTGAACATTGCTGTTACAGAAGGTGATATATTAATAATATTATCATATGCGTCCATGCAACATTATTACAATTATTCGTGGTTGGGGGAACACTATTCAATTAGATGTCAAATTTTTCATTCAAACGCATCATCATCTGGAAAATCAATCAATATGTATTTCGCTTTAATCCCAGATGATAAGTAGTCACATTTGCTCATAGAATTAGCTTTGCTGTATCCTGAGAAAACTAGTTTCTCTAGAAATATGAAAACAACAAGAGGAGTCACTGTTGTTCATTCTACAAACATTATTCACACAGTACTAAAAAGCAGTGAATTCACTTCGCAGTGATACTCAACGCGCTCTTTGTAAGCTTTCAGCTGCATCTTCTACTCCGATCATTGGTGCACATAGATAATCACAGTATTTATACCGTATATTTATGTAATTATTTTGGTCAATTTTGGTGTTGTATTGTGAGTGCAATGATATAACTGAAACACACCAATTTTGTTAATTCAAATTGACAAATGTTTGAAATAAATTTAATAACGACCGACAGTTACGACACAACAAACCACAGAGGGAACGACAGAGCCTATAACAACAGAAGCTTCCACAAGTAAGTGTAGTTAATAGCAATAAATGTGGATTGGCAGTTAATTTAGTAGTAGCTAGGGCATAATAACAGATGGTATTTTTGGTGTGTCATACACGCCTTTTATATAATAAAAATAAAATCCTTTTTAATACCCCAAACGCGGTTAGGCGGAGTTTGGTGATGTAGGTTTCGTAGAAAAAATTTATTTACAAAAAGGTGGAACTGCGCGTATAATATTAAAAAAAAATGCTACTTGCATTGCTTATAGATCAATTTTTCTTTACATTATGACAGATGTCTCATCAATAATTTCCTGTCGTTTAGTGTGATCATTTAAAAAAAAAATCGAAAGAATGTTGAATATTTATTACTTTAGATTGTACTCAAATAGGCAATTACTTTCTAAATAAGTATAGCAGTTTTTCTTATCGATTCAATTTACCTTTCTACTATGTAATACAGCTGTAGAGCCTACAACACCAGTGGCAACTACTATTCCCACCACAGAACCCACTACTACATTTATAGATACTACAAGTAAGAGGATATATAAATAAAGCTAAACATATGAATCACGTTATATGCCTATTCTAAGTTTTCATTTGAGAAGGTATGTTTCGTTTGAGGTATTAATTAAGGCAATATTTAAAAAAAATTCCCTCAATAACAAACTGATCTGGAAAGTGACACAAAATTGGCTTTTATATATGAATGATTACTTGTCACTATTTGACAGTGGCCACTTAGCACGACAAATATGTTTAAAAAATTCAATGATGTTTTCATATTTTTAGAAATATAATCAGGCATTGCTTTTGTTGAATATATCGCTTCGATAATGTTGGTTTACTCACCGACATTTGTTTACCTCCAAAAACTTGAATGAGATCCATAATAGTCATAATCGACTGAGAGTTAAGCATTTTCCTAGTGGGCTGTGCTTTTACAAGAAAAATAGTTGTAAAATACATGATATCTTTGCATGCCAATCGATATAATTTCTTACTATTAACTTCAGCTGTAGAGCCCACAACACCAGCAGTGACTACTGTCCCCACTACAGAACCCACCACATTCATTGATTCGACAAGTAAGATAATTTAAGCAGTTGCCCGAATTCCTTGTTTCTTTTGATTTCAAATTTGCTTGGAATAGGTGAAATAATACAAATATGTGTTTGTGTCGGCGCTTATTCTATTCTATAAACTGAATTACCGATGTGAAAACTATTAAATGCAATTCAATGTGAAAAAATATGATTATTCTTTTTTCAAAATCACCATATCTGTGTTAATCTAAAATTTAAGCTCATTCAAAGTATTCGGGTCGACTTAATTTTGATTGCCTGATGTTCAACAAATATCACGCACAGTTAATTCTTGCTTTGTAACACAGCTTTATTGGCCACAACCCCAGAACCCACTACCGTACCAACAACTGTAGCTACTACCACAGTAACAGATACCACAAGTAAGGGTTTTCTCTTTCAATCACGCCAGACTGGCAAAATATGACATTACCACGATTTAACTACAATATTAGTGCATATCTTTATCTTGCTAAAGCGCTTGTATCCAAAACAGAAATTATTTCGTTTCAAGAAGTTGATATAATTTATCACAATCAGCAAAAACAGTCACACTGAATAATAACTAAGGCTGTATCAGCTATTCAATTTATCATGGTTAAGCTTATAATAAAAGGCATTACGTTTTTAAACTAACGGCATGTAATTTATCAGTTCAAGAATCAACTACCGCACCAGTCACGAGTACCGTAGAAATCACTACAGTTCCAGAGAGCACAAGTAAGAACACACTTAATAATTTTCCACAACACTTTCAAACCAGATACGTTCTGTTACGAATCTGGAAAATTATGACTGAATATAACTAATATTCTGTAATTGGCAGCCAAAGAACTTACAACAGCACCTACATCCACTATAGATTCTACCACACAGACAGATTTCACAAGTAAGACACTTTCCTAGATGTGTCCCAGATCTGCGCATGCTAATGCGAATCTGGATTATGTTTAATTAAAACTATTTTAAATGTTTATAACGTGAATAACAAAGGACCGGCAAAGCAATCGTATGATTAGAAAAACCAAATTCTGTGAAAAGCACGCACGCACATATAAACTTTAGCTAGGCTAAGTTACCAACCTTTTTCGAGCTGATTTCCGCGGCCATTTAGCAGCTATTTTTGAGATTGCTTTCTGGCCAGTTTTCAAACATACTCATATTGTTGATTTGATTTCCAGTGTTAACAACGCTGTCTAAATACGAAAGTACAAAAGTTGCTGACTCAACATGCGACGAGGTTTACTTAATAATTTGTCATTGCCATTGCATATTCAACGCGGATTACCGTGTTCCCGCGAAAATAAGACTGGGTCTTATTTCAATTTTCTTCTAAAAAATACCACTAAGGCTTATTTCTGGGGGATGCCTTATATTTTCATTTATCAAAAACAAAATTAAAAAGTAGAGAATAACGAGATTTTGTAACATACAAATTATAAAAACTAGTATATATCCATGTACTTATAAATAACACGTTTTTGTTTAAAATAACTTCGAAACATAGATTGTTATTCATTTAAAACGTGTAGGAAATTTCTTGCTATCGACTAGGTTAAAAGAAATTTTGCGTTATTGACTACTGGACTAGGTCTTATTTTGAGGGGAGGACTTGTATTTAAATCATTTTTAAAACTCAGGCTAGGTCTTATTTTCAGGGTAGGTCTTATTTTCGGGGGAAAACGCTAGCAACAATGGCCAATAGACGTCATAAAGCCTGCCAAGGCGTTCGAAAGCGCCGAGATGCTCTAAAAATTATCATTGGGGACACACTTTGAAACGTTTAATCTATATATATTTCAGTGTTTTATAGTAACATCATGTCAACAAGCTTTGTAGCCGAGCTTTTTTTAGATCCAACACATATCGTCAAATTTTCAGTCACTTATATAATCATTTATAAAAAAAAAACGCTCAATTCAAGTTTATTATTTAAAAATATAGCCTCCACGATATCAGCAGACACTTCCCCTGAAGTAACAACTACTTCGCCGCAAACTACGGATTCTGATGTTTCAAGTAAGGATCAAAAATTTAAGTTAATACATGATGCATCCATATGGTAGTGGTTTTTAATTTTAACTATCAGGTAAAGCTGCGATTGGGTGTGTAGTCACTATAATTATTTGATCAACCCAATTGGCGATATGTGTTTGCAAATCTTTATGACGAACGTGTACAAACATTGTGCGCTTTGAATTAAATAAAAACAGTGACGGTATATATCACTTTCTACTCAATAACAGCACAATCCACAGCCACGAAAGCCATTTTGTCTAGCACGTCACCGGCCGCGCCGACTGGTCCTACAACTTCTATAACCCCAGAGACTACAAGTATTGAAGTTGAAATAAGTAAGGAGTTATTTCTATAGTGAGCAATAGTCACTTATTGGCAGTTCCTAAATGGTTGATCTTCCTCACAACATTTCTGAGTAAAATGCCAAAGATAAACATATATTTCATTCAAACGATGTTACCTTTTTTGCCACTTTCACGATTACAAACAGAAAACATATCGCAGACATCTTCGTCGAACATGTACCTTTAAAATCGCATGTGATACAAGCTTTCTGCTAGTTCTCCAATTGCTTGTTTTAGTGGCAGCTTTACTTCAATCGTCGAATTGTAATTTAGAACGACATTGTTAATCTATAGATCAACCCAGCAGTTCAAAAAATCAACGGAATCCTTTCCCGCAAAAGTTGAAACATTTTCTTATTTAATAGCCTCCACGTCCGTAAGTGGTGCAACTGAAACAACGAAGAATTTAGAGGAAACTACACGAGATGGTTTTACAAGTAAGGCTGGCTTGCACGCTAGCACGGCTCCAAGTTCTGATTTGACGAGTGATTTTGCAGTGACGGGGTCATCCCCGTTTTATGATTCTAGTGCAGTCCAATCTTCGGCAAGCGCTCGCAGCACACAACCAACAACACGGCACTATACAAACTCTATCTCTGTGTCAAATACTGACACGATTCCGACAGACCCTAACATGACAAATAAACCCAATTTGGAAACGGTCACCACGCAGAAGCATAGTGACCAAACTACCAGAGAATTGTCGTATACTTTGGGTCCAATCGTAGGTTGGTTAGCGATTAGAGTCTTTGTAGTTTTCACACTCACATACTGGCGAGTAATTGTGTTAAATCAGCATCACAAAATATTATTAATTCAAATAAATTATGTTATTGACAGTCTTCCTCATTCTTCCAATAACATTTTTCACAACTTCACAGGCAGCAAAAGTGTGTGTGATTAACTAAATAACAAGCACCGAATGTTGTACGTTTTTTTCACCATCTTTTTGCATGATACTATGAACAATTTCCGTTTTAATACCACTTTTCTGCAGTTAGAATTAATTGTAAAGCGACAAACAATGAACTGTAGCCAATTATATCTTCTTTCTATAACGTGCAGGAGCTGTTCAGAAACTTCTAAGATGGACAATTGCCAATTTATACAAAGACTTTTAAATAATATGTATACATATTTTCGAATATTTTTCCATGTGCCTTTTTGCATATTCCTGAATATCTTTTGGTATTCAGAAAAAAATATTAATGAAAAAATTCATCATTAGAAAGCAATGCATGAATGGTTAATAATTTTGTTTCTCAACCAATTTTTTTAATTTTGCAAAAAATATTTCTTTGATCAAAAATCTTCAATTTGTGCGTTTCAATCATTTTGAAATAATTGTTTAATTCACGAAATTTACGAGAGTTCATAAAAATATTTGAACCAACTATTCAAGAAAAAAAGTCGAAAATATTGAGCTTATTGGGTAGTGCATGGTAGTGTTTGTTGCTATAGTTACAGACATTTCAATAAGCTTATTTGCTTCCTCATATAGCTTACATTGGGCATATTTGCTTGAAATTTGCAACAGAATAGAAACTGTGAACACAATTCTTCATGCATGAAAAACAACATTGTCATCCTAGACATTATTTCTATATTTTCATATACTGCAGCAAGTTATGTTACTTGCAAAGTAGCAATAACATCTATCGGCATGTATTTTATCAATTAACATATCAAAGCAAATAATCAAGTGAAATTAATATTTGTAATGCATAAATTTTTTCAGATGAAGTATCCATGGTTCCAGCAAGTACATTGTACGGGGTGGCAGCCGGCCTTTCAGTAGCGTTATTCATCGCCATACTCGCTATAATATATCTCATATGGAGACTTATGAAAAAGGATAAAGATTCAAAATTCGACGATGACGATGAAGATAACGTGGTATTGCTCTTTATTGGATACAGTTAGCTTACTGTTGGCGTGTTTCATAATAGCGATTGGCCCAAATAATAATGTCGTTTTGCTAGAATTCAATTATGGTATATTGCATCAACAAAATGATCAATTAAAATACATAAATTCTATTAAAACAAAATTGAAAAAAAAGTGGAATAAATAATAAACTATTTTCATTTCTTGGATACAGTCAACATCTATCAATGGAAATGCACATATGTATGAGAATGGAGCATTCACAGAACATGAAACCTCAAAGGAAATCGGTGATTAGATATTACGACATTGACTTAGCTGAACTAATATGCAATTATAAAGTGGATTATATTAATTAAGCTAGGAAAAATATTGTCAAAAATTCACTAGGAGACTATAGATAACATTAAATTACGCGTCACATTTGAATATCAGGTTCTTTGTACGTGTTTGACATGTCTTTTGCGAATGGACCTACCGTAGGCTTAGTGCTTTATCAATATGCCCCAAATGTCAAAATATAGACAGAATTTCTTGAAGTAAAAATGTTATCACAGATGAGAGGCCTCCGCCCATGATGGTGACCTTCACCGGTAATCCGCCGATAATTGAACCTGGCGAGGAAAGAGATAACATAAATGAAGAAACTGGAAGTAACCATTCATCGGAAGCTGATCTTCTCGGAAATGAAACTGAAGCAATGGATTTTTCTGCTCCCCAAGATCCCGAATATGCCACAGGTGAAAAATAAACACTAACCTAAATTAGAGTTTTTTGAATATAAAGATGTACTGTGCTGAATATATACGTAAATTAGTGCATTTATATATGTTCCTTTTACCGTGACTTCGTTGACTTGTACAGTCTCAAATATAAAGCAACATGATATTACCTTGAGAGTTAATAGGCTCAATATTGTAAATGTTTTTGTTTAAAATCTTTCAGTAAACTTCTGAACCGTCATCTCAGAGCGGCTCTTTGTATATTTAGCTGATTTTTTTTAAACGAAGCTATTTTTGTTGTTGGAATTCCAGTGAATAAAGAAGAAAATACTGAAATCCTCGAGGAAGAACCTTTTGGATACGACAACATGGCTGAGCCCGATACAGCACCTAAATCTGATTTCGAAGAAGAGCTGTATGTACCATTTTTAATCACAGCGATGCATCGCTATGGACAAAAGCTCTGACTATTTTTTCTTCTTATAAAAATGTTTTGTGGTAATGGTAACATAACTAAATGTTTGTAGTAATTTGATTTGGGTCAATAATTGAAAATATTTGTTTTGAAATAATACTAAAAGAAAGGTCTCAAACATAATACTGATCATAGCTCTCTGAATTCAGACCATTTATTTTTTACAAATATGTTTTATACAGTATGCAAAGACAGAGACAGATGGTCGCACCAGCTGTGCCAGTGGCAGCTGTACTTTTGAACGAATCTATGGAAGATGATGTAGATCCGATATCTGATCAAGAACGCAAAAACTTCCGACTTTCGCCTGAAAAAATACAAGAAGAACGCATAATTAAAGTAAGCCTAATAAAATATTATGAAAGCCAGCATCGTCTGAAATAGCGTAGAACTCGCATCACTCTATAGACACAAACCAGTTATTCTGAGGTTCATAGGACCATAACTATAGTAAAACAGTGGCAAGCAATCAAGCGGAACATGATGAAAATTTCGGTTTCAAAACTGCGGTTTGAATGTGCATTGTTTTGGTGCTGTCGTCTTGTATCGTAATCAGGGAGAGAGGTTATTCTCGCACGTGTCGTCATTTTTTGCTACCTTTTATAACTTATATAAATCAGGAAAGGTACAGTCAAATCGAAACTGATAGAAAACTTGATACAAAACAGGATTTTCGGAACAAATCCGAATCTGATAGGCGTGATCCAGATGCCACCTATCGCCATTACTGACGAAAAAAAGTCAGATGGATGGGAATATTTCTCCAATTTCATGTTCATTCAATCTCGTTTGTCTCTCTTTTGCAAACCAAAACGTTTTGAGATAATTATAAAATATTCTCTTAATAGGAGGATGCCGTAACTACCGTAAAGTTGGTGACCTTGAAGGGATATGGAGATGATAATGGAGATGTTAAAGCTGTTTTAAAATCTATTGAGTAAGTAAATACTAACATGTGAATACTAAAGATAACAGGCAGCGGTTATTAGGATTTTTACATCGTTTCCAAATGTAACAGATGGCACTAACTTTATACGTTTTCTTAGCCTTAGTATGGCCACCGGCACAGAAGAGCAATCAGTGAGAAGTCAAATTGCAACAATGGAGAAATTAGGAGAATTGGATCATGAAAATATACTCACATATTATGGAAGCTACGAAAAGGACGGTACGTTTGAACGGGATTTAATTATTTTTCCTATAATTGTAGCCAAGATTATGATTCCTAGGCTAGCCGACGGAATATGTAATCGACTTTTTTCTTCTGTTTTCTGACACTTCCGGATCCGTTGTGACTCTGTTCACAAAGATACATAGCCTATGCGATAACAGCTATTTTGAGCTATAACAGCTGAGAAAAGCTGTGATGTTTTACAACAAATTATTACGTTTATTGACTTTTAGGTTATCTTCATTACGCAACTAAATATGCAGAAAATGGTTGCCTGCAAGACAAATTGAGAAATTCAAACGTGGATGCAAATACAAGGATGCATATCATGGCTGATATCGGGAGAGGCCTCCAATATCTTCATGCGAAGTTAGTCCTCCTTTCTTCGAATTAATTTAGCCATTCCCGTTATCAGCAATTACTTTACATTGTATTTTCATCATATATATATAGGCGAATGTTCTTCCCGTGTTAAAAATTTTGAATGTGTTTCGACTTTTGCAATAAAGACATTATTATGTAAAACTCAATATGTATGTAAATCAACATCAGTGTATATAAATAATGGCCGCTTTATTTTATCAGCATAACACAATCAGCATGAAATGTTTAGGTAAATTGGAATAATACTTTCAATCACGTTTAGTTTTTTAAGTATACTTATTTACGCAAATTTACCTGTCAGTAATTAGGGCCAAAATGGGCTTGAAATGTTCATTATGAAATTATCAAAAACATTCATTCAACAATTTGTGTTCTGTTTAACTTCTGTTAGCAGCAAACCTGTTATGGTTCGTTTCAACGCCTGGAATATTTGTTCTCTCTCGCAATATTATAATGCTAATTATTTTTAGTAACATTGTCCACGGAAAATTGTGGGGGAAGTCGATTATGTTGGATGCAAACAACAAACCAAAATTAACAGATTTTCAGAATGACGATTCTATTGTAACTGATGTGAGTGGGATATCATTTTTTTCTTTATTCAGAATATTATTACAACATATTATTGTTGTATCTTTCTCATTGAGAGTTATACAATGTTATTATTCATTAAATAGCTATTACGAATATTCTAACACAAATAGTGTACGTGATTTTCTATTCATGCCCTGTTTAATAATGACTATTTACAAGGATTATTTATATATATATATATTAAAAACGAAATTTCCTCCAATTGTAATCACCAAATCTGTCACATTATTCTGCGTTTCTCAGCATTTACGTCTAAAATATCAATAGCAATTCACACCAATATATGAATAAAATGCCAAAAATGATTCAAATATTTCCTATGTAAAAATACAATATGTTCATTTTTAGTACGGTGATATGATGAGGTGGCAAGCGTTGGAAGTGAATGAACAAACAAGCGGTCGCACAGCGGTATCTGACGTGTAAGTTAGCAGTCCCAGTCGTAGTTATTGTAAAAATGATTTACTTGTACTCGTATAGTAGCAAATAATAATATGCTAATGTATATGCGTGTATATTGTGCGTAAACAATTTATTTGACAACATAAAATACGTGAACAACAAAATATTTTTTAATCCTTAACCAATCGTGTTCAGAGTCACACTTATATGGAACGGTGCAATCAATGAAAACCAGTATCAACTAAAATTTCACTGTTCACATACTTTAGTACACGGCATCATTTCAAATATTATTTACAGGTGGTCATATGGAACCGTTATGTGGGAGATTGTTTCTGACGGAGCTGTACCCTACGATGGTGTACCTGTGTTCGATCTACCAACGCATATGCGAGAAAATCAGTTGCCGAAACCTAAAGCTTGTTCGGATAGTTTGTAAGTAACAACACCTTACAGTATTGTGACATGCAAAAGTACAGACATCTGTATAATTAAATTAAATAAGTAATATAAAGTTATGTATAATGCAAATGAATATATTTTTATACTTCAGCGTACAAAGTTCAATAAAATTTGCATTGCGATAACAGGTTCAGCATAATGACAACATGTTGGAATACGGACCCGAAAATGAGACCTGATATGTACGTTATTAATAGCAACTTATCCGAAAAACTTCTTGAAGACTCCAATGTAAGTTTGCATGCATTAATCAGTCAATATTTTAATTTGTATTCTGAGAAATTGAGGAATAAAACGTTTTTGCTTTAAAGCTCACAAAATTGTTGTATGTTGAATTCTTAATTGGTTGCGTGAAACGTTGTTTTGCAATTTATCCTGAATAAATAGCAATGAAATAAAGAAAAATACACAACTTCTGTTTTCCTTTTTTTGAATATTTTAAACAAATATTGATCACGACAGTGTGAAATTTTCGTTATTGCATGGAGTTTATAATTTTACTCCAGCAATTATTTCATCATTTGACAGAATCTAATCGGTTCCCAAACATCTGTTCGCTCTTCGTCATCGCTTTCGACTAGACTGTTTGGTGATAATAAAGTTCGGCCCGACTGGTCGGACCATGAATCCAACCCTTCACCCGGCCCTCCAGTGGCGAGGTACACAGTGTGAAACTCACTCAATTCGATTACATCCCTGATTTATGCGATTATAATGTTTTGCACAAAAAATTAATTGACCAAAATAATCCGGGCAGAATAGTGCGCATCACGTCATAACCTGCAACGGAACACACTCCTCTCTAGTAGATTCAATAATAAGTAAAAGCGGAGTGAATAATTAATACTAACAAGACGTTCAATTTGCATGGATTTTTAGTTTAAACGCAATTAACGAGTTAATATAAATGGTATGTGAAATAACCAACGAGCAGTTATATGAACACAAAAGCCGAAACCAAGTAGCATCAAATCTTTTACAGAACCAGTAGTCTGACCCCCAGATCGCTGGAATGCGATCGCGGAACCGTCACGCGTGGCGCATTTTTCAATTTTGATGTTGCACCAAATAAATCTCCAAAGTGAAAAACGAATCCCAATGAGCTCACTGAAACTTTTGAAACAAAAAACGTTAAAGCCTCATCAACAACAATCGTTCACCACTAAATTTTTTAAAGCGATTGGTCAAGTAAAAGGAAAAGCGATTTTTCCATAACAACAGCAACAAGAATAAAAATGGCAAGAATACTAACAACAACAACAATTTAAAAAACGATCGTGTCCAATAATATACACGTGCATGGATTCGATTCATTTATTTTCGTAATTTTTATACTATGATACCGACTAGCTAGGTATTAGTTGATAAAGGGTTTTCAATTATTTATAGCAGAATTTATTTTGGACGAAAATTTATGAAAAAGTTTGCTGAGGAATAACGAAGTATTTACTCTGAAAAAAGTGAAAATAAGTTTCACCACGCGAATTCCAGTAATTTATAGTATTCGTTAGATCCAAAAAGTAATGTTTATTGTTATTTTTGCACGACAGAAGCCGTTAATAAAACTATGCACTCATAATATCAAACACGGTTAACCTAGAAATTGGTATAATATTTTACATTTTTTCAGGACCACATCCGCCTGGGTGTAGAAGATAACGGATCATTACCAAACGGTTCTTCTTTTTCACAACCCTATGTAAAGCACGCTGATGACTTCCCTCCACCACCAGAATCAATTGAAGAATACGAGACCGAGACCTATACCGCGCTTTAAACTTTTTGGTTTTGACCTTTTTTTTATATAATTTTTGCTCGTTTCTTTTAATTTGCGCTTTTACAATCGAAGTTGTCACTGTATTTTCCGTTAATTTATGGAAATTTAAACTTGTACGAGTAGTAAACAAGTTCTTACCTTTCTTCAATATTTAGCAAGTGTCATACTATTCCGCACATAATTTATGAAAGCAAATAATTTACTTTCGTATTTTGCAGATCAAAATACGCAAATTTATTTCTGAAAGTTTAATGTAGATTTTTGTTTTGGCCCTTTTTAATCTCTGTTCCTATTCTACAATTTTAAACAAAATTTTACGATGTTTTTCACTGCTCATGAAGTATTGACAAAATGAAAGCATATCAGATATACTGTGTCAGATATAGTGATTTGAGGCTTTAGGATGTTTAGATGGAACAGGAATATGAAGTATCTTTGTGTTTTTGAAAAAATATTTTTATACATTTACAATTCAAAAATGTATTTCATTTTGATTTGAAATATTCTTTGGCGGGAAGAAATATGATTTTGCCGCAATGCAAATCAATAGATGGTTCCCGCTTGGTTTCACTTTATAAATTTATAAAATTATGCTGTCTCCGCCGTGACCTTCCTGAGAATAGTTTTATTTAACATATAATTTGTCCGTATTTTTAGTGCAATAATTAGCACTAAGTTCTTAATTTATAGAAATGCTTTGTGTACTGGAATGATTTTTAAAATAGAATAATTGAAAGTTCATAATTTTGTTAATTTTTTAATTAGAGGAAATTAACATTTTGTTGTTATGGATGTCCACTAACGTTTTTTTCATATATTGTACTCTCGCTAAATAATTGAAGTTTCTGTACAAAGTTTTATCTCTTTTCATTGTGATTTTGATAACACTTTTAGAGAGCGATTATGTGTATTTTTAAATATATATCTAATTATCAACTGCTCAACAACTTTGTATATTATTGCTCGCCATTAAAATATTCTCAAATTATTGTGTCGTATATTTTATTTTGCCAAGGCCTAATAGGACAGAAGTTGTTATTATAATATAAGTTCGAATCTCCCCTTCGAATCGTGGTGTACTGGTGCGAACAATTACTCAAAAATGATGGATGATGAATGCAACTCAGCCAAATCCAAACTTTGCACGGTTTTGAAATATATATGCATTTAAATATTTTCTTGAAATTTTCAATTATTGGATTTAATGAATCATGAATTCATAGAAAACTTGTTAAAATTTTGGAGAATACTCTTGAATAATTATTTTTTGGCTCTAGTTAATTTTGTATTCTGATAGGCATGTGAATTGTAGAATTAAGCTACGTTTGGTTAACTTGTTGCAAATTATATTCCCTCTTTCCTTTTCCAGATTTAGTTATCTATAAATCCATTTATTCAAAAAAAATTTCATGATAAATCGATACTTGAATATAGCCGGACAAGACTTTTTCAATGAAAAATGTATTTCACACTCTGGGTATGGCTTCCAATATGTATTTGCATACACGTAAACCGTGCAAACGGAGGTGAGACATATTTTCTGAATGGACAAAAATGATCAATTTGAAGTTTATTATATGAAAGAATTTCCATATTGATCTCGAATGAGAGGGAATTTTATGAGACGTTTTCATAATAGGCCAAATTCCGGCCTCTGAAGCGGTTACCAGTCCCATAGATAAGGAACTCGAAAGACTGTTTACTGTCTAATAGGCATATCCACACGACATTCGAAACTGCGAATACACGGAGGGCCATCAGCGCAATCCTAACGCTTAGCAAAATGCGTCAATACCTTACGAGCCCAACAATGCAATTTTATATTTAAGTTGTTTTCAACCTGTTAGGTGCAGCGGAGCCCTGATTAAATATTAGACTAATTAGAGGCTCGAAGAAGCCTGTTGGAAATGAATATATATATTCGATTGTATTTATCATCATAAATTATTGCCAATCGAAAAACATGAAGCGACAATTAGACTTCGAATACCTGAAGGTCTTTCACTTTTATTCTTATATATTTTAGATATTGATATTAATTTTTACAGCATTATGTGACCGACTACTAGGCGATACTTCACTAGTATCTGGGGAGGTGTTTGAAAACGCACCCACGGGAGTTGTTGCAACGACAGTAGGTGTTGAAGGATCCGTTGATGAAATCACACTAATTTTATCTGGCGATTTGGATACATATTTTGAAGTAGATGGAAAAGAAATAAAAGTTAAAGACGGAAATACGCTGGACAGAACGAATTTGGCGAACCCAAGCCGTGCGGAACGAAAGGCTATCACTGGAAATGTGCTATGCCAGATCACAGCGACATCATCTATGGCAAGTTTATATAGCATAATTAAAAAATGATTTTAATTCAAATGTTTTATTAAACAGCGTAATGGAGAAAGATATAAGTTAAAACAAATCAGAACATAATTGATAGACACATACATAATGTATATGAGTATGAATAAATAACCATAAATAAAATTATATTTTTATTATGGTACTTCGTTTAGACGAATTACGATGCCTCCATTGACATGAAATACATCAACAAATTCAATCCCATAATCATCTCAGCCGATTCGACAGATCAGAGTGAGGTGAGACGATGGTTTTCTACGTTTGTCTAACTCACTGGTTCTCAAACTTTTTTAGTCCCAGAGCCGCATTTCATACCTCAAAGTTATGAAGAGCCGCACACAAACAACGCAAGATAAAATTGCAACAAACCTTAAGCGCATATTTAAAATACCAAGCCATCGTAACAACAACACACGTAACAACTAAGGCTGGGCAAAATATTTGTATTATAAAATATTTGAATGGCATTTTACTATGTATTTGAATATCAAGTACCACGTGACCTGCGCCGCTCTGCTTGGACACCGAACTTGCGCGTCTCCAACTCAATCGTGAATTGTGCGAGATTTGCCAACGGCGCTCGCTATCAGAAAAAAAAGACGAATGTGAAAAGTCGTTGTCTTTGCGTAATGGTGTTATATGCTTATCTTTGCACCTAACGTATCGTTTCAATTCCATATTTTGCAAAAAAACGTCATTAGCCATTTCTTGCATTACCGAACATAAAGTTGATTAAAATTAAATGGTAAAATGACTTTTCGGCGTTTCATTGTGAAAAAGGCGATTTTAGGTCGTTAGAAAACTCTAGAGCAGTGGTTCCCAAACTTTTTAGAGTTGGGACCCACTATTTATTACCACAGCTTATGGCGACCCTCTTAACTTTGATTTTCTTTTGATTTTTATGACATAACACAGCACACAGCAATGGCTAATCATCGCAAAAATACCATGTTTCCTTGAAAATAGGACTTGGCCTGAAAATAGGATAATAATTTGAATTTTCAAAATGAATTTAATTAAACCCTACCCTTGAAATAAATTTAAAATGTGTGGGAGAGGAAAGGTTCATTGGGGTAAGGTGAAGATCACACCACTATTCAAGACTATGTGATATCACAATTATGATATTTGTCACTTAATTTTTGCATAGGAAATACAAATAAAAACAATGGATGTCGGTTTTTATATAATGTTTAGTAAAAAATCTTGTGATTTTCTACAATGTAATTTTATTTTTGATAAATGAACACAGAAGACCTCTTCCAAGAAAAACATAGTGTTATTCTTCAAAAGAAAATAAATCTAAATCTCGGGGGAACAGGATAAGAAGTGCTGTACAGTGTACAAAACTGCTATGCGTAAAAAAAACACATGGTTATTCTTTGTGTAGCAAATTTTTGTTTCTTTGAGAAGATCGTAAAAAAGGAACTTTCACAGATTAGAATTCAAATTCAATTTGAATTTTTTTTTTTCGAAGATTTACGTATTCAAGTCGCCACCGATCCTAATAACCAGTATAATTAACCAAAGCTTTCTACATCTTTTCACGACCCACTGAGATTCCTTTTGCGACCCACCAGTGGGTCGCGACCCATAGTTTGGGAACCGCTGCTCTAGAGCAGTGCTCCGCAACTTTTTTTAACTCGCGGCACACTTATAAAACTTGCCAAATTTGACGGCACACCACAACAAACGAAAAATACAAGGTGTAACATTGTTTTATGTTCATATAACAATGAGAGATTTGTGGTTGTTTTAATGAGCACAATCGCTCTATATTAGGATCGACGCGCAATCAATTTTGCAACGCGATAACTAGCTTCTAATGCTTTTTCGGAGACTGTAAAAGACGACTTCACAGAGCACTCTTGCTTCTTATTTTGACTTAACAACCGCTGGAAATGATTTATATTGTTGCGTGCATAAACGGCAAGTTTCGTATTTAAGTGACGCACAAGTTTACTCGGAAACAATGCTTCATTTGCAAGTTGCTCCGCCCAAATAACCCAGACTGGTTTTGGAGCATCTCCGTTAGCACAGCAAGAAAATCCATATTTGACGTAATCTTCCCTGTATTTCCTTTTGACAAGTTTTTTATTTCCAACGTTGCTTGTGTTAGGTACAATAGGTTGCTCAGTATCAGCTGTTCTTTTTAAAAATGTATTCATTTTGCACAAAACTTTAACGTTCCTTGACTTTTTTAATCAAAGACCACTGGGCACTGATTCTGCAAACTCACACTTTATTTATATTCGATTACTACGATGACCGTACATTTGAACCCACGTACATTTGAACCCATGTGTATATCCGCGGGTTCAATCTATATGCGGGTGCTAAAACCCATGGGTTAGGTTAGTATGGGTTCAAATATCCGCAAAACAAAAAAAATTTCCATAGGTGCAATAGTATGCAGATGCAATTGCCGTGGGTTCAAATGTACGTGGGTTCAAATGTACGGGAACCGATTACTACACGTGCTATGTTTTAGCCTCGACAATAGGCTTTACAATATACATGCTTGTCATATAGGCCTACTCCTTGTTGCGTCACAAACGCACAGTGGGGGTGTCAGGAATTTGAATTGGTGTCGCTCAAGCTAACGCAAAAGCGGGTTAACTCTACGTTAGTAGAGTAGAGTGGTGGACTAACGCAAAATAAACAAAAGATGAAAAATAATTTGTAAAATGAAGAGAAAAGTTGCAATTCCTGTGCGGCACACCTGGCATCGTCTCGCGGCACACCGGTGAGCCGCGGCACACCGGTTGCGGAGCACTGCTCTAGAGTCTAGTTATATAAATAGCATGGATTTAAAAATGATCAAAAGTTTCTCCAAAAGTTGGTATGAGTTACTTGTATGAAAAACATTCATTAAGTTGTAACCAGATAAGAAATGTCATGTCCTACTCCGTTTAAAGTACTTTGTATCTTTAGTGATCCCTTCCATCCTTAGCCAAGTGATGTTTCGAATATGTAAACATTTAACTCGACCATGCATGGCCGTTGAGCCAAGAGTAAAACGTAAAATCAATCAAGAATTTCGTTGTAACAATGATTCGTCTATTATCATTGAAAATTATTACAATTGTTAAATTTTGAAGCATTTGGGCAGTAATAATTAAGCATCAAGGCAGGACATAATCAAAATCATTAAGTGAAGTGCTGAATTTGCAAATTCCGTAAAGAAAATTAAGAATTTTAGCTATAATAACCATCGGGGTGTTGTTTTGTTGAAAAAAAAATGTTAAAACTTGAAGGAATTAGATATAATTAGCGTCTGAGCCTCTATTAGGCACAAAGGCCAAGAAATGCCTTTATTGCCAATTTATTTAATCGCTATTTTAAATCAACATTCCGGATTCACGCAATCGTAAGTTCGCTAGGTTGATCTATCTAATACTAAAATAACACGAACACCAGAGAAAAGCATAAGAAACTCAATTATCATTTTAATAAATATCTGCATTACCGTTCACTTTAAACAAGCACGGTTAATTTACAAACGGTGATAAGGAAGATCAAATCCGAGGCAGAGGATAAAACTCAGAATAAAATTTATTTGGTTTTGAAATCAGCCCTTTAATGTCTTCAACAGCTGTCGCGGATGTGAACGCAAGGGTATACTAGAAAAATGAAACTTCGATATCCGGCGACCACTTAATCTTGCAAAAAAACGAGAAAGGGTAGGAATATAGAATACCAACTTTAGGATATCGCCGCCGAAACGATCGCGGTGACAAAGACAATCAGCGATTATGATGAAATTAACCCTTAACCAGTAAAAAAACGCTTTATCGCCGACTTTTCAATGTTTCTATTAATTTCCGAATTCGAAAAAATATTCGATTTTACCCACCCTAGCCTAATAGCTATTTAATTTGGCTTTGATTTCTATTAAGTTTGTCAAAGCGGGTCGTAATCGTGGAGGATGCAAGGTGCAGTAGCTGCTTGAGATGATTGCCAAATATTTCGGGACTATTTTCGATTAAATTAAAACTGGTAAATTAATAAAACCATTGAGTTATTCGATTTATACATAATATTCGGGCGTCTTCGTTTCAGCGTCTTCGTTTCTGTTGTCTAGAGAGTCCCGGCGGAGATGCCAACTTTTTAAAGTGGTTTTCTCTGCTTGACTTCGTCGTCTACAGGTGACTCCACTTGGTTCGGGGCTTCGACAACAGTTCTTTTAGTCTTGATCCAATCTTGTTTGCATTTTATTAATCTATTTTAGTTATGTTTTAAATCTTAATAAAAATCAATCAGGATATTAACATTTCATTTCACATACGTCACATAATTCGAGGTTCTTTAATCCAACAACAAAAACATCGGGGTATAGGGTTGCATTTCGTTTTATTCATATCTCATTTTTTAAATTTTTTTTGTCTATATAGGGTTTTAAATTTACAAGTTGAGATATGCACCATTATATAAGCATTACAAAAAAAAAAAACACTTATAGCAATACGTATACATAATAATAGGCATGCAATAAAAATAAAATACAAATTAGTTACACTTCATTATTCCTCAATAAGTTTTAAACATTAATCTTACGATATTATCACATAGGCAAAAATAAAAATAAAATTCCAGTTACGATTTGGACCATAAATATGATATTATTAACACAATAGTTTTTTTTTTTAACACCATATGGGATTTATTCAATATTCATTTCGTCTTCAAGAGTTAATGACAATATATCTTTTTCCTGCTTTTCTGATTCCATAACTTTATTACTTATGACTTTCGGGGCTCCTAAGTACTTATCTTCTGCTTCCCGTCTGCTGGTTTCTTCATTTATCGTCAACGCCCTTATTATCAGTTCTGGGTATATTACATCCGTTAATAAATCCTTTTTTACTCGTTCTCCAAAATTCCCGATTTCCCTAGCGATTTCTGCCTTTATATACTTTCGTTCGACGAATTCCTTGCCATAGGAGATTACTTCATAATATTCTTCATTCTTGGCATGATATGGAGGCGCATTTTCTAATCTCCATTTGTTGTCATTTGTTGTTCCTTTTCTCCTTAGTTCCTTAAACCTTTCCCTTTCAGTGAGAAATATTCTTCTCAAATGGTTGTCACATTTCCCTTCTTTAATCGCTTTCAAAATTTTACTTGGTTGTTCAAGATGCTTCATTCTATCAGCTAGTGGGCTTCGTATTCGTTTAATTTGGATTTTAGGTTTCGGCCTTTCTTCATGTTTTCTCTTCGTAGCCACGACAATCCTCTGATTTGATGATTCCCTCCCCGATCTTGAAGAAGCGCGAGAATTGCTCGGTGTCTCAGGTAACTTTGTTATTTCATCGTCACTGGTTCGCAACCATTCAGTTATATAGTCAATCTCTTCTTTTCTTTCAGATGATCTTGACACATCAGATTTCCTAATTCTATCTGGTGATAACTTCTGTGACTGAATGGTTGGCGTTTGTATAAACGATTTATTCACCAAGTTAACAACTCGTGTCGGGCTCCATTCATCATCAATCTTTAAATTCTCCGTCAGGTTGAGTTCTATCGGTGTCGAGGCACCGATAGAGTTCCTTGGTTTCTTTACAAGTACTGCTACTTTCTGATATTCTCCAACATCCTCGATCTTTTCAATTTGAAGACTGTTTCCCATTATAAGTACTCTGTTAATTAGACTTATTTAACTTCAAAATTTGTCCCTTCAATAAATTTCTGCTTCAAAGTAGCGCAGTCCTGTTCTCAACACTTCCTTCTTTCATACGGGTCTGGGTGTGTCATTGGTCACATATTTATTTGCTTTCACTTGGTTATTTCATTATAGTTGCACGCGAGAAAGAAAAAAAATCTCTCTCATATTTATCATCCTGTTGTGGGAGTCATCCTATGAACTCAAGAAATGTTTGCGTGAGAACGCGCAGCTGTCTATAGGGAGTATTCTTTATTGCTTCCGAGAATTAAATTGTGTGACTTGTGTTTGCTCAGGTCACAGACCCGCGCTCTCTGCAAACATATGCAGAGTGCTTGCAAAACATGATAGTTAAAATATTTTTTTTTTGCAAGTCCGTTTGGTCAACATTCCTTTCCAAAATATGTCCATTGTATTTAGTTTGGTCAATTGAATTCACACTTTTTTGCTAGATAGCTACTTCAGCCATGGTTTTTGCATCGTTCTCTAATAATCTCTTTGTAATTCCCTTCTTCGCAATACCTTTTGCCCAATTTTTTCCTCTTTTGTCCGGTAGTTGCAATATCTCCGGTAATCGCTGCTTATTTCTCCTGCAGTTGGGGTGATATTGCAAAAAACAACAAACCAGGATCATCGCCACAATAACGCCGCATAACAAATGCGACAAAAACTGAAAATCCATTAAAGCAAGCCAATAATGATTACAGTCATGTTTAAAATCTTTCCAAGTGAAAAGTGTCGGAGTGGCCGCGAAAATGCTTACAGTTGCGTCACTATTGCATCTTGTAGATTAGTCAACGCTACGCAAATAAACACGGAGGAATTCATTCGACTAACTAATAGACTTCCGCATTTTAATTTCAAGTCAATGATTAGTTTTCAATTATAAATTTTCTTTAAAAGTAATTGACATTAACAAGAGCGGCAGGAAGGGTTGTTGAGAGCCGCATGCGGTAGTTTGCGAATTTCTGGTCTAACTAGTCAGTTTATAAGTAGAATAATGAACTAAATTATGAAGTAACTCATCAAAAGCATGTACAATGGTAGCCGAGCAGTTCCGTTTTTAGATCATAAATCACTTTCTACAGAGGCAAAACTGTAATATATCCAGTATAGAAGAAAGCCATTGAAGAAAATTGTAATACCGTTACTATGAGCCACTATACACATTGCGTATATCGGATATAATGTTCATCTTTTTGACTTGTATATTATTCAATACCCATAGAGTACACTAGCATGACATTTTTTAGTTTTATGTGGTATTCGAGCATATACTCGAAAATTTTACAATCGTGAAATGCGCGATCAACGCCCGACCCCATGTATACCTATATTCTTACAAATGTGTTGGGCAAATCAAATAACAACGGAATTTTTTCTTCCAACCTCATCATACCAAGAAAGTTTTTTATAGTCATATTCGGTTAGCTGCAAGGTATCTCATTCTTTTACTGTCAGAGTGGTTTCCAAATCGGGGAAATTTTTTGCAGAAGTTAAATATAT